TTCGAACACCAACATCAAAAGAGACTCCAACCAAGTGCCGAGTATTTCTAATTTCGGATGTAATTTCGCAGTAAGTGCTCCTCAATAATTGAAATGCCTTGCTCAGCATCGTGATAACATGTTTGTGAGAATGCAGTGCAGGAGGTGACGGGGCAACAAATTCAAATCCCGCAATAAAAACATGACTTGAGTTGTTCAACACTGATAATTAATGTAAAATTGATATCGAATGGCCAGTATAATATGCTGTACTATCTCGACTTGGGAGAAAAGAAGTGCTGCCCGTTTTACGCGTCTAGTATTGGGTTCGGTCAGCAAATAACGGGGTTTCCACCTCGTCCACGTGTTTTCTTACTTGGAAAAGAACAAGAATAGTGTATTAGATCTATTTCAAATTTTTGGCGCCTGTGATATAATTGCCAAGCAATAAAATTGCAAGCTTACACGAGATATGTATAGACGATAGACGATTTAGCTTCACCGTGCACTGCACCGTGCGGAAATGCGATTCTCTCCACCACCAAACACGGTACGTCATTTTCCGCGCTGCCACCCAAACCTCGGAAATATTCGCAGAGCCGCAGGGAAAGCGCCGCAGCAGCTAGTATCGTTGCAAACCTCCAGCAAACGGCGCATACCTCGCAGCCACCAAAAAAAAGAGTTGATCGCCAATTGACCATCAGCACAATGGGCGCAAACTCCTCCAAGCCGGCCGATGGCCAAGCCTCGCACGTCTGGAAGGCGTACGTATTTCCAATATTTCCCTTTCCCTCCGATTGCCCTCCCGGCGACCCGGTTCATAAACGTACACTCTGAGGGATCAAGCACAATGCTCACCACAGAACCCGACATCTAGTTCCGGACCTTTAGGCGTATCGCACGAGATCGTCGAGTCGCTGCAGGGAAGCACCGAGGTACGCAATCGATAAACCCAGCTCCTAGTGCTACAGTTCAATTGAGGGCCGAAATTCCTAACCAAGCCACTTTATGAAAACCTGCAGACCGATAGATCGCGTGCCCAGACCATCGAGCTCGCCGTCCAGGCCCGCGTCGCCGAGGAGCTGAAGAAGCTGTCCTCGCAGGAGTCGGCCGCCCTGACCGCGGCCCAGAAGAAGGCCCTCGAGTTCACCGAGACCGACGCCCAGAAGGAGGCTGCCAGCAACAGCACGCCGGCAGTGTCCAAGGAGGTCGAGGCCCTCCGCGCGCGCCTCGACAAGCGGAAACAGCTGCGCCAGCTCCCTGAGAGCGTCGAAAAGTCGCGGAGCGAGGTTGTCCAGTGTCTGATTGCCAACGACCGCCGGCCGCTCAACTGCTGGAAGGAGGTTGAGAGCTTCAAGGAGGAGGTCCGGAGGTTGGAGAAGGAGTGGGTTGAAAAGGTCGTGCGATAGATCGTCTGTCATTTTTCTCCCTCAGACGGCATAGAAAAGACCAAAGAGATGCAGGGGAACTTGTGTCCCAAAGAGCAAGAAGTGGACATTGCGTTCCTTCTGTTGTTTTTATGTACGACTACGGTATAGAGGCCTCAAAATGGCCATGTAGACACGGAAATGATTCCTTTGTTCAATTGTTCAACAACGACATTGCAACTTGCAGCATGAATTTCTGGGGGTCATGTCAGATCTGAGTTGAGGGACAAATCTAATGCATCGGCATGGTCAAGATCAGGCTTTCCTGTCTTGGCAGCCTCCATTTCGGCCTTTCGTCGAAGTCCCTCTGCCCTCTTCCTTTCTCTCCGGGTCGCAGCGTCTTCCAATTCTGTACCATCCTTCTTTTTAGGCGGCTGAGAAGCTTCCAGAACCGCCGCTCGAAACCTTTGTATCCTCTTCGTGTTCTCGGCAAACCTCTCATGGCTAATGGCGTGTAGCGTCTGCAGGTATTCAGGCGATACCGTGCATTGTATCTGGTTTCCCTTCTGGATGCCAACCAGTGATTCCAAGCCCAGACCCATGGTTCGGATTGCCACAATGGGAGTGACTGGCTCACCAGCAGGTGCTATCAAATTGAGAGCACCGCTTTCTCTGAAGCCTGCCTGCAGGCCGCATCTCAGGAGAAGCTGTGCATGTTCAGGAGATGCGGTCAGAACATGTAGAATCTAGCAACGAATAATTAGCTCAGGCCCGCAAATTTCTCGAGAAGACCATCTTGCTGTTCATCTTACCATGGGTTCGAATTTGAAATGAATCAGGCGAGTCGAATCCTCAGCGCCCGTCGTCAGCCTCTCCGCCGCCTCGGTACTATTGATGCCAAACACATCTCGCAAATCTTTACCCTGCTCCACCTCTACCGGATCGTGGCTCACGAAAAGCCAATTACCTCCTCCTCCTTTGCCGCCCACACCAGCAACTGTTGCTGTCCGTGCCGAGTCATCCTGACTTGACTCGGTCAGCCCTTCGTCATTGTCCTGGCCTGTAACATCTGCACTCTTTTTGCCCTCCACGAAGACGCTCACGCGCCCCGCACAGCTGCTTGTCGTCACGAATCCTGGCAGTCCATTGATTTCGTCAATCAGATCCCTGATACCCGCATCTACTGAGCCTTTTGGTGATGCATCGGTATACTCTGAGTCTGGAATGGCAAGCTGGTCCAGGATCTTGCCCTTCCTCTGGAGGAAGCTTTGCGGGGGTTGTGGGAGGTTCCGCATCCTGTCTCGATCGTCGCCTGGCCACGCGGATTGAGAAAATTGTACTGTTCCGTCCAATGTGTCAAATACAGACTGGGTTGCTCTAATGGCAGGTCGCAGCAGTTGATTCTATACGATTGTTCAATGCTACAATTTGTGGAGCCGAATGTTGTGCTTCAACATCACGTGATACCCATAGCTCAAACACATGTCCGAATTTGTCTGGGAGTATAGCTTGGTTTTGGTCCATTACAAGTCGAAGTTATCAAACCAACTGACATAAAACCAACACGCATTACTACCTAGTACCTGCTAGCCTGGACAAAACGACAAGGCAACAACTGCAAGCTGCCCTGCAAGAACCCATGTAAATCCGCATTTCACTGCAATTTTGGCCCACGCAAAGCCCGGACGTGGCGCAAAGGCACAAATATGGTCGATGGACAACGACGCACAATCACAGCCCCTGGAAAGTTGTATCTATATCATTCACCGTATGGCTCGGATTGAAGCACTAATTAATTACGTTAATTGCATCATGTAAATACACGAAATGTATTGGATTTCAGGGACCTCACCCGTCCTTCGAAGTTACCTACTTATCAAAATGTCTGTCTTCATTTTCCATCAGTTCTCTGGAAGAGGCAGAGTCTAACATTTCGTGATACTCAATCCACAGATGAGTTACAGATGAGTCACTGGTGGTTGCTGCCTTGCTGCCCAATGCTTGTTCACTGCAGTTTTAACCCTCACGAAGGGGATCGGATTTGCGCCCGGTCACTCATACATAGGTCTTCACTTTCTCGCTAGCGTTGCAGATGACAGACAGCTACCTATACCCGGTCAAGACGATCCGACTTTCACTGCAATTTTAACCCTCACGAAGGGTATCATGGTCTTACTGCTAACTCTCGTATACTAATTATGTATATACTAGGGCCTTCTAGATCAACCTTGGCTTGCCAACATTGCTATTCATGTGCCTGTATCACTTGAATACATTTCTTCACTCCAAATTTCATACTCACCAATGACATCATGGACTGGACAAAAAACAGACGTTAGTCGCTGCTGACTTCATGGCACAATTGGCGAGAAAACTTAAGTCCTCTTTTTCGACAGGAAATATTGTATTATTCTAGATGATACATATGGCGCAGAATCTCTCTACAACTAGACTACCATTCAAGCTTGATACTATCCCACATAAATCCATGCCAGGTCGAATTCCGCGTAATCTGGAACGTAACCTCATTGGCACCCGAGCTCAACAGCCCAGAAGTAAAAGGAAATTCAAAGTACCGCCATTCGCCCGCCGCCGTACCGCTGCGATATAGACACGGATCATTCACCAGACCCTGAGTGGCATTACTAGCCGACCCAGCGCCGCTGGTCAGATTGCCAATCTGAACACCATTGGCAAGGACCGCCGCGCTGGACCCAGAAGAGTAGCCGGCCAGCGACACAATGAGCGTCGCCGTCCGGTTGGTCGGGTATCCCGCGTCGAGATCAAAGGCAATGGTCCAGTTGCCCAGCTTGGTCTGGGCAAAACACCAGTCCGCGGTCGCGCTCTCGCCGACGGTGTAGAGTAGGTCCGCCGGGCACAGGTCGGATAGGGCGTGCTGGTGCGGTGCCCCGCCGTGCGCAAAGCCGTAGCTGTAGCGGTCGAAATCGCCGACCTGGAACAGGGTCTGCTTTTTCGAGATTTGCCACTTTAGGGCGCCGAGATCAGTGGCTCGGTTCTTGGAGACGACGACATTATTTTGGAGGAGCGACGTCGTCACGTCGGCAATGGAGCTGCCGTTGGACCAGGCCTGCAGGCCGTAGGTGCCGACTCGCACGTCGCGGAACTCGAAATAGCCGTGGGCGTCTGCGTAGCCCGTGTAGTAGTACTCGGTGCCCATGTCCAGCGCCGTCTTGTTTGGCGTATTGTCGCCGAGGAACACGGCCGCATTACTGGCCGGACGACCATCCGAGAGCACCAGCTTGCCTCGAACCGAGCCGCGAGTCTGGTAGTCCTCGTCTTCGAACCAAGAGTAGGGCCACGAGGCAAACTCTCTCTTGGCTCGTGCGGCAGCATCTTCCTTGGAGCCATCATTCAGGTACCAAAGCCAGGGTCCCCAGAGCTTTCCGTCGGGAAAGACGTCCGAAGATGACACCATGAAGTGCGTGCCGTGAATCATGTTGAGCTGCACGGCATCACCAGTTGCGGACTCGCGGTGGACCATCAGTTCCTGTTTGAGGTGATTGCCATTATAATAGTCCTTGCCTGCATTGATATACCAGCTGCCAAATTCGTCACCGTAGACACCATAATATGTCTGCGTCCGGATCCAGCTCGTAAAGTCGTACTTGGTTATGTATCCCGAACCATCGGGCTTGAGCCAAGTCTCATCCTGCACTTTCAGATCGGCGAGGTACTCGTCCAGCGGTGGGAGTGCCTCATCTCTGACGTCCGTCTTTCCATTCGGGAAAGTCGTGTTGTCGAGGCGCCAGAGCGTGCGGAACTCGCCCAGCGTTGGTAGGTCATGGTTCACAAAGTACTGGTAAGCACCGGCGAGGCCAGAAAAGATGACCCAGTGAAAGTCGCCTTCAGTGGCTGTGAACTTGACATCGATGTACTTGGAGCCATAGACGTGACCCTCGTTGACAACAGAGGCCGAGGTCCAGTTTAGGTTGCTTGCTGCGCCATCTAGATATTGCATGTTTAGTGGCTGGAGATCATCATTTCGACTTGACGGCAGACTCACTGTAACTGACATAATGTCCGACGGCATCGCCAACACAATCGTGGTCCTTATAGTACAGTTTGGTACCATACGTCTGGCCTTGAGTTACGTTCCATAGCTCATTTCCAATAACCCAGGTCGAATTATCCACTTGTTTGAGAAAAGGACCGACAGTTGGTGGCCTGGAAGGAAGTGTGTAACTGGCTGAGACTGCGCTGACGAACAGACTTGCCAACGAAAGCAAGAAAGCCTTCATGGTGTTGAATTAGTTGCACGTTGGCAGAAACACCACAAGCATAGAATGCGAAAATGTCAAGAGTCTGCACACAACAGTTGCCAACGACCAAGGCTTCCGCTGATCAGCAAGCTGGACCGCATCGTGAGTTATATAGTTGGGGCCATTTTGGGTTTACTCGTCATCAATATTGAGTGACTTCTGAAAGAATACACTCGGACTTGACTGCCCGGGGTAGGAGAGGAAACCCCCGGTACTCATGCAAGATATTCTAACAAGCATATGAAGATCTCGACACATCTTGCAACGACGCCAAATTACCCCAGATCAATTATCCGTGTCTACCAAGAGGCCAAGGTGGTAAGTCACTGCTGTGATATGTGGAAAAAACACCGGGTGGAAGGCTATCAATAAACTATGATATTTGGGGTTTGTGGGGCTCCGCATATTGGATATTGCCAAGCTCGGGGTAATGTAACCCGGCATGGGCGTCAAACAGGCACTGGTATGTCAGCTGCAGGGGGATGCCGAGCTTGTTGATTGCTCATGTACTGGTTGCAGTAGATCCGGCTCGATCTCCGGAGAAACGAGGCATCATTGACGCGAGCTGAATTGGAGATGACGCAAGCTGAGCTGAAAGAAGCACAAATCGACCGGCGGATGGGTGGGTGAATAATCAGACTGAATATACTGTTACAGATGACATTTACGGCAAATTTACACGATTGCTCATGTTATGATTCTTGAGAACAACTCGGATTTGCTTGTATATTAATCCTATGAGAACGCCCCTTTTTGTGGTATTCGACCTCTAACGCTTGGTGTATATGAAATATCGGGGTATAACAAGTAAAGACATTACATAGTAGGGGCGTATTTGGCAGTCGGTATAACTGCTCGACATTATGACAGATATTCATTACGTGGCAGGAGCTCTGTAGCCACTGAGTTCACGCCTGCTGGCTCCTCTCTTGTTCCAAAGCTACAGGGCCCTGAAAGCCAGATGATGACGGCGGCACATCCTGCATCTCCACATCCTGCCCGTGGCTCGAAGCCATGCGTTGACGTTGAACCTTCTGGACTGCGAATCGCTGATCTCCCCTCTCAAAGCGTCCCTTGAACTGGTAGTATGTTGGTGGTCGTGGACGGCAGAGTACAGCCACCCAGTTCTTCAGCATACTTCCTTGAGTAAAGGGTCGGTAGCGATCCTTCTTAAGGAACTTGTGAGAGTTCAAAAATTCGCGAGTGGTTTCTCCACGAGCCATGAGGAATATGTGATAGCCCATGAGGGCAATTGGGTAGATGGAAGAGATGATGCCGTAGATGACCATGGCAAATGGGACCCGAAAGTGGCTGATGGAGGTGCCGACGGAGACGTCCTCCTTCTTTGCATAAATCAAGATCTGGGCCAGGGAGGCACCAAAGAGGTACAGTGCCAAGAGCGAACCAGACGAGACAAAGGTAAAGAAGTAACGGTAGTTGCGACGACCCACGCAATTGTTCAACCACACACAGTGATGGTCCTGGGTTTCTACACAGTTGTCGCAAAGTCGACAGTGATGGGCCCGGGGTGGTCGCCAAAGATTGCAAGTCTTACAATACTTAGTTGGAACTTCCATGGCGGCAGTGCTTGACTCGGCTGATTTGATAAGTGTCCAGTCATTTGTGGGCGGTGCAAGTCTCAGAGGATCCTCGTTCTCAGATGGCGGTGGAAATTGGTGCAAGTTTCGCGGTAAGATCTAGAATATGTTAGGTCAGCCATCTCATCATCCTTTTTGGAAATCATTTTACTCACTCCAGGGTCAGATCCAGAGGCATGGAGAAACGAGGAAATGCAAATGTAGAATATGTACGCGAAGACAATCGGGACGCCCGGAGAGACCTCGTGCCAGAGATATGGCGCCGAGAAGACGAAGAAGAGGACGGCAGGAATCACGACAAACGATGCAGTGGCAATATTGATTGGACGATGCCTGGTGTTTTGAAGTCGGCCGCCAATACAGAAGAACGTATTGCCCTCAAAGTACTCGTGATTTTTTCCGTGGTTTGGCGCCTTGCTCTTGATGGACTTGTTCTGCGCTGATGTCGAAGCAGTAGCCATCGGGGTCAACTGCGGACTGGATGCACCAGAGGAGAGCTTTTCAGCACCGGGCATGCTGCGGTTCGTTGGGTTGCCAGCCGAATCCCCCTTGGAAATGAACAAGCTGGATCTGAAGGAGCGAGGAGACTTCATTGGAACTGAGGTATTGGCGCCACTCTTGTTTTGAGCCTTATTAACATCAATACTGAGGTCGGGGCCTTCGGGTTTCTTTCGTTGCAAGGGCCGCACGCTGTCGGTCAGACTGCCAGCCGTATTACCATGGGTAGGACTCGTGTTAGCAGTGATCCTGTCATAAGTCTCCTGCTCAGTCATTTCAGTGCCTCTAGAAGGCGGCGGCTCGAGGTCGGCATCATCGACGGGTTCCCGCGCAATACGATGGACTGGACTGGATGACATGGAATCTCGTTGCTGCGCAACATGGCCTGCGGCAACTTCGTCCATGGTCCCATGCTGCTGACTCGTGGTGGCAGGCCTCGATGCGCCACGTTGCGCTTGTAGCTTCTGCGAGCTCATCGGATGAAAGAAGGCATGGGATGTGAGTGACGGGACGTGGCTTCGGCTGGCGGCGCTAGGTGGTCTCCCAGACACGGAACCGGAAATGCTTCCACTCAGGCTACCTCTCTGCACCCCTCGTCGCAGTGGTGTCGATTGTGACCATGCGCCTCTCGAGGAAGACAAGCCAGTCTTTGCAGTTCCGGGTCGCGACTCGGTCGCCAAGTAACTCCGTCTTTGGGCATTGCTGACACTCGATGTCTGTCTCTCGTCGAAGGCATCTCCATCTTCAGAGGCAATGTCGGTCATCCTCGACGATATGATGCTGGGCGGGCCGGCAGGAAATTGTGGACGCGGGAGGTCGCTGTCGTCCGGGGTGATCGGCTCGCCTTCTGATTTGCTGGTAGCCATGGCGGTTTCGCAAGAACGTATTTTCTCTTGGTGGCTAGATTTACAGTTGTCTACAAGCCCTATGCATGCCAATCACGTCGAAATTAAGGTGGGAAAGGTCTCTAATTGACAAGAGGTCGAAAGTTAAATAAATGGACTGCCCCACGGATGAGCCGCAGCGGCAGGAGGGAAAAGAAAAGTTGAGATGTCGGCTGTCGATGGTACAAGGAGTGAGAATGTCCGCGAGTACCTGGGCCGAGATGCGATTGTTGAAAATGTTGTCGGAATTGGTGACTTTGTCGTTGGAATCGGGACGGGCGGGCGAAGGAATGAAGGAAGGGTTTCGTTTTGGAGAGATGAGAAATGGATGTGTCGTATCGTATCGGTTCGGTCGTAGAGTGAGTGAGTGAATGAGTGAGAGTGTGCGTATGATGTTCGCAGGTCAATGAGTGTATCGGCGTTTCTTTTTTAGTTCAATCTGCACAGCAGAGACACTAATTGGGGGGGGAACGGCCGGAGATGCGATGGTGAATGCGAAAGGTGGACGTTGAGACAAGGAGCGGCAGAGATCAAGAGCGCATTTGCTCACAGGCAAACGAAGGCGCAGAGTCTGGATCAAAAGACCCCCCAAGAGGTTGCAGGACGTTGCATGCAAAAGGTCGTCGCCTAGGCCAGGAGTCTCGTAGGAGCACGGGCTCTTTAATTTCCAAGCATCGCGTTTCTTGCAGACCGGGGGTGCCGCTTGGCTGTGCTGTAATTGGACGATCGCCTTTTTGAGATATGGATGGATATCTTGCATGGATTTGTTGCTATCACGCTGTCTGCAATGGAAAATGCGGGTTGTCTACGGCTTGCAAGGAAAATATCGAGAAAAGTCAGATCGAGATGATTGAGGCTGTTCACGATTGTGCGACCAGAGTTGCAACACCTTTTGCCTGCTCTCAGTCAAATCAATCGGCAGATGAAGGTGATGACGGCCGACCAGGCCAGTACCTCGTACGACCCGCCACTAATGCTGCCTACCCGAGCACGGGCCCTCGCATCATGCTGCTTTGGGTTACCGGTTTTTGTGGCTCACTGCCAGATCGATGCACTTTTGAATCAATGTGGAGCAATGTGATTTCTGTGGCTGATATCAGGACATGTGGCTCATCAACGACGTAGATTGTGGCTGACACTTCTTTCTGCCTGGATGCCTGAGCCAAGGGGATAATTGACCAATGGCGTGCGTTCCGTCTCTTGTTCGGCCCAGCCTTGGGGGAGAGCTCTAGCATTTTAGTGCAGCCAATTCAATCAATCATACGACAACCTCGAAAAGCACCTCAATCTTGCCCTTCCAAAGAGCAACGACTTATACATACACATCGACGCCATGGCCTCCATGATTGCCCGCCGCGCCGCTCTCTCGAGCAAGGCCTTCTCCAGCAGAACCTTCACCACCTCTGCCCGCCGCATGGCCACCGACCCTGCCCTCAAGGACGAGACCAAGCGCAACCCCGAGCTTTACGTGCGTCATATCCCGATCTTGCACGCAATCGCCTCCGATGCGCCCAACGAGCAGCAGGTTGCGCAAAATTGGGCGGAGGCGGTGTCGCGATGATACGGGTCACTATGATCAGAAAGTGCTGACTGTGATGGCAAAATAATAGATTCTGGGAGGTGTCATGGTCCTCGCTCTCGGTGGTGCCGGTCTCTACTTTGGTTAGTTTCCTGCTCCAAGGCGGTATTTCACCATCCGTCGCAGCGGCAATCGGAACGTTTTACTCATTTTTCTATGTTGTCAGGCCGCACTCCTACCAAGTCCACATCCGAGCAGTCCGTCGGCATTGCCGGTATGCCCTGGGAGAGCGGCTCCGAGGGCAAGTACACGTACCACCCCGGTGGTGACACCAGCGTCCAGCCCAAGGATGCTCCCAGCGCTATCAACGTTGTTGTCATTCCCGATGTCAACCTCCCCAAGGTATGAAAGCTTTATCTAAAAGCATGTCGAAATTAGAAAGCAATTGACTAACAGACAAAAATTAGCACCTGCACGAGAAGTACAACAAATGGGGCAAGGACGGCTACTAGAGTGTGATAAAAAGGTATAGATGTGCAAACATTGGGAGCAGCGGTTGTGAGACTAAACTAGACGGCATGAGAATTCATTCCATTTGTACATAACCAACAATCAAGGCATTTCGATCAATTCTGGAGTTCACATACGCCCGCACAGATCTCACCACGCTCACTACCAATGAGAGCAGATATTACATTTCACAAATAGAGATTCAGATCGTGGCGTACGGTTTGGACGATGGAGTCGACTCGGCCAGCACGAGCTATAGACTTCAAGACGCCAGTGGTCACAAAATTTGAGATCTTTGGCAACATGTTAGACAGGACTATTCGGTACGGAAACAGGAAAATACGGAGCCAGAAGTCGATACGAAACTACCCACATGATAATTACTGCCATCGTTGGGAATCTCCAGATACATCCTAACCATTGGCTAAGAAACTGAATTAGTGTGTTGTGCTTGTTTACTCGGATATAGTCTGAATGCTGACCTGGCAGTGCTCACTCCGTCATAGACAATGAACGACTTCTTGGTGAGAGATGACATCACCGTAAATACATACAGATATCTGCCAATGAAGTCATGGTTATGACTCGTGTCCCACGGCCATCTCCCACTTCAGTAAATAAAAGTATATCAGATACTCTACCATTGCAAGTGGATTAGATAGCGTGGCACGCACAATAGGCATATACATCGGGACAGGTATTGATCAGGTCGGAATTGCCCGTGTCCTTACCGGACCTATCATGGAGACCTACGGCTTTCTGAGGACCTTGCTGGCCGAGTCATCACGGCGTAAGCATTATATAATGGCCAATCGAGCTTGTCTCTAGCGACTTTCTTCACAGTCTGGTATAGAATAAAGGTGCCGTCCAATTTCACGAGTTTGCAGATCTACCTGGCCGTCTACGAAGCACCTCTGGTCTCCCTTTAAAAGAACTGAATCGTCTGTATCTTTCAACAAGACGTCTACTTCCATCATGGGGTGCTTATAACCTACATCTAAGCAATAAGAAGACCAATTTCCTCGCTGGTGAAGCCAAAAAGGTAGAGCAGGTCAACAAGCGTCTCGCCATTGAGCCTTGCGCTCGCCTCCATCTGCACACGAGGCTTTGCGTTCCACGCAACTCCCAGTCCAGCCGTGGCCAGCATCGACAAGTCATTAGCGCCGTCACCGACAGCGACTGTCTGCTCGAGTGCAATGCCCTCCTTACCGGCAATCTCAATAAGAAGCTCCTTCTTCCTCTCCCTTCCCACGATGGCGCCCTTGACCTCACCGGTGAACTTGCCAGCATCGTCAATAACAACCTCGTTGGCATGAGCATAGTCAATGCCAAGCTGCTTGGCCAACCAAGAGGTCAGTGGCAGGAAACCACCAGAAACTACAGCCGTCTTGATGCCCAACTTCTTGAATGCCCTGAGCAGCTGGGGGACGCCCTTGGTCACATCCAGGACGGGGTGCAACTGTTCAAAGACGCTTTCAGGAAGACCCTTGAGAAGTGCCACACGCTCCTTGAAGGCGGCTTCGAACTCCAACTCTCCCAACATGGCACGGTGCGTAATATCAGCAATCTTATCTGCCAAGTCTGCAGGTTCCTTGATTGTCGCAGCCATCAGATCAATGACCTCTTGGGTAATGAGCGTCGAGTCCATGTCGAACACTACGAGCCGGGGATGTCTCCTCCAGATCGTGTCCCGCTGAAGAGCCACGTCAATGTTCCATTCCCGCTCAAATCGGTAAATCAGCTCATGCTTCCGGAGATCTGACAAGGGCAGATAGTCGAGCGAGGGCGCAGGAGAGAGCGTAAGCTCGACAATATTCGGGTGCTCGGGATCGTCAAGGCAACGGTGGGATGAGTTAATTTCCGTGACTCCTGGAGGAAGCGGGAATGTCGACATCAGGTGCAGGAATGATGTAATGCACAGCGGCGAGATATACGAGCCATAGAGGTTATCAAGGGATTCAGGCTCAGCTGCCGCCGCAGGAGGCTCGAGAGGAAACGTCTCAATGTTGGTCGTAGGTGCAAAGTTTGCCGGAATGTCCGAGTTGGAGGCCGACTGACGCGGCAGCTGTGGTGCCGCACTGGCAGCGCGCGGGTTCTTTGCCTTGTAGGTGAGCGTCGCAATCAAGCGGTTGCTCTTCTCGCCCTTGACGGGAGCACAGTTCGGGTGTGCATATTCATGGCTACCACCGTCTACTATACGAGGAGGGTCGTCCTTGGAAGGCACACCGTTGAAAGGGCTAAAGGCCTTGGGCGGCGTCAAGCTCGTGTTGTTCAAATCTTCAACGACGGTATCGATGCCAAAGTGGCTCTCGGGCTTGTTGGGTCCTCGCAACTGCTGGTTGTCCTGCAAATAGGAGCTGCTTCGCATGCTACCCAATTGCGGTCGCGTGGTAGTTGCTTTGGCGGGGCTGTCGGCCATGTTGGGCGGGGTGGGACAAAGTTTCTGTCTGGCGGGAGGGGGGGTATATGGAGGAGAATAAAAAAACGAGAGAAGAAGAAGAATGAATACTTCTGTTGCCTAGGTAGAAATGAAAAGCCCGCGACGACCTTTGCGGCGGATCCCTCGTGAAAGGCAGGAGACAAAAACCTGAAGTGAGGTGAGGAGACGACTCACTGCGAGACGTTGTCTCTCTCTGCTCTCTCTCTCGCTCTGTCTGCCAAAGGTGGGTTTGCGCAACGGCCGGGCTAATCGCGAAGGAGAGTGCTCGCTCAGTGGGCAAAACGAGGCTGAGAGGAAAGTGCGTCACCTCCACTTCTCAGGTCATTCGTCAAAGGATCGTCAGGGATCCGGCCAGTTGGAGGTTAGCGCGCGTCTTTTTCGGAATATCAGCCGAACCCGACGCCACGTAACCACCAACGGTGACAGCCATCCTAATCAAATTCCCTCTGACCGCATGCGACGCTGGCACGTCCAGGCCCACACGGAATATATGCTCCGTCACGATAACCTCATATCGAGGACTCCTTATAGTCTATCGATAAGTCGACGTTATTGGACAGTATACCATGTAGTGTACACTCTTACGATAGCCCACATCTACCAACGTCAGCCTTGACCGATCCGGGAAAGACATAACCTAAATTGTCTAGTTGGTTTCAGAGCATGACGCCTGGCTGTCAAGGTTGTCTTTTGCATTTCCATTTGCGATAGATGCACGTGGCCTTGGTCATGTCTGCCACGACTATATAAATCAAGCTATGCTGCCCTCAAATCTCAGCATTGTGCCTCGCCCTATATGCCATTATTGATGGAACTCGTAGGGCATTATCTCGAGTATTCATAGTCTCACGGACTGCAATAATTGGGCTGTGCAGGCCGTGGTGTTGATTGAAGGCAGAATCACCCCAGAGGCTTGGTTTTTGACCAATAATTCACCCATGCCCAGCACTGCCCTTCGAGGAGTAGCGACCAATCATGTGCTCTCCGGTCGTTGTAAGCATGCAGGTAATGCGTCGCAGTCACGCAAGGCTTCGCACAGCCTCGAGCCACCTTGGGTGTAAACTTGGACGCCCGACGTTCCCCCCTTTCGCCGGCCAACTTTGATATTGCCTTGCTCAATCCGCAAATCTCGAGAAAAACAGCAGTGACACATCCCATGACACGACAGCATGGCAGAACTCCTAGGTGTTGTTGCCAGTGCGATCACCGTGGCCGAGGTTGCCGCAAAAGCCGGCGGCGCCATTCCGAAGCTCAAGGCTCTGTGGGACGAGATTCAGAACGTCCCTGAAACCATTGAGGACCTCTTGAGGCAGATCGAAATCCTCGACCTTTGGTCTGGGAGATGGAGAACGAGCTCAACGTTTACCGCGCATCCGTAATCAACCCCATCTTGCTCAATGATGGTGCCATGCGCAAGAGCACACAGTACTGCCGCGAGTCGTTGCAGAGCCTATCCCATCTTGTGGATGATATGAGCGTCCAGATACAAAATCAAAAGAAGTTGAGACGCGGGCTGGCCAAGGCAAAGATTGTCCTAAAGAAGCATGTTCTCGTGGATCTCGAAGCTCGGTTGCGTAAAGCTCTGGCGTTGCTGTCCCTTGCACAACAAAGTTACATGATGTGGGTCGTCCCTATCATGGAATCGACCGCGTGTTTCTCACCAATCTTCATACTCTAGGTCAATAATGAAGCTTCAACCACACATCATTGTGAGCCAGTTGACGGCACAGAGCCAAAGACCGGAACAAGTCTTGTTGAATGCGGGCTCACTTATGAACGACAACTGTGAAGCTGCAGAAGAAGTTCCAGATTTCGTTGTTCATTCAGACTATGGAGGCTCATCGCATAGTATAATCAAACAAGAATATAATTATTCGAGTTGGGCCCGACGCTTCGGTCCCGTTGCAGTCGCATGGCAATTATCGGAAAGAACATTCTTGGGTAATCACAGCACCAGTGAGTCTCGGCCACGGTATTAACAAGAGACTTGGCTCACAACAGTATAGATTACTCTCTTCGCGTCCAGTTGCCATCGTGGCTACTGAAGACATCTTGGGAGGTACAGCTTTCAAGAGGCCTTGGCGGTCCCAGTATTGGACTCAGGGCTTGGCGAACTGTCCCTGCATACTCTCCAGCCTTCGAAGCTGTCGATAGCGGCGACGTCAAAGGTCTCATAGGCTTACTAGACACGAGACAGGCGACGCTCTTTGACAGAGATCCAGATGGATATACACTTCTTCATGTAGGAGATACTGTCTACCATATGCCGGCGATCATTAGTATTAACAATTCGCAGGAAGCATTTCGGAGTTCAGGACTAGAATGCGTACGGTTATTGGAAGATTCCGGGCTCAGTGTCTATGAAACAGACAATTTTGACAGAACACCACTCACAGCTTTAACTTACGGTGAATGGAACATCCCAAGAACTACGCAGGTTAAGGAACGAATCTCGGCGTGGCACGGGACGTTTCAGTCTAACAACGTCCTGGACGGAGATGATTACGACTACTGGGACGGATACAGTGCCATGATTCTGAAGGACTGCAGCGATGACACACTCGAAAACCTTTTGCGCCATAATAATGACGCCCAGAATACAATACTTGACAGTATTCACTGGCCAATGTTTCTCTTTTTGCAGTGGCCGTATCGTTCTGCAGTACCTTCCAGCACCTATGCATTTGTTTCCAGAAATGAGACAATACTCAAGTATATGCTTGACGATGAAATCGTCGGTAACCTCGCATACGCGATCGGGGACAGGTCATGGCCCCTATCAGAGTCCGAAAAAGCAGACTGGGGGGACATTTTGAAGGCGGTTTTGGGTGATGAATCGTTCGATCAGGCTTGGTTGCATTCTACTACTGTCTGTTGGGAGGAAGCCACAGATGATCGTCCATTCAACATGCAATGGCCCTGGAGTGACGCGACACCACTAGTATCTCTACTCCAGGGCTATTGCATCAGGCACGACTTGCAACGAGGCAAGTCCAAGCATGCTGGGCTGGCCAATGCTCTACACTTCTGGTTGCAACTACTGCAACAGAACAAAGTTGACCTGATCGACTATGGGCTCAAGGAACGCCAAATGATTCAACAGAACCGGCCAGAAATAGGCACATATCAGGCCTTTTCCCGCACATACGGTGTTCCGGAGAGGTTACTGGATATACGATATGGACCTAATCCGCAAGACTGGTATTTGATATGGGATTTGGATGTTGAGCAGATGGCGGGCCAGTTTTGGACCTCTTTGAGAGAACCCGAGTTTGCTATGCCTGGTGGATGGGTAGACGACTGAGCAGACTCATACATGTACGACCATGCAGTGGACCGTACTTGTTTCTATCGTGGAATACAAAATCGAGGTTCAGTTTCAACCTGCCTTTGAGTCAGCTTATTGTTGTGCACATGGCGTCTTTTATCGTCGTTAGGTTGGCGTAGGCTGCTAGTATATTTTCCTAGATCGCATATCAATGCGAAAGGGACTTCAAGGCCGTTATCAATGGATACAAGTAATGAATATGTCCGATGAGAATGTTTCATTTCGATTTATATATACCGTCGACAGTAGGAACGTAGTAGGCAGCGGAAGGCGACACCATGAATAAACGGGAATGGAATGAAGCGTCACTAAATTATGCAAACATTTTAATTGTGCACAATTATCCCACATATGATATAATAATATATTTGTAGGGGTATTATCAGTGGAATTTGGAAGGTGGTTTGGATTGTGTGTCCTTGAGCAGCACGTATTATCTGCAGTGAATTGCGAAATGTAATTTGGACTATTTCATATTGGAGTCTCCTGTGGGAGAGGTCGTCAGTCGTCTGGTCGTCGGCAACTCGTCCCCAGAAACCAGGGTATCGGGGTGCGGCTGAAGTGGATATCGGAGGCGGGAAACCCTGGCTGTCGGTCTGCGGCTCACCCTGCAGGCACCGGCTGGCCTCTGTTGGTGGTTTTCTTTTCAGCGCTCAACCACTATTTTTCAGCAGCACCACGGACACCACACTCGATAAAAACCGGGACCCGGTTTCTGCGTTGCGCAAAACCGTTCGAATGGGACAATAAATGGAGCCTTACGGGATTTTAGTGTCAATCACGCAATCGTCCCTGTCAAAGACGTGATTTTTTTCTTCTGCTTTCTTTGGGGCCCCTCTGCAACTACCAGTGACCTGGGAGGGGTGTGCGTGGAGTCGTGGACAACTTTATGACCGCCGGATGCTGAATTCGGCGGATTCTGCATATGGACAAGTAATGCAACGTTTTATTAATCGAATGCTGACGGGGTTCGTGTGTTTGATTCTGATTATACATCAAATATATCGAGCAGGAGGACATTTGAAAAGATAACGAAGCGAAACTTGCTAAGCCCATTGCTGAGTGATCATGGCCAAGGAGACCACAACGACCTAAAATCTCGGCAAGAGCAGGTAAGTGATCACGAGGCGTTAATCAGGGGCTTGGCCTGCAATGGCGACAGAGTGGACGTGAAAGGCATCATAGAGTCTAAAATACCAGTAATACAGTCTTTCATGGATGATGTCTGGAGCATGTTTCCAGAAACACATCACATAACAGTAGCACTACCACCTTGATCTGTAGTCGAGTGGCATGGCTGATTACAAGCGGTGAACTCTAAAACGGCAATTTCATGGGAAGTCCGTATGTCTGTCTGCCTTTTGCCTTGCCAGCTCTTTTAATCATAGACCTGAGTGTCAACCATCAATCAAGATTCAACCAATGCAGCAGCATAAACAAAATTGATCTTGATTATGATACTCAGAACCCAATTGTGTTGCTATGGAGTCTTTGGAATAAGGACGCCCCGCCGCTTCGGTACCGCGCACCGCGGGAGTCTATCTTTCAAAAGGGCCCCATCGCCTTGGCTCCGGTTACTATCACGATGGAGACATCAGGGAGTAGCTTGGCTGGCATATCTATCTCCCTGGGCTAAAGATGCCTTGCAGTTAAGAAACGTCTCGTGCGTGTTGCCTAGTACATGCGAACATTCCCTGGCGACACGTTGTCCCCTAAACCCGCCCAACCTGCGTATATGGTGTAAACTCCGAGGCAAAGCCCGTATATGTTTTCTTCTAGTATCTATACATTATCTGTTGCTTTTACGCTTTCTGACATCATGCCGTTGTTCACAGGAGCTTTGGGCATACATGTAAAAGCCGATTCATGAGGGACTAGGGCGATCTAGGCAGCGCTCTTCTGGCTTCGAGTCTTTTAGGTTGGCGGGAACAAGTGTGCGATTTACAGAGAGAGACGTTTAAAGTGGATCTATTTTTTTTTCGAGAGGCAAAACTCCATCTAATACTTTACTTTGTATGGATCTTCAACAAGATAATCTGAGACCTAGGGAAAACGTCTGACCGTCAACCACGTACACAGCATAACGCAGGTGGTACAAGTATTACTCGGGCCAAAAAATACAAGGCCGCGCATACAAAGATAACGATGGGGTAATATTTGTATTTCTTCATCCAGTGAATACTGACAAGACAAATTGAATAGAAAGGTACCATGTATTTGATGATTGATCATTGACGAGTGAATGCATATAACCCCTGCCTCCAGCTCAGGTTATGCGGAAGCCGTCATGGAATGCCCAAGGTTCGGTACTCGGGGCGGCTCAGATCTAAGAAAGAATTTCTCAGCCACTGGCCAATGAGAAGAGTCCGTCAGATCGCGAATAGCTTAGCGCGGATGTCGTGATTGCCTCTAAGTCTCAGAGGAGCATCATTTCTCTTTGTCCCATAGCCAACAGACGGAGGCTGGACCGCAAATCGCAGACTCTTGTCGCCTGGAACATGGACTTTCGATTCCGTATTGCCGTGCCCGCAAAAAGGTAGAGGTACAAACTCACGCCCTTGCTCGGTAAGCAAGAGAGAGAGAAATAGAGAAAAGGACCAAGAAACGGTCGAATTTATGCAGGTTTTATTCTATACCTTTCTGGTAAAAATACGCTGATGGAAAAGCACGTAATCAAGCCAAAGCCTTAAATTTTTCTTCTTTCCACCCCCTCCCCCTTCCGAAGAACTGGACAGTCCACTTACAAAGCAAGGAGGGCCGAATGAGGATACGGAGGAATTACATAGCACTTCTTCCCCATCCCCTACCCTACTACTACTACTACTACTACTACAAGCCCATGTGCATGTCCAGGGCTATTATCATACCGCCCTGCCTAGTTAGTAGATGTACCTCGACCTTACCCATCCGAAAGCCACCAGTCCGGCCTCTCTTAATCACAACCACTCCCTCTTCTAAACCTTTCCCCGGATTATTCTTCCTCAGTCACAAGTCTTCTTCTTCTTCCATACCTATACCTCCCCCGGCACAAACGTCATCACTATTCAACATACCCTGACTTGTCAGAACTCGCAAACACCTGAAGCAGTAGTGGACTCCGCCAAGCACAGATCACAGACGCCCGCCTCTCCTCAACTACAAGACCTCTCGCGCGGGGCAATCCTCAACTTGACAACCACCCCTCAACTCCTACAACAACACAATAACACAATGGAGTCCACAAACATGTCGTCCTACACATCGTCGCCGCAAGTGAGACCAGTCGACGCCAAGGCGCAACCAGCCAACGAGGTCGAGTCAGGCTACGGCTCGGCCGCATCGTCGGTCGCCGGTTCGACGGGTGAGCTGCCCTTGGTCACCATGACCCCGCCTCACCTCAACTTCCTCAATGAGCAGCTCGAGAGGCTGTCGCCCCTGGAGCGCCTCCGCCTCGTCAGACTCATCTTCCCCAACCTGTACCAGACCACCGCCTTTGGCCTGAGCGGACTTGTCACCATTGACATGCTGGCCAAGATCCAGGCCGAGGACCCCCAAGGCCCCGCTATTGACCTGGTCTTCCTCGACACTCTGTACCACTTCCAGGAGACCCTCGACCTGGTCGAGCGCGTCAAGGACAAGTACAACGTCAAGGTCCACACCTTCAAGCCCAATGGCACCAACACCACTGCCGAGTTTGAGGAGCAATACGGCGAGAAGCTGTACGAGGTCGCATCCGAGCTGTACGACTACATTGCCAAGGTCGAGCCTCAGCAGCGCGCCTACGCCGACCTCCACGTTGCCGCCGTCCTCACGGGACGCCGCCGGTCGCAAGGCGGACAGCGCGACAAGATCCCCGTCCTCGAGGTGGAGGAGGAGACGGGCATCGTCAAGATCAACCCCCTGGTCGACTGGTCGTTTAAGCAGGTCAAGGCCTACATCGACGAGCACCAGGTCCCTTACAATATCCTTCTCGACAAGGGCTACAAGTCGGTGGGCGACTGGCACTCGACCAGCCCCGTCGCCGAGGGCGAGGACGAGCGTGCCGGCCGCTGGAAGGGTCAGGCTAAGACCGAGTGCGGCATCCACAACAAGAAGTCTCGCTACGCCCTCTTCCTTGAGGAGCAGGCACGCAAGGAGCAGCTCGAGGCACGCAAGGGTCAGGAGGAGCTGACGGCAGCTCTCGAGAAGGTCGAGCTGGAGCAAAAGTCAGAGGCGCCGGTCGAGGCCTCGGCATAGAGAGTCGCGCGGGCATATAGAGAAAAAGAGCATCAAGGGTCAAGATCGGCGTTTATTCCTGGGAGGCATCGACTATCAATCATGATTGGGATGGAGGTCTGTTTTTGTTTGTTGAAAGATACTCAAGTCGGTTCGGTCGGCGACGGCGTTACGGTGTTCAAACATATTCGAATTGCATAAAAGGCGCGCGTTTTGCGTACATCACGATGTGGTTCTGAGCTATCTATAGATAATTAGCATATCATCAAAAGCAAAAAGAAACTCGTAAAATTAATCAACTGGTCCCTTTTTGCTCTATGTGACATACCATTTGTCCTGGCATATCAGACAAAGCCATCGAGCGTATCAGAGAGGGCGTGGTCATCGCGAAGCAAGCAGGTCCAGGTCGTTCGGCACTAGTCAAGGACGACCACAGATACCCCCCAGCCATCATGGCCAGAGGATGACGGGCTTGAAAGAAGTGTCGAGGCCATTGTGAAGAGCTTCTCGAGACGTTGGAACAATGCAGAGCCGCAACTGCACTCTAACCCAAAAACGTGGTAATGGCCCGGTCGTGAGGAGGGGGAAAGCAACTTGCAGCTCCAAAAGAGTTGTGATTGGCTGCTTTTGATTCCTTGGTGGGGTCCCTGGCGTCGATCACCAACTTCCCATTCAGGAATTGTCTTGTCTTGTATTAAGCTTTTTGTTTCCGAGATATGGGGGATTCGAAACTGCTGCTATGGTCTTTTACTTCTTCTCGCAAATCAGATTCATCGTGGTGATCAGATTTGCTAAGCGTTGGCAAGATTTACTGTGAATTAATTCAAACTAAGAAATGAAACTCTTCTTTGGCCTATTTTCCTTCCTTTGTCCGAGCACCATTCAACAACGCCTTGACTGTTTTGGGACTTGTAATCTGCTACTGAACTACATAGATCACGATAACCTCAGAGATGCCGGACAGCCGCTCACATAACGGTCAATAACGGTGCAAAGTTGATGCATCAAGCCAAGTTTTCTCCTCCGCTGAGATCTACCCGAAGGATCTTCTGTGCACGATCAAAACGCCGGGGGGTTCTCATGCCTACGTGTTTGAAGCTCTTGTTTCGGTTCCATCCCAACTTGCTATTGGCCATTTGTTAGTTGTAAACAAAAGATCTCGCACCACTTGCAGCCGACAAACACCCAGAGGCCCGTGAACATTGTTGGAATCATTGCGATTGGCTACACCATAGTCGTAGACAGCTCTCGGATATAACGACCGAACGCCAGGAGAACGACCACAAGCTGTCAACACCCTCGGACCGCCTCCACGATCCCCGGCTCGTGAACAGCCGACGGCTTGTCAACGCTTGGCAGGTCTGTTGATTTCCTGCAAAGCGTCATGACCACATGTAGATATATAAAGCTTGACAGTCCCCCCCATGCCTCCTTGCCTTCTCTCTGGGGGCTCGGGTTCGTTGAGCGAGTCTCCCATATTTTATAGTACTACTAATAATTACAACGCTGCTCGGTCGGCTTTTATTTTTCTTCAACATGTATCTTCGAAGCCTAATACCTGCTTTCGTAGTCGTTGTGGCTGCTGAGCCCATCACTAATATCCTATCCGCCAACAGTAACGAGCTCAGTACACTCACATGTGAGTGACATGAACTCCAATATTACGCCAAAATAAGGACATTTACTGATACGATATTTGCATAGCCTTATTGGGAACTGTCCCTGAGCTCACTAATGCTCTCTCCACGGCAAGAAACATAACCGTCATCGCGCCGAGCAATGCCGCGTTCCAAAAGGCCATGGCGGCCATGCCCGAGCTGGCCACCATGGTGAAGAACACGACGTTTCTCACCGACCTGCTCGAGTACCACGTGGTACAGGGTGTCGTCTCGTCATCCATGTTCTCCACGACGCCCCTGTTTGCGTCGACAGCCCTCCAGCTCCCCGTCTCGACTCCGGCAGGGGCAATAAAGTCCCAAAGGGTCGAGCTAATCAAGTCCAACGCCGACGCTCTCGTCATTTCGGGCTTCAAGCAGGCGTCGCGGGTGACGCAAGCCGACCTCTTTTTTGACGGCGGCGTTTTGCACATTGTCGACAGCGTGCTCGCCGTGCCCGAGGTGACTTCGGTCACGGCCCTGGACGTGGGCCTGACCTCGCTGGCCGGCGCCCTGGCAAAGTCCAACCTGACGAGCGGCGTCGACGCCCTGCGCGACGCCACCATTTTTGCCCCGTCCAATGCCGCCTTTGTCCAGGTCGGCAACGTGGTCGAGGCCGCCGGGCCCGATCTCCTCTCCGATGTCCTGGGCTACCATATCGTCACGGCGGGCGCCGTCCACAGCACCGAGCTCCTCCAGCGCGTCCGCGCCGCCGGCGGCAAAACCGTGGCGCTCAACACGCTCGAGGGCGGCACATTGGCTGTGAGGGAGGTTAATGGGCAGTTGTATGTCAATAATGCCAAGATTGCCCTGGCCGACGTCTTGACCCAGAATGGTGTCGTCCATGTTATTAATAAGTAAGTCTCTCTCTCTCTCTCCTCTTACCTTCCCCGTAACTCTTGGGTTTGGCGTTGTAAAAAGTCCAGTAGAGAGCTAATAATAATAATTTCTTGCCAGTGTTCTCAACCCTCACGCCACCACACTAGTTCCAGACGCCTCGAGAGCCACGCCCGTTGCGGATTTCGCGGGTGCCAGTGCCGTCAGAGAGGCCCCCTTTACCTCTGCCGTCTCGCCCACAACCACCATTGTGCCCGTCACCGTGGCCCAGGCCGCCGGCCAGCACGCGGCCATGCCTACGGTGGCAGCCCTTATGGGTGCCTTTGGAGCGGCGGCGGCGGCGGCGATTGTGAATATGTGATGGCTCGGTAATTCCTTTCACACTTTGAGCAGACCCAAATCTCTGCCTCTATGTATATACATTTCCTCATGTTTCAGATAAATCCCTAGAATACCCGGTAGAAAGCAGTAGACAAGTAAAGGGAAGGAAAAGCTTGGTGACGGCCAACGACATAGTAGACTCAACACAAATGTATATACCAGCCCATCAATGAATATTACCCATAGACTTTTGTTATCGGTAGCCTGAAGCCTGTGAATCACCTCCGCCATCCCTGATTCCAAAATTACTTGCTTCAAAATTACTGTCTTATTGTAAATGACGCTTGATTTAACAGGAACGCCTCCATTTGGCATGCAAATGCTCCGTATAAATACCTACCTTGCTAAGTCAATTCCTCCTCCGCTGCTGACCGAGTAACAAGCCTGGTCAGCACTACATGGTCAGTGTAGAAGACCACAGAGTATCCAGGATGCCCCTGAATACCACTCACCAATAGACTAGGTCAAAATCTTGGTATTCTAGAGTATGCTTGCTGGCTGCAAATGATATAGACTCTCCTGGTGCGAATCACTATCATGCGAAATACCTCTTCAAAAGGATACTGCCCATGGTGATAGAGATCCGCATCTTTCGTACGCTTTGCCGGTAATATTCTCGCTCACAAGGATTGCGAATAACACATATGCTCTCCGTTTACGAACAATACAAGGTGGGCAGGAAGGATTTTATTGTTTAAGCGCGGTAGCACTGCACTATAAGCACAGTTTCTCCGTCAGACCAAGTATGTGGCTCAGACTGTATCTAAACAATGATTCTTGCTGCAACACCATCCTTAGGAAGCGAGCCACAGCGTAGACGGCATATTTGGCAGCCCGAAACGCGCGGTGCTTTTCATCCGCTTCATCTTCCAACGCCCAGCAATGACAAATGACGTGGGTTAGGGGGGGTCGCAAGGGCGCTCACTTGAGCAAGCCCTGGGCATTGTCTACTTCTTTCATCTTCATCCACTACTCATCCTCATCCCGATTACATGACTTCGTGGCCTCTTTTGCTCGAGCAATGGGCGTACATGATATGTTCTTCTCTAAACCTGGTAGACGTAAATCTTATCGGCTGCTCTGCCGCGACCGAAACTCCGCAGCAAAGGAAGGGGATACATGGTGGGGTGAAATCAAGTGTAGGTGTATGCCGTGTAGTGTCTTGGGGTATGGGGGGTCAAAAGGGGTATTGCATTAAGGCAGGGGAATGGATTTATATACACATGTCTCATTCAGATGAGCGATGGACGATGGGGAGGGCGTAGAAAGGTAATTGATAGGTAGTGCCGAGCGTCATTGCCTTGTGATTCGCGAAGCCTTGATGTAGTAATCGGCTTGGCTGTCTTGACTGCGCTCGGAGTTGAGGCGTGTCTTGAGGGAGGCCATGACGGATGAGACCAATGGAATTCCATGAAACAGGTTCTGTAGGTGTCACACCCGTCATCGCGAATCACCTTCTCAAGGCTGTGCCATGACGGCTTGCTGACCACCAAGCTGGCGCTTAACCTGCTCCCGAGCCCATCGAGCAGTATCAATTGTGCGTGGCTGGAATTCGCGGTTGGTCTTGGTCTCCTTGATCATAGCAGTCAACCAATCCGAACGGAAAGCCTCGACCAGTTCACCACCGGGGTAAGCGTCGGCAATATCACTACAAAATGGCAGTGGTTAGCTATGTATATAGAGAAAACAGCCCGTAGCCGGGAATACGTACCCAATAACACCCATAGCAGATCGCATCAGGGCCTCACTACGGTTCATGTCCTGAGAGATGATGTTGAGAAGTTGGAAAATGGATTGCACATAAGGCTGAAGAGCTTGGGCTGGAGGAAAAGTTAGCAATTGAGCCAAAGTATTATTGGATGGAATAATGTGCGTACTCTTGTTGCTCATCTTCATGGCGCCAATGATGCCGCCCCAGGCGTCCATGATACCTTCTCTAAGAGAGATGACGTAGTCGTACATCTCATAGCTGCCGTCAGGGCTGGCAGTCACAGTTGCAGCCTGCTGCAGCACCTGAGCGACGACAGAGAGATATGTCTCGAAATGACCACCAATGGCGTTGGCGATATCACCAAAGCATTGCAGGATGGCTGGCTTGAACTGATTGCCCAGAGCGGGGCTCTATACATTTGGTCAGTCAACTCTGTTCAAAAGATATCACAAAAATAGGCAGATAATACGTACTCGGAGGTTGTTGAGTAGGTAGTTCATGAAGTTGTCACAGTAAGGCTGGCTGCGCTCGTTCAAGGAGCGGGTAATGTCACTCACGAGGCCAATAGCCATCGCGCACAGACTGGGCTCGTCGGCATTGCCCAAAGCATTGTACAGGAAAGGGGTGAAAGCATCCATGTACTTGGCAAAGTCCTCTTCCATGGCGTTGGCCAGGCCACTGATGGTGGCAAAGATAGCCTCCGGAACAGTCGACTTGCCAGATGTGTTGCTAAGGATCTGGAGGGAGACCTGCATGATGCGATCGCCCTGGGGAGCAATCTCCTTGTCCAAACGCTGGATAATGGATTGCAAGACAGTGTTCAAACTAGTCTTCATCTCTTCCAGAGCGATCTTGTCCTCAATGCTGACAACCTGGCTCTGCAGGGGGATCGTCTCCTCAAGACGCTTGATAATGACATCGGAAAGAGATGCAATAGCCGGGAAGCTGTCAGTAGCGGCATGCAGGACGAACGCACTGAGGACCTCGTAGGCAGTAGTGCGCACGGTAGTCTCGGCCTCGGGTCTGGCTGTTACATCGAGCAGGTTGGATACGCTGGCGTTAAAGTGAGGAGTGATGGGGTTTGCAGAAGCGTCCAGATCGCCAGAGAAACGCTCGGCCAGGTTCATCAAAGCCCAGCAGCAAGAGCTTGCCATCTTAGGATCGTTGACACCGGCAAAGAGGGCTCGGATGAGAGGATCAAGGTGAGTATTGGGGTCAATAGCCTCGGAACAGGCCTCAGTAATGCGACCAAGAGCGTAAGCAGTGGAATCCTTGACCATGGTGTTGCTGTCCTCCATCATGGTGATGAGGACAGGCAGAGCCTGCTTGACAATGGGCTCAAGAACCTTCTCCTCGGGACCCTCCATGATGGCACCAAAGGCAGCGACTGCAGCCTCGCGGAAGTGCCAATCGTCGTGACGCAGGTTTGCCTCGACAAACTGGATGACTGGGGGGATGATGTTGGCACCAACAGCCTGAGCATACAGCTGAAGACTCTGGTAGGCGGCTCGAGACAGGTTGTACTCGTCATCCGTCGCATCCTCATCCTGCTTGGTCAACAGGAGAAGCAGTGTCGGAACGACCTCGTTGGTCGCAACTCTTGCAAAGTTGTAGAAAGGTCGCATCTGATCCGAACTCTCGACCTGCGCGTTGTCTTCCTCGATGTTAATTTCCTCCTCGCAAACAGTACTCCAGAACTCAACGGCGAGCTTGGCAACATCCTCGTCGTCATTCTTCATTCCCAGAATAGTCAGACCAAAGAGGGCCTTCTCCATGTAGAAACGCATATTCTCGTAGTAGAGGCCCATGATCCTGTTAAGACAGCCAAAAGCGCCCTGCTGTATCCGCGAGTCGTCGGCTTGGGTAGCCTCGCAGACGACCTGCATAATGTAGTTGCGCTCTCCCTCGTGCTTGAAGTTGTTGCCAACAAACTCCAGCGAGTCACCGAGGGCAGAGATGGCCGACAAGCGGACCTCATTGTTGGTCTCCTCCTTGCGGGCGCCCTGGACGACGGCCGTGAGAATGGCATTGGAGTGGCTAATAAGCGCAGAGCGCAGCTCGGGATCCTGGCTTTCGCAGACGTAACCGATACAGGTCAGCGATGCCTGCTTCTGGTGTGGTGCTCCGCTGCTGACATTCTGGACCAAAGTGCCTAAAAGATCGGGCCACTCGTTTCGGGGAAGTTCGATTGTAGCAACGGAGGCGATGACCTGGGCAGCAGCCTGGCCAGCTTGTGAGTTAGTCGAGGATAGGGTTGTCAAAGCCAGAGACTTGACGCGCGTCTTGGTTTCGGCATCCGTCTGCTGAAGCCATTTTGCTTGTAGTTCCTGTTGTCTGGAGAACTCGCGAGCGCTAAAGGCGTTCTTGAGGGCGAGACCTGCCGCAACTCGAATTTGGCCCTCGGCGCTCTCGTCGGCTAGCGCCTGGACGAGAGTAGCTAGGTATAGGGGCTGTTGAGGAGAAGAGAGACGTTAGCAAAGGTGTAAGTTGGGAGGGGGGTAGTTTGTGATAATGGATCTTGGAGGGGGGGAAAAGACTTACAAAGTTGTTCTCAGAGGCCTGAGAGAGCTGTTGCTCGGCAGCAGTTCGCGTAGCGCTGTCTGTCGGAGGAGAAGAGGAGTCAGCGGAAAATGCAGCAATATCTCTAGGCCATCTGGGGGGAAGCAAAGGGAGGACTCGTGCCGGGGCAGCAGCAGCGCTGCATAGGAGTAGACGTACCAGGCGACAGCGAGTTCCTGAGGATGGTGTTGATATCCCCGTTTTCAGCCATGTTTGTTGACTTTTTTTCTTGGTTGCAGCCGCTGCGGGTGGCTCAAATTATGTCAAAGTGGTATCCTCTCTCCAGCGTGGGGTAAGTTGGCAGAGATGGATGCGGTCCGTTCCTCTCAAAACTGGGTGATGGGCGCAGGGCTCCAGAGAGGTATGTATCTAGTTGGTGATTGACAAACAATACCGTCGTGCCTGCCGATTCCAAAGGAGCGCCGTGGAAAAGGATCGTGGACAAGAGTGACGAAGAAGAATCTGTTCGTGGCAGATGGGGGAAAAGTGAAGGGCTCAAGAAGAAGAAGATGATGGTCGTTGATCGAGCCCTGGTTTTGGTCTGAAAGTGGAAAGGCCTTGTTCTCGTTGCTGGAGGGGCAGCTTTCGATTACTCTTAGCGGGCGGGCCTCTGTTGACTTTTGATTTTGCTCACCTTAGGTGCCAGTCAGTTTTCTCTTAGGTCTCTGGCCGGATTGGACCGCGACAATTTCGGACCTAAAAGCGGCTGCGGGGAGGGAGAGAGATGGACAACGACAATTTTTTTCTTCTTCTTTTCTTTTAACCCCCCTGTCTTTTATTTTCTTTTCTATTCACTTCTACTGTGCCCTCGATATGTCAACGGTCTTGGGGAACCTGAGTCAAATGTCCCTAAAACACCTAAACATGCACTTTGGCCCAAGCAGCCCGGCTAAAAAAAAAAAAAAACACTCCAAGTTTCTTCTAAAACCCTTCCCAAAGACGTATATTTCTACACATAACACAAATACCGTATACTAGATTATAAAGAGCTCAACTGCCCCTTGAGCTTCTGCTCATTTCCCCCATTTTATTTGGTTAAGAAGTCGTGAATTAAATGTATTTTGATTTTGATGTGGATTAGCTTTTTGAGTGGCTCACGTCTGAATCTGGCGTGGCAAGGCTGTGGCTGACAGTGCACGGACATTTTTTGTGTATAGAAACTGGCCTTGGTGGGTTTAGGCAGGAAACTTGGAGGGGGTTTTTAGCCAGGCTGGGCCCAAGGCAGAGAAGAAGACGGTGAACAATCAGACAAGACCCCGAGAATGGGCGACTCACAGTGCATCTACATGATCGGCTTACGTTCCGGTACATGCGGAGGTAGGTACTGGGCGCTGGGAAGCAAAACTAGGCTCCCTCCTCCCACCATCCCACATATTGCAGTAAATTGCATACAGCCAGTCACCGACGAGTTCCGTGGTGAGGCACATGCAATTTCCTCGTTTGACAGAGCCTCAGTCGCTGGACTCCCGGTCTTCACCTTCTTCGTCCGCCCCTATGATAGTTTGACACCTGTGGGTGAAAACCCGCCCTTTTGTGATTTCCCATGCATCCAGAGGCACGCCATACATGTGTCTCTCCTCTCCTCAATTCAAAACTTAACTGTTTTTCTCATCCATAAATACCTATTTGCATAGTGTTGAATGTGGTAGGCTGCATACCTCTATTGCCCCAGGCGCCTCAACCCCATCATGGGGCTTTCAAATGTTGTGACTGAGTCATCTGGGCCCCAGCCGTCCTAAGTCGGGTACCTATCGGATAACGCTTTTACTTTCTTCCTCGGCCTAAAATGCTTCAATATGCATTTGCTCACAGCGCTCGCTCATAACAATGCAAAGAATTGCTAGTTAAGATATTCACGGCTTGAGCTTCGCGATCGATTGCCAGAATTTCGTTCACTCGAGACAGGAGGCGTAAAAAAAAAATATGGCTCCCCAGGGTCTCTCAACGATTAATCTGACGTCATTGCCCAAGCGCGCCGAGGGTAAAGTCAGGTAGGTAATATGATGAGCCTTCAAAAGCTCTACAGGGGTGGCCGCATGGCAACGCCATAGACCTCATTCGCGATTGGGAAAGGGAAAAAATTTGAGAGAAGATACTAAAGTTTGGTTGCTTCCCAGAAACCTGTACGATGTCGACGAGAACACGCTTCTTTTCGTCACCACCGACCGTATTTCTGCCTACGATGTCGTGATGAACAATGCCGTGCCTTACAAGGGCGCTATCCTGACGGTATGCTATAGCCTGCTTGACACAATTTTTTTTATTTTTTTCCCCAGGCCACTCTTGCTGATGTGTCAATATAGCAAATAACCAAGCACTGGTTCAGCGTACTAACTGTAAGATCTCATCGTTATATCACATCTTCTTATTTCCTTTCCCAACTACAAATTCCTGGCGGGTTTAGTCTTTTCTCAATTGCCATCAATGACATTCTTCATACCCTCCCAGCCATTATGCTACTGACCAAGATGATGGAAATAGGAAAGAGTTCCTGGCTTGAAGACGCATTTCATCACCACTGATGTGCCAACATCGCTCACTCCCGAGGAGGCTGCTGAGATAAAGGACCGGAGCATGGTCGTCCGCAAGCTCGAGGTCGTTCAGATTGAGGCAATTGTTCGCGGCTACGTGACCGGTTCTGCCTTCAAGGAGTACCAGAAGTCCCAAACTGTTCACGGTATCAAGCTACCTGGTAAGCACAATAATATTTCTCATGTGTCCCCTTGTGTGCTACGGACTTCCTATGGATCCACACTTCTGTTTGACATGGTTCTCGTACCGCCTGGACGGAGAGAGGAGTTCCCCACGAGGTATTCGACGGACTGTAAAACAGACAAGGAACTGACTCTATTCTTCAGCCGGTCTACGGGAATGCGATGCTATCCCTGATGGTCCCATCTACACGCCGAGCACCAAGGCACCGCTAGGCCAGCACGACGAGAACATCTCGCCTCAGCAGGCCAAGGAATATTTGATCAAGCAATACCCCGGCGGCAAGGGTGAGAAGATTGCCGACCGCATTGCCGAGCTCGCAGTGCAGATTTTCAAGGCTGGCCAGGAGTACGCAGCCGAGCGCGGTATCATCCTCGCTGACACCAAGTTCGAGTTTGCGCTCGACCCCGAGACGGGCGATATTATCCTGGCTGATGAGTGTCTTACTCCCGACAGCTCTCGATACTGGCCCAAGGACAAGTACGAGCCCGGCCGTGACCAGGAAAGCTTCGAGTGAGTATTTCCTACTGTTTATTTCTCTACGAATCTAGATGGCAGAATAGTCACTCCAGTGACGAAGTGATGAGGCATACTAACACATGGAACAGCAAACAATTCCTGAGAAACTACCTGACCGAGAACGGCCTCAAGGGTAAGCCTAACGTCACAGTGCCGGAGGACATTCTGGCTGCCACTTCGGAGCGCTACCAAGATGTGTTTGAGCGCCTGGTGGGCAAGAAGCTGCAGGACGTGATCAAGGCATAAGAAAAAAGAAATCCACACATTTGTGAGATAGATGAGCGTGGAGGTAAGCATTGAAATGTCCTCCTGCCTGTATTTTCGTAAGCCTTCTATCTACTAGACGAATGCAATGCAATCAGCATCTTCCGTGATATGCTGGATCACCCTTATCCATCTTTGAGCATATGCCCATCGGAATCCTTCTCCGTTAGTTGCTCGTAGAGTCATGTCAATACCATTCCTTCATCAACAAAATGACCATAATGCTTGGGATTATGCCCACTGACTCCGTTGTTTCCTATGATCTTCTCGACGCTTCTGGTGCAAACTAGATGGTCCCAAACCTCTGTGAGTCTCCCAGGCTTGACTGAGCCAACTAGCTTCCCACCATCTACCAGATTAGAGGAATCCACGATCTCAGTGCTCCTCGTCGCGAGCCAGCAGCCACAGTATCCACAGACGGAATGGCACCACTTGCACTGTGTATAGTGGCGGACTACCTGTACCGATCTCAAGTGCTACCTGCCATGCCGGTTTGAAACTCACTGGTAGTTGCCCAATGGAAAAAGGAAGAAAAAAAAAAAGTAAGTCACATTACTCACCACCTTGATGAATAACCCGCACTATACATATTTTGTCAAATGTTCATATGAACCAGTCAGTGACTAGTGCATATCTGAACTAATAACTGTCCCTTGAGCAGAGGACAACCTGCCAATCTGCCTGCATTTCTTCAACGTGGTATATGAAAGTAATATCTATATAAAAGTCATTTGGGACACCAACAGCAGGATTTTGGGTACATCATCTCTATGTGTGCATTTCTTTATTAATATCACTTTTGGCTATTGTACTCCAGGTTAACTCCCTATATGAATGTCAAGGACCAAATTTGCATTTAATGGCTGACATGGCGAGCAATTTTTTGTAAAGATACCCCCACATGATCGATTTTCCAAGTCAAAAGTTCAACGACTTTCATGCATTTTAGTTGTTTACAAGCCATTGGTCTTGGCCTCAAGGCCGTTGACAACCTCAGATGGGGTACCATTTGTGCCATTTGTGCCATTCGTCGCATGAGGTGCCTGGATACCGCCGTCGAGGTCCAGCTCGCGGCTGAGAGTACGGCGCGGCGCAGTCTTTGAGGCAATCGGGCTTCCTGGCCGGCTCAGGACGAACTATTGGAAAAAAAGATCAGTAACAGTGTCATCAAGATAGGGCTGCGCGTAGAGACTTACGTTGCTTGCTGCACTCAAAAGGGCAACCAGAGAGCTTTGGACAACATCCTCGTGGATACCAACACCCCAGACCTTTTGAGGAGTGCCGGATGCGGTACACTCAATGTAGGTAGCAGCCTTGACATCACGACCCTCGCCAATGGCGTGCTCCTTGTAATCGGCCACGTCCAAGTCGATTCCAATACCTTTGAGGGCATTGGCCAAAGAGGAGATGGGTCCGTTACCACGGCCGCGGAGCTTGTACTCATGACCATCAATGGAGATCACACCTTCAAAGACACGACCGAGGTTCTTGGTGTCTTGCGTCTTGCCCTCTGCTGGAGGAGCTGGCGAGGCAGATCTGTCGACGGAAATGGAGTAATCAATAATGTTGAAGCGGGGGTGGTCCTTCAAGAAATAAGTCTCCTCAAAGAGATTCGTGATCTCATCGGACAAGAGCTCTCTGCCAAGCTCGTCGGCGCGCTTTTGGACGACCCTGCTGAAGGCTACTTGCAAGCCACGAGGGAGGTCAAGCTCAAGCTTGCGGAGGATGATCCAGGCGCTACCACCCTTTCCACTCTGCGAGTTGACACGAATAACTGCTTCGTAGGTACGGCCAATATCCTGGGGATCGAGAGGAAGATATGGAACCTCCCAGTGGCCGGCCGCATCACCTCCCTTTTGCTTGCGCACGTTGAAGCCCTTCTTGATGGCGTCTTGGTGAGAGCCACTGAAGGCACATACGACAAGGGAACCTCCGTAGGGCGCACGCGGGTGGATAGGGATCTTGTTGCAAAGCTCTACCGTGTCAATTACACGGCCCATGTCGGAGAAGTCGACATTGGGGTGAATTCCTTGCGTGTACAAGTTCAATGCAAGAGTGACCAGGTCGACATTACCGGTGCGCTCACCGTTTCCGAAGAGACAACCTTCTACACGATCGGCACCAGCCATCTGAGCCAGTTCGGCGGCAGCAACGGCGCATCCGCGGTCGTTGTGCGGGTGCAGAGAGACACAGACCTTCTCCCGCTCGGTAATTCCTGTGCAGAAGAACTCGATCTGATCGGCGTAAACGTTGGGCGTGGACATCTCGACTGTCGCGGGGAGGTTGAAGATGATGGGGTTCTCCTTTGTTGGCTCCCAGGCAGCCTTGACGGCCTCGCATATCCGAATGGCGAACTCGGGGCTGGTGTCCGAGAAAGTCTCGGGGCTGAATTCGAAACTCCATTCGGTGCCAGCTTGCGACGGATCGTCCTTTGTGATGGATCTGGCGTACTTGGTGCACTTGACTGCCAAATCAATGCTCTCCTCCTCGGTGAAGCCAAAGATGATGCGACGGAAACATTCGCTCGTGGCCAGGTAGATGTGAAGAATGGCCTTCTTGGCACCCTTGAGGGAGTCAACGGTTCGGCGGATAAAATCCTCCCGGCACGGGGAGAGGACCTGGATTGCGACGTCGTCGGGTACGACACCGGGGGTCTCGATCAAGCGTCTTGTAAAGTCAAAGTCGGTTTGCGAAGCCGAAGGAAACGAAACCTCAATCTCCTTGTAGCCGAGGTCCACCAGCATCTTGAAAAACCTCCATTTCTCCTCGCCGTTCTGCTTTCTCGTTAATCACTTGGCCTAGTAGCTCGAGAACTCGGCTGGTATAATTTTTCGGTGACTGACCATGGGGTCGACCAGACTCTGGTTACCGTCTCTCAGGTCGGTTGCCAGCCATCGCGGCGGCTTGTCGAGGGTCTTGGACGGCCATTGGCGGTTGGGCAGCTGAAGAGGTACAAACTTTTTGTACTTCTTCGAGGGATCCTGGAGCCTGGACAAATTCAATTGACCATGTCAGCGCCACATGCATTGAAAATAAGAAGACCGTGTTCCAAGACATGTATGCAACGGCAACGACTTACATAGGCATGGTTGTGGGTCTCTGGTCCTACGCGGGACAAAGTTCACGATGTGGGTAGGTTGGATATTGGCCGGTAACGCAGCTGTACCGGGTGGTGGAGGGGTCGTTCGTCACTGACAGACAGTCTTGGGAAGCACAGGGTCCAAGAAGCTGTTCTGTCGTCGGTCGGGTATAGTTTTGGTTTGACGAACGTGGGGGAATAGAGAAGAAGGATCAAAAGAGTCAAGTTTGGAGAGAATGCAGAGGAAGTGCGAGCATAAGTAAGATATTGAACAGTGACAATGAGTCAGAAAAGATATTCTCAGACCCAGAGCAATTCCTTCCGCCTTGCCCAGCTTTCGAAACTTTTTTTTTTTCCACCAAAGGTCACCCACCGCACACAAGCCTTCAGGCGCCGCCGCCGACCAACCCCACACTCCGAACTCGCGCCCAGTAATGTACTATAGCTCCGATTGAGGGGCCGATGCAATGCGACGAATGCCGTTGTTGTGTCCACTTATAGCGGCTCAAAGTGAAGGATATTTCTTCTAATTATCTCTCTATCTTGTATTTTTGTTAATTGAGAGTCTTGTGGTGATTCTTGTAATTTCAATTGCCCAAACAGATGACGGCATCGCACGTTATTTGTCAGGTAACGTGGTGCATCTGGAAGGGAAGGGGGGTCATCGGCTGTCACCCGTCGGCAGGGGACTGTACTACATACACTACACCACTACTGTACGGCCGTACGTCACACTTGTGGAAACTGAAAGTCCCCCCTCCGACATTGTCAAAGGAGGACCGATCCCTAGCTAGGCCTTTCTTAGTCATTCAGAAACAGACAACTATGGTTGGTTGAATAAACCATGATTATGTGCCGACTTCATCTAGGCGCATTTCAATATACGCCACAGCTTGCCAGTACAAGATATCTTCAAGTCCCTCGCTATATAGCTGAATTAGCACATTGTCTAGAGAGACCAAACAAAACCAACAGCGGGCGACCACGGGAATGCGACCCTCTCCGAATCCCCTAACTCGAGCAATGGCAAAATCTAGCAGAACCTGTACATGATTGCATGGTAATGTAATGTCGTACAAGAAAAGGAGAACGACACCGCATATAGATGGCACGGACCTAGCTTGTGACTCAGGAGCATATTCACAGGTGCATGGGTGGGTTACCTGTGGTATAGAGCAACACGCTTAAATTAGGTCATCAAGTAACACAGGCCAGGAACCATTTTGTCAGTTCGGGATGTTTAATAGTCGGTCACAATGACCATGTCGCTTCAAGAAACACGCTGTATCATCACGGCGTGGAAGACATGTCTAGCAACTCGCTGGGTGGACTGGCCGACCATGAAATGATAGAAAAGCCACTTACCACATGTCCTAGTACATGGTATCATCACAAGTCCAATGATGTCTGGGTTCCAGCAGTTGCCGATAACTCGCATCTTGAATCTTGGTCTTTGCATTCATAAAAGTGCATGCTGTACTACCTACCTAAGGTATCTAAATAGGGTACTGTAGCATCAATCTAGCGGAACATATAATTGACGAAAAAGATACACTTTCTTGGCAACCAGGTATATCACACCGCACAAGCATACTAGCTTATCCCACCTTCAACCAAAAGTTCGACTGAGACAGTATTTCGAATTTTCGACTTGACGGTCACGCCAGCGCTTAGGGAATTATATCTGACTATACGAACAAAGCAGGATCTAACGAGCACTTGGAAGCATTTGCTAACAGGCTGCATGAAAATTATTGCATCTGTATCATTATCGTAACCCTCCTCCTTGCCGAGCATATGTCAATTTGAAGTTCTTGCCCCCAAGTCCATAGTTGTCGCACGCGACTCGCTACAATATGGTAGGTCTATGTCCAAACCAAAAGCCAATAAAACCAAAAGGCAATGCCCTGATACTGCTTCCAACATTTCTACATGTAAAAGGTTGCTGGTGCGGCAGGCCGAGGTTTGAAACATTGTGGACAAGAGGAATCAAACTCCCAGCTATTGTTGGATCCGGGGCAATTTGGCTGCTTGGGTCAGTCTCGCCGTCTATTAGAGTGAAGCTCGTTGGCATCTTACACAAATCCATCTCAGGCCGCCTCCATGACCTCCCAGCGCAGGCAATCGAAGACGGTTGCAAAGACCCATTATGCACAAGAGCTGAACCAATCGAGACGCGCCTAGAACTGCTAAGCAGGAACCTGCAATCTAGATATGTCTTGGTGTAGCCTCGTCAAATATTGGAACTGCCGAAGGAGGCAAAGGAGTGGGCCCAGGCTGCTCGCAGTGTTGATTGTGTTCGAGGGAATCTTCTGACTGTTCTTTTCGTAGATAGTGCAGCGGAGAAGTTGAGAGCTTGAGGGGCGGGGGAGCGTGTTACAATCTCACAAACATAGAAGCGCGTGGAAGCCACATAGCCTTGTCCAATCAATACCCTGCCCGCATGTATCATGCTGAGAAGGCTGGGTCTTATTCGTTGCCTTTTGAGGTGTCTTAGAAGATTTGATGCTTGCCTCGCCAGAGATAATCGCGGGAGTGAAAGGTACGATATGATATTGTATAGGTAGGGGTATTTAAAGTACAAAGCTGAGACTTGGATCCCAAGTGCAATGAGATTGCTCTCGACACTTACTTGGATGAGGCGCGATAAAATCTGGAACGCCCCTTGGCATCCAAACCATGATATACTCCTCTTGATAACTTCACTTTCAATAACTCCATGTAGACAAAGGAAATCTCCACTCCCAGCCATGAAACTGCCTAAATCAATAATTCATTCAACAGACTAGCCCTGATGGTAGCTGCATCTGTGGTATTGCCTTTAGGAACAAGGACTGGTCCTGCAACGGTTTTTGGTGCGTGCTTTTTGAGGGTAGATATTGTAGTCTGATTGTTGACCTGGACTTGCAGATTGTGCTCTCCTGCCGTTGTCATCTAACAGTCTGTTTTAGTTCAGTACTGAGCCAGAAAACTTTTCTATCACTTACCCCCTGCATATCAAGTCGGAAGTTGGTGTCAGAATACATTTTGCCTGGCGCAGTCGGAAGGGCCTCTAGTACGCTATCAGGAATATTGTTGATAAACTCCTTAAGGGATTTGTTTGCTTTCCCCATGGTGTTTTTTTTTTGGTGGTCTCAAAGGAGGCAAAATCTAATGAGGAGTAAGAAGATTAGGTTCATAAATATGAAAGATAAAGAATTAGATCATTCAAAAGTCTTCATCAACCTTTATATAGAATGCTAACAATCTCATGTTGAGTGACCCCTTGATACACACATTACAACAAGCACTATTTATAGCACTTGAAATAAATAACCGCCGAGCCTGTATAACCGCTGATGGCTACCCCACTACAGCCCACTAACCCGACCATCCTTCCCCGACCATCCTATTGGTCAGTTATGTACGCATTCACATTTGTTTTGGCTGTACGAGCGTAGACCTGATGGCTTTCTAGCTTTGTGAATAGATATAATCGCAATCTGTCCTGTGCGTGGCAAAGACCTGTTTCCGTGTAGTGACCTGACGCCTACAGTAGCAGATCGCAAGTGCGGGGTATTGCCAGATACGTGGGCGCTTACCACCAACCAATCAATCATGTGATTAGTCCACCTGGCAACCGTAAAACTTTGGGTAAAATTCCTCTCCACGAAGGCATCTTCATTAGCCGTCCGGTGCCATATTAGTAGAGATCTTTCAGAGCTTGATCTCATATCGCGAACAGGATCGAAGCCTTTCAGCTTGCAACTCAACTCAACTTAACTACAACCTTGTGATACTGCATTGGAGATGTCACGGGGAAGCCAGGATGGGCTGGCGTGGGAGGAAACGCTTTTCGATCTCGTGCCTCGCTGGACTCGAGAGCCATCAATTGAGGCGATCGAGAGAACATGCCGTCAGAAACTCAATATTGGTTCCGAGGATACCTGTGCCGTTTCTATGTTTGCGTCTGGCGCCTTCAATAAGCTCTTTATGGTCACTTATGCCGATCAATCGGCGTTGATGCGAGTTTCTCTACCGGTCTATCCGCATATCAAAACACGCAGTGAGGCAGCCACTTTGCGATGGGTGCGCGAGAATACCAAAGTCCCCGTTCCTCAAGTGCTCGCATTTGAGGACAGCAATGACAACGAAATCGGCTTTGAGTGGATATTGATGGACCTTATACCGGGGTCTCCAGCTCACAAGCGATGGCGCACCATGTCAATGAAGCAGAAAGAAGACTTCACAACAAAGATGGTGGAATTTCAGGCAGATCTATTCCGCCTCGGTCGTCCCGAGTCCACGTTTAGCGGCATAGGGACCCTGAATTTCGAGACAAAAGAGCAGGACTCTGAAGGGGTTTCGACGTCAATTATTCCTGGCGAACTCGTCTCTCACTCGTTCTTCATGGGAGATCACCTGCACTACGATGTTGCGAGGGGACCTTTCCTCTCTAGCTATGACTGGTTAAGCTCAGAGCTGAAAATCATCATACTTGAGCAGGAGACAGTTATCGAAAAGGCAGAAGACGAAGACGATAAAGAAGACGCCGAGGAAATTCTCACATCGGCCCGGAAACTACTTTCCCTCCTCCCCAAGATCTTCTCGCCTACTCAGCCTGGCGCAGAGGCGACTGTCATCTACCACGATGATCTAAATCTTTGGAACATTCTTGTCGATTCTCAGGGAAGCATCACAGCTGTTGTAGATTGGGAGTGCGTCTCGGCACTGCCGATCTGGATGGCTACCAGGATGCCCAAGTTCCTGACCGACTCAAGCCGAGAGGAGGAGCCAAAGCGGGATGAATACATGGACGAGACAGCCTCGGACTCGGCGGAACGAGAGAAGAGTAGTGATCCAAATCTTCTCGACAACGAAGGCAAGGATGATTTGTATTGGATACACAGAATGGAGTGGGAAGTCACACAGCTGCGAAAAGTCTATTCAACGAAAATGAGGGAGCTCTGGCCGGACTGGCCGCTGGAGGAGAGCAATCTCAAAGTCGACTTTTATGAAGCAGTCTTGCAATGTGCTGCTGGAATCTTTCTGAAACAGGTGGATAAGTGGGCTGATGGCAAAGAGAGTGGCCAAAGCCTACGATTAACGGATGTTTAGATACTCCCATCACAAATGTATCATACTGCCTGCCTGCATTAATCCAACTTTGTGCAATAAGAATCAAATTCATAAGTGAATGAGTAAAATGGTAGTAATTGCAATAATAAATGTGTTATTAACACTGTCATGTTGCACACTTACAACGGGACTGAGCCTCATGTATAGGGTATGATATGTGTGATTGTATAGGTAATCTACCCGATCCAACGTTTAGTGGAATCAGTAGTTGTGGGCTGGGAACAAGCGCAAAAAATTAGCGGGGTTGTAGCGGGTGCTGCCGCTTTAGGTACCTAACCTAGTAGCTTGCTCAGGCATAGATCTGGCTGTCTTCGATGCGAACACTTTTTAATTTTTTTGGTAGAGAAGCGGAGGGTCCTAGAACAAGTAGTGCTCCTGCCTGCCAATGACGTCAAGTAGCAAGTCTGTTCAGTTTCGACATCAAGGGAACATAAAACGGACTGTGCAAGGAGCGACTCGTACAGGGGATGTAATCGCGAGGCATACCCTTCAAGCATGACGGCCAAGCACCTCATCGATCGCCCGGTACCCCCCACATGGAAAGCATCGTTAGCAACCGCATGAGCGAGAGGCTCAAAAAGTAAGATGTACGGCACGGTACAAAGGTCACACATGTGGCGAGAGCTAGGATCACAACGCCAAAACTCACTTCTCATCCTGGTTTTTAACACATGCACATTCCAAGGATTTGTGTCAACGGATTCAACTTTCTCGTATGAAGTGGCGTGGAGATGAGAAGACAACAAGGCTGGGAAAAGTTGGCGGGGGAAACGGGGGTTCAACGTTAAAAGTTTTTGTCTTGAAGCATTGCATTGGCTAGAGATAGATGGAAGTGAAGAGTGCAAGTCTAAAGCTCGTTTTACGCTCAATTGTTAGGAGTCGGAATTTGAAGTTTTATGGGTAGAAGCCACCCCGATTATGATTTACATCGTCTTAAACCTTTAGCAATATAAATCATCCGATGTGATGAATTCCAAGCTGGTACAGAAACACTAGAATGACTGAACAAGCCATTGGGTCTGTTTGTCTTTTAGATCCTCGTAAGATTTAAGGCATCGGAGGTGTATTTTGCGGCATGAGGATTTAGGTTATGCTGTCAGCACAGTTACCCTCAACTTACGTGGTCGATTTAATGTTACCGTTGGCCATGTTGCAAAAGCTTGTCCTAACTCTTTTACCATTATGTAGCTCAAAATATGAGTGGAAAACATTTGAGCATAAAACCTTACATAGTCAGCGACTGGCACCAAGACAACAACAGTACGGATTTGTTTATTCTTTGAATTGTTTCTTCTTCTTTTCTTTTTGTTTTGAAGAGGTCGGGGTGCCCCATATAAAGTTATATTCAAGTCCCTCTTCTTGTGTTTCCCAACTCCTAGAGTGCCTTCATTCAAACATATTCCATCATAGCTCCCTCGCCAAGAATACCAAATATGAAACTGCTACCAATTGTACTCATTGGTGCTTATTGCGCCAAAGAGATCCTTGCCGAGTGTTGTCCATCGGATGGCGTCGACAGGTGTGATGATCACACACTCGGAACGCCTTGTTGCGGTCACGGGAAGTGTAATGTGTTTTGTTGCGCATGCAAAAATGGTGAGCATTTCTATCTGTGTACTAGCTTTTGGCACCTAATGGAAATTGTCAGGTTGCAGACGTCAGAGGAGCGTGTTCGAATCAGAAAGCTTCCAAAGCATCATCGACAAACCGACCACCTTTGGTTCGGAATCCAATCACCCTGCCTGCTCTTACGACACAACTTTTGAGGGGATTGATACCGATAATGACAATATCATCAGTCTCTCAGAATATCTGGTCTGGGTGGCTGGTACCAACCCTGGAGCAGTAGCTAACTCTACAGCACTCGGACTTTGGATTGACTGGTTTTACCGGTACGTTGAGATATGATTATTCTTTGTGATCAGGCTGTATGTGTCAAACTCTTTCTAACAAGAAAACATGGGCAAATAGTTTCGACACGGACGGTGATGGCAAGCTACACTTTGATGACATGCACTTCCCGTCCAAATAAGGGGGTTGTTTCGGACGTAGAGGGGGTTCAACAAGGTATGGTGAGACCTCAACGTCTCGTGGAACAGCCTATATTCCAAATGTTGCTCTACATATCAGTAAAAGCGAATAATAGTGTGTCGGCTAGAAAAGATCTCTCAACAAGGTCTATTATAGGAATATAAATTGGTTTCATTGGTTTCAACGCCTAGAAAACATGATGTAGAGTATGGATTGACGTCAAGTATGAAGTAATCTTACTGTATTTACTTTCATGATACAATAATATGCAATAGAAATGCCGCTCAACTGCTATTGTGAATATTGATTTTATACGTCTTCTTTCCACCAAAAGATGTCTAGTAACAACAATATGGGTACCATTGCTATTGATGAGAGTAACCGATCCAGCTACGACTTGCTCATTCAGGATAAAAGCATCCAAGAAGATGTGGTCAGTGGGTCTCCCTGGGATATGCCGCTTGACAACGACCAGGAGACGAGGCAGGTTGTCCTAGATCGGTGGATGGCGGTGGGAACCTCTATATTAGGATGCTTCAGTCATGCCTGTGATTTCTGACTGTCACATTCAGAATCCAGCCTACAGATTGAAGGTCAGGCCGTAAGGCCAAATTGACCATTGTCACCAAAATGTCAGAGCTGCATTGTCGCATCTGGTTAGATTAGTCGTGTTTGTCGCATGGGGCTATGGATGCGCGATAAGCAATGCTGGGCTCAGCCGCAAGTTTAGACGGTTCAATATTTTTATTTTTTATCCGTGTAATTATCAGAGGAAGCAGATGTTTTTTATAGAAAAAGGGAATTGACTTTTGCCTTCAACTTGTCAAAGTCGATACGTCACGTTTGCCGACCAGAACAAATACCTCCTCAGCAACAGGATCAAGGACTCTCCTCTCTCTCAATCTGCGCTTGTGGCCTATTTTTGTTCCCCAAAACAACCTTTTCAAACGTTCCGACTGAATCAAGCTGACAGATACAAGGAGACGCGGTTCGGCTGCTTGGTTTGGCCGGTCGACCTTCACTAGCAAAGGAGTATCGACAGCTCCCATGATGTAGGTTTCCGAGTGTCGCAGTTCCCATCTGCCTTGCACCGGTGACGCAACACTCGACGCACTTTGCTGTTCGCAGCATGCCACAGCGGTCCAGAACAGCCCCGTTGAATTTGCCCATAGCGATGAAGGCGCTCTGCACTTGAGGTGGCTGGTCTCGAGACAGTCCATGGTAATGTACGCAAAGGTAGCGACTTCGTCAGAATCAGCAAGCATTCTGGCCCAATAGTTCTCCTTGGTGCACGGGACCTGAAAGCATTGAAACGCAATACCCGGCTGAATACAGCCAATAACCAAGTTTTCTCCTTTCCTGTCAATTCCAGTGTCGCGCATCGATGTTAAGACGGCGATGACAAGGCACTCGAAGGTCTTTTGGTGGTCATGAGGCAACGCCGCAGCCCATTGACCAAGGTCTTTGCTTTCCAAGGCCGTGATGATGTCAAAGTCCTCGACCAAAGAGCTCCAGAGTGGCGGCTCGCTTATCAAGGCCGCGACATAAGTCGACAGCAAGTCGGCCAGCATCTTCCTAAGGCTGACTCTCCGTGCTACCCCCGTGCAAACACTGATTTGGACACTATACAGCTCTTCAAAATCCGATTTATATAGTCGTGCCAGCATTCTTGACTTCTTGGTCAGCCCTCTCATTTTAACCCATGTCTGATTCAATTGTAGAGCAGCGATGGGACTCTGCCCTGCCTGGAGCCCGAATCCAAGTTGCCGTTCTGCCTTCTCCCAATAGTCACGATAAGTACCCAACTCATGCAGGAACACAGACGCGCTGCGTAAGGGGTCTTGCTGCCGAGCCTCACAGCTAGCGTTTACAGTGACCCAGGCGCCGATGACAGCTTTTTGACTCCGACTGAATGTGATCTGTGGCAGCTCCTCTAGACGTGGTTCGCGTGACCAGTGCAACAGTGCTCGGCTTGCATCCTGACCAGTCGCTGTGATGCAGCCTCCACCGACATAGATGGCGTGAATAACCTCGTGGTCATCTGAAGCCGATATAAGCTGGCCGGGCCCCCAAGTATCGAGAAGATCGCAAGGACTGGCGATCAAGTTGTGCTTTTCCTTGGACGTAATGGTGCTCTTTGCCTCGCTTATTCTGGAGTAATATCGAAAAGCAAAGGCTGGTTGCCCAAGCATATCACCGAAACACGCGAGGTTAACAAGGGATCCAAGTATACATGGACCATCATAGTCGTTTGTCCGCTCTGCTGCTCCCAGCAGCATGATTTGGTCGACTCCTCTGTCCAAGAATGCCGGACTTATCGGCCCACAATGGGCTCGGGAGTATGATAGCAATGCGGTAGAGAGGAATTGGACCACTATACTCAAGAGAAGCGGGGCGGGTATTTCATCATTTCCGCCATTGACGAAGGAGAACCCTGGAAGAAGCCTCGAAATATCTTCTGGATTCGGGGTGGCTATTTGGCTTCTCAAGTCCCTGATGACTTGAAGATCTAAGCTGTGAAGATGTACTTCCGTGGCTGAACTTGAAATGGAAAGATAGGTGAATTTGTTGCAGCATCCCCCAACCTGCTGAAGGCTTCCAGCAGCAACTGAGAGATGGTCCAGGACACGGGTCAGAGTTTCCTCTAGCCCTTGAGTGTGGTACAGGACGGTACCTCGCGAAATCTCCGCATCAAATTCGACGTGCCCAAGGTCTAATGTTCTGTCATCGCTGACAGAAGGACGTACACCGCCAAGACCACACAGGATGTCGATGATGTCCTCCACAGCTACTTCGGAAATATGATTTTCCAAAAACAATGATTCGTTCGCTTCCAAAGTCGGCAACAAAGCTTTCTCGTCTCTTGTTGTGGAATGTCTGTCTGCACACAAGCAGTTTTCGACGTGAAAATCACTTTTGAATGAGGGAGATGAGGGTATATCGAAGTCGGAAAAGATCCAGGGGCTATCAGAAGACTCCTCAACAAGTTCTTGGGCAATTACATCCAATGATAGCCCTAACTGTCGCAATTCATCAATCCAAGCAAAGGCCCCGCTGGCGACTTCGTCGAATGATTCACGAAGCAGACCGGCGATCGAGTTGAGGTCTTTCCTATTAATAGCTTCCTGGAAGCGCTGGGGAATCGGTTGGGGAATTTGCCGGAGAATTGGCTCGTAAATTGGCAAGAGGGTTGAAACACGGGATTGATGCTTCCGGCTTGAGGAGCTCTTGCTTTCAACCTTAGGCTTAGGTAGTAGAGGCTCCGGGATATAATCACCACTACTAAATTGTGAGGTAGTCTCATAACTGGTGGACCTAGGGACTACACTCCATGAAGGCGAACTGGTGTAATTTGGATTGATAGGGCCAAAGCCTCGGGTTGTGACCGGCGGGCCTCGTGGAGTGCGATAATCCTCACTGGGATATACGACGGTGTTGATCCGCTCGAGTAGCCTGTTATCCTGACCCTGGTGCTGGCGACGCTTGCTTCTGGATTTACTACGGCCATCTGAGGATTCACTCGACGCCATGCTCGTTGCATAGCCTGAGTCGGATAAAGGTGCCAAACGTCGACGCAAGTCGTGGACTTCAATTTCGTAGGTATCTCTCTGATGTCTGAGTGTAGCGTTTTCCTCTCTGAGGCTTCGAATTTCGAGTTCTTTTTCACGAAGTGTCGATCTGAACGCTGTCAATTGTGCATCTAGATCGTTTGCCTTGCTCTTATATCTTCCCTTTTCCTCGCGGCACGAGTCCAAAGCTTCCTGCAGGGCACCAACGTTGAACCGTTGAACGTCATAATCTTGAGCTGTGGAGAACCGATTAGATTTCCCTTTTATATATATCTAGTCAATAGACGAACCGAGTCCTGAATCCCGACTTCGAGGTGAGGTTCGGGAGGAACTGTCGCTCTCCCGGAATCTGACTGTTCTTTCTCTGCCATCTGGCATATTGACGACCGTGAGTAAAGCAAGTGAGGATACAGTGTAATCTAAAAAGTGCGATATTCTGACCAAGGACAACTATAGCCAAATTGTTTATGTCTTTGGATAGTTGACAGCAAAGTCTACGAACATGCACTTCTTGACAAGGAATGCAAACATGTGAAGGCGCTTACGGAGACATACTGCGGGGCTGAGAAAATGGACCTATAAATAGTCGAGATCTCCAGGACCAAGCCACACTTGGATCGCGGCCTTGGCGTGGAGGCTATGGAATGGATTGTGGTCGAAAGCAAGATCATCAAGGGAAAGAATGGGTATATTGGAGACTGATCTCCTACATGCTACACAGTCAGTCTTTGCCGCAGTGATCGATTCAAGCATCTATCTTACTTATAGGTGAGTCATTTAATACGGCTTGACGACTATACTTGTGAATTAGTTCGAGACCCATGTTTCTACTAATGTTTGCCCAGTTTAGTATATTAGATAGCGTTCCCTCTTACTATTAACCCCGACACCTCTTATACTTCAGGATTACCTTTTCTCTTCTTCAAAGCCTCCTTTGTGAACTTGTAGCAATGCGGTTTGAGTGATTGGAAACATGAGAATTTAGCGCGGATAGCGGGGTCATCCGGGGCTCAGCTTGGCCGGTCTCAACGCGGCCATGCTGCTGCACCTGTGAGGGAGAAGGTTACCTCTACCTTAGGTAGGTAGGGTTAGGCCAACAGAGAGCTTCCACGATAGCTAGTTCAAAGAGAGTTGCGTTTGCCAAGATATTCTACACGTTCGCTATCTATTCTCTGCATCGTATAAAAGAATGTCAAAGAAGTAAAATATTGAGCATCAGGCTAGGAAAATCCTGTGGCGTGGAATGATGGGATGGCGGACTGGCTCGATTGGGATCCTGTCATGATCATCCTGGAGCACCAGTTGCCCATTCATGTTGCGATTCCGCCTCGCTGCACAAATTGCATCGTAGCACAAGCTGCAGGGCTCTTTTGGTTCAAGCTGTCCTATCAGGTCTCAGCACATATACCTAATGCGCCACGCTGCACCCCAGCCGGGCGACGCCAGAGATCACCTTGGGCATCGATGCAACCCCCCTCACATTTCGTCCTTGAATCGAGTATCTAGCCATGTAGGCAGTCACTATTTGTCGACGGGAGCCTCGATGGGTCATCTTTGATCCAACGGCTTCTGAAAAGTCGTTAAACACTCCAAACAAGGAAGACGGAGTGACTTTCACAGGGGAGAAAATTGAACAAATGCATTCCATCTCAGGACTAAAAGCCACCAACCATGTCAGATCCAACAATCTATACAGTTGCTTGGATCTGTGCCATTGGGACCGAGCTCGTTGCTGCAAAGCAATTTCTTGACCAAACGCATGACGATGCAGACCAGCTTCCCAACCACGATGACAACACGTACGTTCTCGGCAACATTGCTAGGCATAACATCGTTATTGCCGCATTGCCGCAAGGGCAGTATGGGCTTGTCAGTGCTGCCATCGTCGCTCGAGATATGGTGCGCAGCTTTCCCAACCTACGTTTCGCCTTGATGGTTGGCATCGGTGGTGGCGCACCAAGCAAGAGGCACGACATTCGGCTTGGTGATATCGTTGTGAGCTCGCCTGGTTCTGGCATGGGAGGCGTGCTTCAATACGACTTTGGCAAGACTATCCAAGACGAAAGCCTCCAAACCACCGGACACCTCAATCAATCGCCGCAGTGCCTACTAAGGGCGATTCCTTTCCTCGAGGCTGACTACGAAAGCGATGGCAATGGCATTGATGAGAAAATCGTCCATGTCCTTGAAAAAAAGCCACTTTTGCGCAAGAAGTATGGAAAGCCGGACTCCAGCACAGACCGGTTATTCAACTCAACGTACAAGCATGCTGGAGACAACGATCAAGAGTGCACGGCTACGTGTGTTGATACCGAATTGATCGTTAGATCTACACGATCTGAGGAGCAAGACGGTCCCAACATTCATTTCGGACTCATTGCTTCAGCCAACCAACTTATGAAAGATGCACACATACGCGACCAGCTTTCGTCAGAAAAGGATGTGCTATGCTTTGAGATGGAAGCTGCCGGGCTTATGAATCAGTTTTCGTGCCTTGTCGTGCGCGGCATCTGTGATTACTCAGATACACACAAAAACAAAGCCTGGCAAGGCTATGCAGCTATGGCTGCAGCCGCCTACGCAAAGGATTTGCTGCGAAAAGTCGCACCGAATAGGATCGAAGCAGAGCGGCGGCTAGCAGATGTCCTTTCGGGCGGTATATAATTCCACGAGGCCAAAAGACGGGTGATCGTACTAATGTCTCGATAGTGGATTCCAAGCTTGAAGACATCAACTCTCAGATGAAAGCCACGCACACAGAAATCGAAAGCATTCAAAAGGACAAGCACTCCAACGACATCTTTCAATGGATAGATCCACCCGATGTTTCTTCCAACCTAAACAAAGCTATCAAAGCCCGCCATCCAGGCTCGGGCCTTTCATTGCTTGAAAGCAAGGCATATACTACGTGGAAGAGGCAAAAAAATTCGTTTCTTTGGCTCCATGGCATCCCTGGGTGCGGCAAAACCGTCCTCGCGTCAACTATAATCGAAGACCTGCAAAGGGAGCAGTGCCAAAATCCTTCACAGGCACTGCTCTACTTCTACTTTGATTTCACCGATAGCCGGAAACAGTCCTTTGAGAATGCCCTTCGCTCCTTCGTCTGTCAGATGCATCATCAGAGCGAAAAGGGTCAAAAACATCTCAATTCGCTCTATTCGCAAGTCTGCAGGAACGGAAGCGTACAGCCTAGTTCCGACGCTTTGCAAAAGACTCTAGCTGGTATGATCGGCGATACTAAAGAAGTTTGGATCGTGCTCGATGCTCTTGATGAGTGCACGTTTAGATACGAAACGCTATCTTGGTTGAGAAGTTTTACCCAAGGTTCTTCTATGCAGGCCATTGTGCATCTCCTGGTAACGAGTCGGCCGGAGCATGATATTAAAGCGGATATTCAAGGTTACGCCAGCGACGAAGAAATGATCTCTATACAAGACGATTTGCTGGAAGTGGATATAAGGAACTACGTAAAGGCCAGAGTCCGCGAGCACGAAGGCCTTAGTCGGTGGCGTGGACATAAGGGGATCCAAGACAAAATTGAGGCCAGTCTGATCGAAAGGGCCGACGGAATGTAAGAAACTCTAAACTCGACTTGGACTAATGATTTCAGTCTGGTTTTTCGATGGTATTTATTTAACGTTATTAATAATTAGCTAATATAATATAGGTTTCGCTGGGTGGCTTTGCAACTAGACGCGCTGGAGGGCTGCTTTGAACGGAAAGCTTTGCTTAAAACACTCCAAAACCTACCCGAAACGCTAGATGAGACATATGAGCGGATACTGGCAAATATACCTTCGGCTCATATGCACTATACGAGACGGATTTTGCAGTTCTTGACGTACTCGGATCGACCTCTACGCCTTGAAGAGGCGGTGGATGCAATTGCCGTTGATGTTGAAGAGGGTGTGATTCGAGGACATCGATTTGATCCTGAGGATAGATTGCCGGTGCCAGAAGAGATCACCCGGTACTGCTCGGGCCTTGTTGTGCTCGTGTCAAGGCCAGCTATTTACGTCGGCGCACCAATAGTAAAAGAAATCCAGCTGGCACATTTCTCAGTCCAGGAGTACCTTACCTCAACCCGTATTCCGAGCGAAATTTCTGGATATTTACAAAAGACACTCGCTTCAAGCTCTATTGCCAAGGTTTGCCTAGCATATCTTTCGGAACTTCAACAAGGAAAAGCAGAGTATGAGATTAGCGAGGATTTCCCGTTGGCCAGGTATTCCGCACAATATTGGGCAAAACATGCTGTTCTTGGCGAGCGCGATAACGAATGCATATCCAAGCTAGCAACGGAACTTTTACTAGATCATCCTCAAACGCGAGACTGGTGCCTATTTTATAACAGGACTAGTAGCTGGCGCAAACCACAGGAAGGTACACCTTTAGTACCTGCCCTGTATTACGCATCCCTCCTAGGATTTCCACGTTGTTTTAAGATTCTCCTTGGCGAGGGGGCCAATCCCAACGCGCAAGGTGGGTATTACGGCAACGCACTGCAAGCGGCTTCGAAAAAAGGACACAAAGCGGTTGTCAAGATACTGCTCGACCAAGGAAAAGTTGTCCAAGGGCAGGGCGGATCGCATACTGACGAAGGAACTTCAGATATATGGTCGGAGGAGATGGTCCAGAAACTGCTCAACAAAGAGGCGGCGGAGGATAAGCAAGCTGGAGTTTACGGCATCGCTTTGATGGCTGCTTTCTGCGAAGGACACCAAGAAGCCAAAACGATACTGGCCAAGCTTGTTGCCTCGCAACTGTTCAAGAAAACAAGGAGCAAGAAGATAGCAATGTGGTACTGCGTAAGTATTTCCCAATCGTAAAAAGTTGACGACGGATCCTATACTCATTTTGTCTATATTAGTCCGAATGCGGTCAGGAAAATTTAGTGACTACTAATCCCTCCTGCTCTCTCTGTGGCCACGTTCAAGGTCCGCGGGATACTGTTGAGAGAGTTGAAGTAAGGCGGTCTGCTTGGTGATCCGCAAACCCCCTGAATAAGAAAGTTTCCTCGACAGATTCACACTGGGTTCTAAGCAAGAACATTGATCTCGAGCTGTTCGAGTGCATTGCAAGCCGACGCTTCCTGCTTTCAACCCGGCAAAACCTGCGCTCACCAGGCCTTGGAAAATGCTGATCAATATCGGATATTTCACCACATCGAAGCATCATCTTCTCATAAGGTAACCTAACTTCATTGCATACCTACTCAGAAGTTTCAGAATTTAAGAAAAGCATGACAGCCTTAGATCGGCCCTGGAAGGCGGAATTATACTTGAAAGATTCAAATTTAGTGCTTATTTCATGAAATATGCCCTTCGAAATTGTACCCACTAATGCATACCCAGTATGTATTTTTGAATCGAGTAATGCTCGAAAAGACCAATGTTATTTTAGTGACTATGTTATACCTATAATTTTTCCAAAACAGACGTTGACAATATTGGGCAGCATGCCATTCTATGGCATTCTTTCATGCCGCCAAGAAATCTCCAAGATGCTGCATATACTTTGCCCGCTGATCCACGTGCGAGAAATGGGCTGCATTATCCAATGTGATCCATTTGACTTTCTTGATCTTATCAAAGAAATGTTGCATTGCCACGTCCTTTGCCTGGTCGGCTGTACCGTTGATCAAGAGGGTCGGGACATTGACCCTGTCGAGCAAATGCAAAGAGGTCCAGTTTCGGAGCGAGCCAGAGATGTATAGCTCGCTAGGCTCGTCCCTAGATGAATATGAGTACAAGTGGCCTTGTGTGGGTATCTTTCGGCAGAAATCATTGCTCACATTGTTCCATACGTAGTAGCATCTTTTGCAAACCAATCCAAAGCAGCCTGAACCTCTGGCGATGGCCAAGGTTTGGTGAGACTGAGGTGTCTCTTGCAAAAGACTTCTATGGCAGACTCGTATTCTGGGGTTTCGAATTCTTCCGTTTGGTCGGCATGGTCGAGGACGGCTTGGACATCCTCTGGTAGATCCTTTCTCAAGGCTGTGATTCCAACTCTACACACATCGATACTTGCAAGGCTGTTCGATATGACCAAGCGACGGAGGTTTGCAGCATACGCAGATGCAGCGATCCACTCGACTGCAAGCATCTCACCCCACGAGTGACCAAGCATATCGAATTATTTCTGCTGGAGATCGAGGTGATGGATGAGGTTACCAAGTTCCCGAACGAACAAGTCGACGGACCAAAATTCCTCATCGCCGTTTTTCTCAGGCAAATGAGTTGATTTACCATTTCCGATCTGGTCGTAGAAAATGAGTGGCCGAGACAAGTCCGTCAGCGGTAGCAAGTACTCGTGACACGCCCCGGGACCGCCATGAAGGACAATCAAAGGTATGTCGGGGCCATCAAGTTGACCAACAACTTTATACCAGGTATTGCAAGGTTCCTCTAGACCTTGCACCTTGAAGACTGCTTTTCCCAAGTTTTTGAACACATTAGAGATATATCTTGCCAAGTTGCAAATTTTGAAGCATGGGAGGATCTATTGACGGGTAATAATGACCAGGGGGTGTGCCAGTGAGTTGGAGACGGGAATAGAGGCACAGCTAGCATACCTCTGTCATTGTTTCTGTGTCGATAACCAACCAAATACGCACTGAGGGATTGGAGATTGTTTGAGATTGTTTGAGATTGTTTGAGATAATGTCATGTCTCAAGAGATAAATGATGAGCAGGCTGTCCTGCCTTTATGCACTTCAGACCCCCATGCTGCCCGTACAGCTAAGCAGCAGCACAGCACAGACGTGCCGCTCATCACATATCCGACGGGTATGAGCGGTCCCAATCCCTGTGCATATGTATGACTGCCAAGTAGTGCAAGGAGTTATGATGGACATTCATCAAAGTTTTTCACAAAGTGACAGAGAACCACAATGTTTGATTTTCTTGATGATACTAAAACTATTGACTAATATCTCACTTGATTTCAGGCAAAGTCGGAAACGGGCTGTTGTTTGCGCAGTTCCTGATATTCACCCCAAATTCGCTTCATTGAGACTGAAAATTCGCGAATGGCCCAGGCTTGGCCGTGTACTCGTTCTTCGGGAGATGAAAGAGCTGGTAACCGTGTTGAACCAGTAGCACTGGAAAATTCTGTCAAGCAGGAAGTCCATACAGGCCTGAGTCAGCCCACGGTCGCTGTAGGCAGTTATACTTTATTTTTTATTTTTTAACTTTTTATACTCTGGCGTCGGGAATTGTGCTTGTAGAAGTGGTGGCTGAGAAGAGACCTTGCATTCGTCCAAGGGGATTAGGAAGACGATTAATCTCACTCACGAGCGTCATGACAAGGTTGAGGCACTTGACGAACAGAAAAGATATCAGAGACAGCATGCAAACAATCCATGATGTAGAGCAAGTCGATCGGTCCCTTGAAATCCCGATGGCAATCAGGGAACATACATCTAGTATCATCATATCCACTCCTAGCCTATAGTATATACGGCAAGCTCCAATAAGAAGTAACTATTTACCCCCCGCAACGTAGGATTATAAGCACTAATCATGTCTTCATACAAGGGTACCATATTCGTCAACTCCAAAAACGAGTTTGAACGAGTACGTCATCACGACACCTACGTTCATTGGTTGAGTATGATTCTCTGACTAATTCCATAAGCGTTGTCGGCTCCGAACCATGAGCCTACGATGATCCCATATAAAACGGCACCAGGCGCGTAATTTGCAGTCATATGCTGATTTCGTCTGGTTCCATCCAAGTATTACACGGAGAAAGTGACTGAAAACAATACACCATGGCACCACAGGCTACAAATTCAGCACCTATCGTGGTCATAGGGTGTGTGCGGTCAAATCCTTGCATGAACCGAGGCCCCAATCTGCTGACCACTCTTCAGTGCTGGAGTGATTGGACTGACAACGGCCTTGTCGCTGTGCCGAGCTGGCTACACCAATGTCAAGGTTATCGCCAAGCACATGCCTGCAGACTTTGAGACTGAGTACACCAGCAAGTGGGCGGGGGCAGATTGGGTCCCGTAAGTTCAGCTCGCCTTTAACCGACCAACCCCCCATACTTCTTCTCATCGTGTATTCTTCACTTATAGGTTTTCGTCTCGTGGGACAAGAGAGATGCGCTGGGATCTGGAGAGCTGGAATGAGTTGAGCAAGCTCGCGAGAACCACTCCTGGCGCTGGAGTACATTTTCAAGGCAAGTATACAGATTTTCAGCTTGATCAACCCATAGAGTCTGAACGCGATTAGACAGGACGAAATACTACCGGAATAAAGACCTTCAAGCGACGGAGCTAGACCTCTGGTTCAAGGATGTGGTTCATGATGTAAGCATCTCCCTCAAGGAAATGCAAACTGTAGGCCAAAAGCTCACAACCATCCTTAGTACAAACTGCTGGCCAAAAACGAGGTCCCAGCCTGGGCCGACTGGGCCACCTTTTATCGGACCCTTACAATTGACCCAAGCATATACCTGCACTGGCTCCAATCCACATGTATCGAATTGGGCGTCCAGTTCAAACGGGCATCACTCGCGCATATCCGGGAAGCCTTTTCAATGGTCTCCCCCGAACCGGCTCTTGTAGTAAACTGCACAAGCCTACAAGCATCCAAACTTGGAGGGGTTGAAGACAAGTGGTTGAAGCCAATGCTCGGGCAGCTGGTCATCGTGGAGAATGATGTTGACGGCATCTACGGGCTTTCTGGAGACGACGACATGGACGCCTCGCTGGGGGAATGCTGCTATGTCATACCTCGCCCTGGCGGGGGCGGAACCGCGATTGGCGGTTGTAGTTATGCTTCCTCTTCAAAAGATCCCGACATGAGACTGGCTGAGAGAATGATGAAGAGAGCCGTTTCTATTGCGCCTGGCCTGGTGCCGAAAGGTGCCGGGATTGAGGCTCTCCGTGTTATCCGGCATCAAGTCGGTTGGAGACCACACCGCGAAAATGGCCCAAGGGTCGAACAAGAAACCATTTCGGACCACCAGTTTGGCCAATTGCATGTGGTGCATGCATATGGACTTGGTGGTTTTGGCTTCCAGTCGAGTTACGGTGTTGCGGCCGAGGTAGTTGATCTTGTGGGATCATGCTTGAGCGCACGAGAAGATGGATCATCCAGACAAATATGAGGGACTAATGCTTAACTTACTCCGATCATTCACATCGATTACAGCAAAGTCTAATGTGCTTTCATCGAGAGAACATTTCTATGAACCAAGTTTCATTACATCCGATGGATCATTTACTTGCAGTACTCGTCTGTGCTGCTCCGAATCTATGCTTCTTCTGTCTTTCCAACATCTTTTTGATAAATAATGAACAAGCAACCAAGTGTTGGGCAAAATCTGCGAATAGCAATGTGGCATATAAATGATGCATTTTTAGTCCGAGCCCTTCATAGATGGTGATGAATGCCATGGAACACGCTTATAGAGGTGCCCGCCTGTGGGCGAGTCTCCATGTAAGTTGGCGAGTAGATGAGTATTCACTGGCATTCAATGTATTTGATAGGCCTGTCAGCGAAAAATAGCACAATTCAAGCTGTGGGCATAATGTCGAGGATGTACGGCAGCATTTCACGATGGCACACCATCTCGCCCCCATGTATGACCGCTTAGCTCCTCCTCACCCCATCCTGGACCAAAGGCTTCATGGACGAAAAAGCATACCGCGCAATCTTCCAGCCCCCCTCACCCTCTCCATCCTTTCTCATGATGAACAACTCCTGATTACTATGGCTCTCGCTGACCCCCGTAGCCAACATGGTCTTGGTGCCCTGCGCCGTAGTCCGCGCAAAGGCCCAGGCCCCGGGACTCGTGACCACGACCTCGTCGATATCAAACTCGATCTGCAGCTGCACGCTGGCAAATATGCGCGCGTACGCCTCCCGCAGCGCCCCGGTGCCCGCGCTCGGTGGGAAATGGGGCGCCAGGATCACGCCGTCGGAGGTGTAGAGCGCCACGGCCTGCTCGACGTTGCGGCTGGCTAGGGCGGCGCCGTACGCGTGCAGCGTCGACGTAATGTCTTGTACATCACTATTTTCTGAGGAGGAGGAAGACACTATTGGTTGAACCCGTCCGGTTAGTGCTTGCTACATCTTTTGGGGAGTTTTAATGATGGATGATGTTGAAGAGCATACTTTTACAGAAAAATAATACCGCTTATGCTGGCTGCTTAGAATTGGTGTTGCTTGGCTGCAGGCTCTTTGCTCAAATCCGGGACAATCTTTGATTTCTATCTAAGACTTTACAAATCATGGTAATAATGAGAAGGGTTCCTTCTTGTTATACGTCTATTTCCACTTGTCATCGCAAACTATCACCAAGAGTGGGGGATCGGCTAATGGAGTCGTCTCAAGACTATAAAATCACCATAGTGGGGGTTAAGGCTTGCAAAGAGTGGGAAGCCAAGCCCACGTCGCGACTCAGCTGCTGCTGGGTCACCTCAAGATAAATGTCTTTAGTCACTACCGGAAGCAAGAAGGTCTTCTTTTTTTGTGCATCAACATGAGATTGTTCGTCTATGTACAAACTAGAGGTGAAGCTATAGACAGAATGGAATAGCTTTCTTGAAGAAAGCATTATGTACAGGTTTGAACCAGTGAAAATGGAGATGTAATAAACCTCGTGGTGTACCTCTTTACAATTCTGCAGAGGTTGATGCTGGGGGAAAATGCAAATTTCTTCGTGAACACATGGCAAATACGAGGGGGGGACTGCCTCAAGTCAGCCCACGCTAGATATCTCGAGCCAACTGCCCATGAGATGATCCTCCAAAAGTCCCTCAAAAAATGATTCGAGACGGCAGAAAAGCCTGAACAAGTCTCGTCTAGACAAACGCAATGCCAGATATAACGCCTTTTGCTCCAATGTGTTGCTGTTGGCAACCAATTATGCTGGTAGGGGTATCCTGCTTTCTCTTCTTTTTCTGATTTCATGTGGATCTTTGTTGATGTGGCTCTATCGTGCGTAAAATATGTGTAAACACAATCACCACGTGAAACTCTCCTCCACAAAGTCAACGACAGTGCCATCGTCTTGCACGGATCTTACGGCTTCCCGGACGTCATCCGCAAGGGCGCCTGGACCGCAAACCGAGACATATGTGGCACCGACTTGCTCCTCCATTTCCTTCTTCAGTACCGTCATGGTATTAGGACGGCCCGGGTGCATCTGAACAGTCGCACTAGCAGACTGGATTTCCTTGGGATTCTTGGGTCGCGTAATGAAGAGCTTGATCTTCAGTATCTCCTTTCGTCGGGGCATTCGGAGGATCTCGTCAACCCAAGGGCGAATCCACTCAAGACAATCGTAGTCTCGAATAATCCAGATGAGAGTCACCTTGCGGGTAGCAATAGTACCCGCATTGAAACCCTCAATGATGGGTTTTAAGTACGAGAGCTGGTGAGTGATACCACTGGCACCAGCAAAGAGAACGGCGTGGCCGTAGGAATCGATTTGGTGATGGCCGCCGTAAGGACCCTCCATCGAGGCTCGAAGGTTGATGGTCTGCTCACCAGATGCAACGGCCTTGTTGTACAAGGATCGGGTGAAACCAGTCTGTGCCTGAATAATGAAGGAAACAGATGTGGTACCTCGGCGAATATCGCGCTCCGTCACCTTTTCCTGGCCATCCTTACCATCAAGGCATGGGAAATGCTCGACCCAAGCAATGGAGAAGGGGTGGCTCTCCCATGGGTGGACATCCTTGAAGCGGAGGTAGGCATGGCTTCCGGGAAGGACATCCAGATGGCGCGGCAGGTGCAGAGTTACACGGCAGGCATCAGAAGGCATCGCAGACACGGATGCCTCAGTGAAACCTCTGCTGGACCAGTTATTGTAGACTTGGCGGAACATTCGTGCGGCACGGTCGGCAAACCACAAGAGGAAGATGGCGATGACCCAGGGAAGCTGGGGGAGGGTGCCAACATTGGCAGTGACACAGTGAACCCAGGTGCAAGCAAAGATGATGCCAGCCAGGATAATGTGGACGTTGAGGAAAGTCTCGTAAAAGGCGTGGCGGACGGGGCCAAGTGAGAGGACCAGCAAGAGCACCAGGGCAATGGTGCCACAGAATCCAGAGGCGATGAAGCTCTCAGTGATGAGACGAAGGTTGACACTATCCCATCCTCCGTCGGCGAGCTGCACGATCAGCCAAGCAATGGTGTGAATGACAGTCTCAATGACAACGACGCGACCCATCCATCGGTGAAGCAGATTGTAGGTATCAAAACTGATCTTCAGAATACCGATTAAGGGGTTGTTGCGGCCGGCCAAGATAATGAGAGGCACCATGTTGACGGCGGCCAGGGTACCAGATCGACCACGAATCTCTGCGCACAAGGCGTACTTGTTGACAGTCCACCACTTGAGAAAGAACATGTAGATGAGGTTGCTGGTGAGGTAGCCTCCGAGAATGATGAAGTGGAGACGAGAGGGCAGCGTGCCGATGCTGATAGCGTTCGAGAGCTTGATCTCACGGTTGTGTCGCTTCTTCCAAAGAGGGGCGTAGATGAGATGCTTCTTCAGGGCAGGCATCCAGGACCACTGGCTGTGCTTCCAGTAAACTTGGTTCTCGCCCGGGACGGACATGGCAGAGACCTGACGCAGCTTGGACCAAGCAATCTCGGCGAGGCGAATGGTTAGGACAATGAGACAGAGAATACCAAGACTCCACCAGAGCATCTCCTTGAAGAGCATGTTCACAGTCTGACTGACACCATTCAGGGAATGGGTGTAGGGGTCAATGGTGTTGGTCGCCGAAGCGGCGCTTTCCGTGGCGGTAGCCATGGCGGTCTCTCTGATGGCTAGAACTGGAGTGGGTGTAAAGTCATCGAATGCGGCGAACCGGCGTCGCAAGATAGACATGATGAGAGTGATTTTGGTGAATGAATGAAGGGTGGGAGATGGTTACCGTTTGCTATCTCTTTGATCGGTTGGAGGGGTTGATCCGTTGCTGAATCCGGGCTTGGAAGGTACCGTTTGTAGTGGTGGGCCACAAGAGTTCCTAATAAAGCCTCGAATGCAAGAGAATAGGGATGTAATCAAAGACTGAGTCGCAAAGGCATTATATTCGACGAGAGAGAGGAACAATTGACAAGTGAAGGACTGCTTTGTCGCGATCTTGACCTTTGCTTTGGCAGACGAGGTGAGTCGCGGGGCGGACTAGGCTGTGAAGCGCCTTTGTTAGATACTCGCCTGTTGTCGATAACCTGGAAAGACAAAGACGACAGCCGAGGGGTTATCGGTTGCTTCCCAAGAACCAAGACCTAAAACCGGGAGATGTTCTTTGTCCGGGACTGGATGATAGATTCTGGGGGGCGGAACGGCAGTATTGGTGAGCCAGGCGGTTGCCCAATTAGAATGAACGGCGGGCCAACAAGTTTTTTTCTTGATCAAGACTCGCAATCACAGCCGTAATCTACAAAGTCGAGCGATGTGACGACGTGTATGCGTGGTGATGAAGCAGATATTTGAGAGGTGGGTGGGTGTATTGAAATTGAGCTGCCAGCAGCAGATCGACGAGCCGTCTGTGGAACCACAAGAGGGCGGCGTGTGGAAGACACAAAAAGCACGAGATTTCCGATGTACCTTTTGTTGTTTTGGCGACGCGCAGCCGAAGAGTTGGTTCTTTTTCAAATGAGGGAATAAAACAGGCCAGGCCCGGATTCCACAGGTTGGAAGTGATTGTCCTGTGGTCGTCGATTGATGTGAGGAAAGATTGAGCGAATGAGTGAGTGATTGTTTGTTGTTCCTTGGAGTGAGCTGCTTGAGAGTGACTGTTTTTGCTGAGTGCTTGGTTTGGCGGGTTACGAGTCGAATAAACGCGGGCGGAAGAAACCAGAAAGAAGTTGCAGCCTTAGGCTGGGCAGCACAAGCCAAGACAAGCAAGCAAACGACCAGGGAAAAAAAGGTGGTGGGCGGAAGAAGAAGAAACGGATCCAAATGTCAAATACAACAGGAAAAGAAGCAAATGTCGATCACTCAAGATCGGGCGGGATGCTAAGCTTAAGAGATTCACAGCATTGCCCTCATTGCAGTCACCAGTGGCACCACCCCCTTGGACAGGTCCCCAGTAGGAGACCCGTTGTCCAACATTACATTTTCTAATAGTAGATAGTACCTACATTAGGTAGCCAGCATTCAATTGATAGCAAATGGGCCGTGGCCCGAACCTCGTCCCCAGTCATTCAGTCCTCTCTTGGCTTTCAACGGCCCTGGGGTGGATATGTTACTATGGATTCCGCCGCCCGCCCGCGTGGCCATTCTGTCATGCCTCTTGCTCTCTAGTCCCAGCTGGGACAAGTATGCCGACGTAGAGATAGGGCCCCGGGAAGGGGATCCACGCCCGTCAGCAGATGGTGGCCTGAGCATGGTGCCGCGGCGGGCAGAGAAGAAAGACGCAGTTCATGGATTGATAGGACACAGGAAATCAGACACATTGGGTAGACAAGGTGACAAAGACGGATTGGTACGGGAAGAAAAAGGAGCGAAGTGCTAGTTTGCATGTAGTGTGCAATGGGCCTAGCAATGTTGGTAGCAGTAGAGAGGCTCCACGGGCTTGGCATTGGTTCACAGCCCAAGATTCAGGAGAAAGCGTCCAAAGAAGATCTGATAGGCGGCGCTAGCAGGGCAAATTTGAACCCACCTCCCCCAGCCCCTACCAAGCAGATCTCAGGTAGGTCCCTGCTAATGTGTACCCCTGCATTGCCCGCGTCTGCCAGAATAGGTGAGTAACCACTCAACGACTGGACCTCGGTGGACGCCACCCGTTTCGAAACCACTCAAGTGGGCTCTCCGCCATTGGCTGAGAGACCATTTCAAGCCACCCGCCAACGCTGCAAAGAAAAGCTTGCCCTGGGCTAACGGCTGCCCGGCGCCCAATCGCTTCCCTTTTGGCGCACTGCAGTTACTTCGTATGTTACCTGGGCAGTCATCAAGCCGGTGATGAAACGGGTAACAACAACAGGTTCCCTCCACCGCCTACTGCTGACTGCTGACTGATGAAGAAAAAATGTTTCTTCTGCCGAATGCAGCTTTTTAGCCTTCTTGTTGCTTGTGTCAGGCAGGGGCGAGTAGCTGAATTCCTGAATCGGGCACCGGCCAGGGCCATTGATTGGTCACCGCTCCGTCCCCTTCGCTTCGTATCTTTCTGCTACCTGGGAGTCACCTACTGAACCTTGTCGCTCAATATACAACAAACGAGCTCATCCCACGCAGAAAGACAACAACGACTGACGACTGACAAACCAAGCCGACGACGTCTCTTGTTTGCGCAATCACCCGTGTTTTATGCCACCACGATCGATCGACAGCATTGATCTCATGGGGCGATCAAAGAACGAGGCCCCCAATTTTTCCATCTTTTCTTCTTCTATGCCTGTGTATTCTATCTTTATTATTTGCATGATGACAATCTGGGGATTAAGCCTTGAGATGTGCTGCTACTAAAAATTCATGCTTGGCAGACCAAATTATTAGTTCGTGGTTCATTGAAGCGGAGTCTTCCGATGCTCCAGCTGCCCTGCCGCCACCGTCTTGACTCCTGGCCCCTCCTTCACCTTACCCGACACGAATAGAGACGACACCTTTACTATCCCTAGTCGGATACGACCGGAAAGGAAGAAGAGAGAAGAAAAAACCTATCTACCGTCCCATATCGAGATTCTAGAGATTCATGCCAAGCCGTCCCATGTCGCTTGCAAATAAACGAGTCATTCAGCCTCATTGCTAGGGCGCTTCTTCGTCGCGTCTGCTTCCGTACAAGCGCTACGATACCACCCCGTGCGTGCGTGCTCCCTCCCTCCCTCCCACTATTTGCGTAGCACAGAGAACTTACACATCCGCGCACGCGCACACATCTTATTATTATGATTACTATCCTCTGCTTACCTGAAGTTGCTATCCACGATAATCACCTGGTGGAACTCTATGCTGCTTGGCACCTCACTCAACCTTGCTGGTAAAATTTGCACCAATCAGCAAGGACCAGGACAGCGGCAGCGCCTTGGGAACAAGTGATACGAGACCTCGGCCAGGACCTCGGGAGGCGCTTTTTGGTCGGATTTACCCTGACAAAGACACTATAAAGCGGGCCACGGCCAAATGACGTAAATTTCAGGACTATACTGTCCAATTAATCCGCGGGCCATCGTTGGCCTTGGGTTCCAATGAGAAGATACCAAATGGATATCCTCGACAGCACACCACTCGGTAAATTCGGTAAGTTGCGACACACCCCTGCGCCATGGGTAGGGGTAAAGTTGTATCCCACGCTCGCCAAGAACTCTTTCAAAGTGTGTACAATGGGTATACCACAGTCTAGAACAAGCCACGGAATACACACAGATATATTGCGGCGAGTCACGACCGGAACAAGCCAGCCATACCGTACCCAGAGGCAGGTTGCCCGTACAGACACCATACACAAACAGCATGTGTCGAGGAATACCAAATGGAACCAATTCCCGCTCCACATGGCCTAATCTGCCTCTTGAGAATAGGTTTGCTAGCATGTCGGATGACAGCCGAGCCAAGAAATACCAAGCTTCCTATGTGATGCCAATCAGGTTGAACCATCTGTGTCGCTTCATGTCAGGCCATGTGCACTCTACCCAAATCCTCGGGTCGAACGAGGGATTAGCATTAGCCTACGCACTTTTCTCTACGTACACTGCTCTGTGTAGCCAGGAAACCCCAGTTGAAGCCCCAGACCCAGGATATCAGAATGGGAGGGGGGAGGAAACCACCAGGACTGATAGTCATCCCTCTGCACTTCCCTCTTCTGTACACGGTCTCGAAAGACTGTAATAAGGGCGACGAGATCCTGAACCCTGAACTCTGATACTTAGTAGCACCATATCCCGGCCGAATGTCCAGATTACGAGGGCTGTAAATTGACCCTGCATTCTAGGTGCTTCTTGGCCAACACAAACCCCACACAACGACGACCACCACCACATCAAGCAAGAGACTGCGCTCCAGTGCATCTCACAGTTCCATTTCCTCTAGGATGAAATGAAGTCTCGGACACATGGATACGGTAGGCCGCCAAAGTTGGCAGCCTTATTGCCATGGCCTAATGTCAACACCCTCTCCCAACTTTGCCGATAGTCTTGTGCAAACCAAGATAGAGTGCCAAAACTGAGCTACAATGCCGGCAGCTACAATAGCTACCCCAATAAGCGACGTCCCTCATCCTAATTGGACGCCTGCCGCCGATCACCTGAGCGCTTCCAATTATTATCCAGTGCTTTGCTTGGGGTTTGTGATTTTTGCCAAGCATAAGCGTTGTCTGGATAAAATCCTTCCCCCCCGCGACCTCTTACTAATAAGGCTGTGCCTCTTATATCAGACCACGCGCCGTGGAACTATGTGCGACCTTGGTCGCATCATTGTCACTCCACCGAGGTCGATAGCAGGAAAGGAATAAACCACGGCAATTGTTCTGTGACCGATGGGTATACTTTCTTTTTGCCATGTCACTTGATGATGATGATCAACCTGTGTTCGTGGCAAAGTAAGCTGGAACAACAAGAAACAGGCACCAAAATCAAGACGTTGGAGAATAACCGGAAATCCGGGCCTTGGAACATCTGGGTGGCTTGCGATTCAGCGGGTCTTGTCATACCGATCGCACTCTCGCTCTCGCTCTGTTGGTGGGTGGGTGTGCTCTTTGCACTCTGTTCCTGTCCAGCCAGGTCCCTTCACAGAACCTCGGCAAGTCCTGCCACGCCCGACGAGTGAAGGACTGCGCGAGTTCCAAAAAGTCTGGAGCAAGATGCGACAAGATTGTGATGCTTGGAAAGGAAGGTCAAGGTGTGCCACATTTGGTGCCCTAAGTATTTCCCCGTTGTCGCTTCGAGCTTGACATACCACGGAACTGGGGACTCGACAAAATGTTTTCGTACGAGTATCGGCCAAATCACAATATGAACACGTAGGTAGATTTGCATGCTCTGCAATCTGCATATTCTTGTGATCCTTGGCCTTCTATTACATTATTTTGATATTGCTTCTTCTACTAGTTGGAGAATCATCCACAGAGTCGATAACCACATTTCTGCATTCTGTCTCAATTATATGAATTCTTCTGGTGACACAATCGTGCGGTCCGTGAGTTGCTGCAGATGGCCAAAGTGTCCTTCCCCTTACCGATTTTATACTCCAAAATGAAGAAGAAAGAGTTCGTTTGTCAACAACAGGGAATATAAAGGCCACAATGGCCGAGCGATCTCAAGGTATAGAAACAAGCTCTCGAGTGCAGTAGCCACCCAAGAGATCACTCATGTTCCCTCCAAACTGGCGAGCGAATGAGTTTATGATGATGCCAGGGTGAGATATCCAACAAACCACCGAGGTTATCGACACTTGTCTGCCCTTTTATCCCTATGCTGCAGATGCTTCTCTTTTCTATTCCTCAAGATTCTCCTGTTTTTTAATACCTTTGGATTACTTCCACCGTGTCACCTCTTCCATGACCATCCAAGATGACCTAATGGTGTTGTCTTGGGCCAGATTAATCTACACAGCCCAACACAATGAGCCCAAGTAAAGCATTTTGCGTTTTGGGCACATAGTGATTCTCTACAAGTGCCTCCTTTCCATAACTAGAATTGAGGCATTCTCGTTCTATTTGCGCTTGGAATAAAAATCTTCTTCGAGATCCTCATCGTGAAGTCTGGCTACATGAATGGCGGTCATGTGGACTTCTCTGAGCTTTCAGCGAGATGAGACTCATTTTCAGCGTATGCACATGCTCGTCAACTTGAGTAAGTAACAAATGACCGATCAAATGCATGGTAAGAGTCTCTGAGGCTTGGGGGAGAGGAAGCAAAAGCACTCAATGAATCTACGAGACGAATCGTATCAATGGTAAAAGGACTCGGCTTGATTTACAACACTAGAACTGATGGGATATGATGACTACTAGGAACATGACTATGTGTTTGATTTGGAAATCAAGTAGTGGCTATATTAGTCTTCCTGGTATGAGATCTTTCTCATTTCACCTAGCCTATGCCTTGCAGCATTCAGGGCATTCTCGAGTTGCAAGATTTGGACCTGGAGAACGTGTTAGTGAACTAGTAAACGAACAAAAGGCCAAACGAGGCTCAAAGCACATACCTGTTGTTCCATCTCCCTGACCTTGAAGGTGTGCGAGTCAAGCTTGGCATAATCTTCTTGGTCTTCTTCTGAGCTGCGCTCCTTGATCAAGGCTTGCACCTGTCTCACGAGCGCTCTGCATGCAGCACCCACAGCCTTGCTGGCCTGCTCCAGGTTCTCCTGGCTCTTGCTCATGAAGCCTGCCTTTACACGACTGGCAGCCACGAGCTGGGCAGTAGAAGCAGCAACGTCGTTGGACGCAACAATCAGTTGCTCGGGAGTACCACGGCCAGAAATGACAGCATCTGCCGTCTCAATAAGAGTGTTTGTAGACGAGGCAACAGCCTTTGCGGCCGAAATGAGACCCTCTGTCCACCTGTTGTTCTTCTTGTAAAAGGCTGTTCTGGAAGACGATCCACGTCCAGCTTGGACAATCTCACTTTGCGTGACCGTGGCTGCCTTGATTAGTCGAGTAATGGCATTGGTAATGGCCAATGCAGCATCCAGGATGGAGTCGTTGACCTTGAGCTCATAGGTCGTGTAACCGTCACGAGGCTTGTTCTTCAACTTGTTCAGACGTTCCGCTGCAGCAGCAATAGCATCAGCAGCCTTGCTCAGCTCAGCATCGACCAAATCGCCGATATCACCCTTGCTGTTGGCTAGACGTGCGACTGGTGCAAACTGCTCAACCAGCTTGTTCAGCTTTTGAAGGTCCATCTGGACATCATTGTTGCTGTTGATAACCACGTCCAACTTTTGCATATCATCCATACCCTCCAGGCGGAAGCTCTGAAGGCCGCGGAAGAACTTGACGGCTGACTGAGCAGCTTGTCGGGCACCATTCATAAGGGCGTCGCCCCTCTTCTCCTCCGGGGCCAGTCTCAAGATACCCTTGGTGTTGCTGCAGACATCAGCTGCCGAGCCGGCAAAGACGTTGATAGCCTTGATCAGATCCGAGTAAGCAGCATTGGGCCCATCGGCGATAAAGTTATTGTATTGTGTCGCAAACTCCATGGCGCTAGCCGAGGCCTTCTCAATCTGTGACAGGACAAAGGCCGGGGAAGCATTCTGGTTACCTGCCTGCATGGAAGAGTCAAGCTCGTACAAAGCATCATCGACTCTAGCCACTCCGGCCTGCAGCACCGAGTCAATGATTTCCTTGATCTTGTCCAGATTGGCGTCAATCAAATGCTTGAGCATCTCATCAGTGGTGTCATCATTGCCGCCCTGGTTCAGCTCGAGTTCGTTGAGCTTGAGCAAGGTCTCGTCCATACCAGCCTTGTAGACCTCAAGCTCCTCCTCCTTCTCGCGGAGAAGTGCCTCGAGATCCGAGCTTCCATTGGCAAGCTTGGCATGTGCTTCTTCAAGAGCACGCGACTTGGCTCGCAGGGCCTCCTCGAGATCTGACATCTCCCGGTTATACTTGGAGAGCATCACAGAGAGCTCATTACCCTTGCTGCGCTCCAAGTTGTCGGCACGGTCCATGGCCATGCGCAATTCGCGCTTGAGCTTCTCGACTTCGTCCTTGTTGCTTCCCGATAGACGATCCTTGTCATGGAGAGCACGGTCTCTCTCGCGGATCATATCTGCCAATTCCAAGTTCTTCGTCTTGATCTCGCGTTCTAGCTTCTCGCGCCGGTCGATGGCCTCCTGCGCAGATGCAGCCTTTAATTGCACAGTCTTGAACTTTTGCAGGAGATCCAGATGTTCATGGCGCAGCTGCGAGTACAGCTTTGCCAGTGCCTCATACTTTGTCCGCCAAGTGTTGACCTGTTCCTGGAGCGAGCGAATCTGGTCATCTCTGCTCGTGAGCTGCTGACCGAAGCTGCCCTGAATTTGCGCTAGCTCGCCCTCGAGAGCCTTGACTCTCTGGTCATATTGCTGAAGCATAAGTTGGTCTCTTTCGTACTGGGCACGCGCATTCAAGTTCTCCTGCTCCAGCTCTGCCAGGCGTCCTTGTGTCTGCCATTGAGCCTGCTGAGCCAACAAAGCTTCCTGCTCCCTTCGCTGCTGCTCAGCAAGCTGTCGTTGCTGTTCCTCAAAGTCCCTTTGTGCTTGCATCTGCGCTTGTTGCTGTGCGAGAAGGGCCTGCTGCTGTCTCTCTTGAAGCACTCGCTGCTGCTCTTCGTATTCGCGATTCTGGCGATCCAACTCGCCCTTCCAGAACTCGGCAATCTCGTCGGGTTCTTCGGTCTTGGGTGCTGGAAGGGGTGTCGACACCCGCTCAATCTCCTGCTTGGGTCTCGCAGGCAACTTGGAACTATCCTCATCTTCGGCGAGCAAGTTTGGCGGTTCTTGAGGCAGCTTCGGGATCGTGATCAGACTGGTCAGGTATCGAAGGTTTGAGCATTCGTAGTAGAACTTGACCAATCGGTAGTGCTGCGCATTGTATCGTTCTCGCAGCGGCTCGAGAGCCTCGACGTCGCCAGTAGTCGAGTGCATGGCGCGCAGCATGCTGGTGATGAACTTGTAGATACCATAACTCTCCTGAACGAGTGGAACCAAAGCCGAAATTCTACATTCGTTGTTGCCCACATTGCGGAAGTGGGAAAAGATGAGCTTCTGGAATTGCTCAATCTTGTCTTGCAATGCCATCAGGTCGGTGATGGCTTCGTATCCCTCATTGGGGTCGTTGATAACTTTTAGACTGACATATTCCTCATATTCGAACGTTCCGTTGAATTCGGGGTGCTGCTGGTGGAAGGACAGCTTGGCCAGGAGGAAGTAGACATATTCCCGAATCAGGGGGCCGTATCCTCGGACACCCTCGCCGTGCATACCTCTGTTCAGACTGTCGATCCAACCGCGGTTCGCCATGGCCTCTCGGAGAGTCACCGGGTGTCCTTCTTGCAGAACCTTGTGTACCGTAATCAGGGCCTTGAAGGTCTGCACCTCGTCGGCCAGGATGGGCTGTCTAGTCGTCGGGTATAATGCGTCAGTCCATTGTCTATTCCTAGCTTCTCTTTGGATCAAACATACACTTTCATGCCAGCCCAGAAGGACTGGGAGGACTTGTGGTCCCACGTGTAGACAATGCAACTGCGCACATGTTTTCGCTTCGGGGCCGTCTCGTCGTTGCTTGTCGCTTTCTTGATATTGATGGCCAGTTCGGCCTCGGACCTAGGGGAACCAGGAGTGTAAGCTGCCTGACGATTCTGTAACATTTTGGCAGCAATGCGCCGTAGGTTTCATGCTCTCTGTTCACCAACTACTTTATTACAAGCACCGGGTGGGCTGTAAAAGTCAGGGCGGTTGTACGCACTTTGTATGATCAGTACGGTTGGAAGCCATGTTGGGCAGTCGTACGGCGTATGTTCGCTCGCATGCACAGGATGGATTCGCTCTTTCGTGTCACGGACAGACGTTGGTGTTTCGTGCGGTTATTTGGCAGGAGATAGCAAGGAGAAGTTGATGTCGAGCTTGATTAGGGGAGCGCGGGCGGCCGACTCGGTAAAAGCCTCTTTTAGGGATGATGTCAATAATAAGGCAGCAAGATAAGTGTGTCAATTCGGATCGGAACAGTAGCTACCTTATTACAGAGGTACCTAGGCAGCGAGGTTGGGCGATCGTCTAGTGATCAAAAGAGTGTTGACCAAGATGCTACAATTTCTTGGGTTTCAAGAATCGCTAGGCGCCAACACAAAGAGAGAGAAAAAAAGACAAGAAGTGCACAGCCAAGGCTAAAATGTTGGAGAGAGCAACGTCAGCCTTCTGCGCAATTAGTCGTGGGCAGCACGTCGGGATTCCAGGAAGAGCTGGATGAGCTTCATCTAGCGGTTCGAGGGGCTGCCCAAGATTGGCTGGTGGATCTATGGGGGGGTCTTGGGGTTGCGCTGCGGGTGAGACTGGGCGCGACACACTGACGCAGCCTGAGCAATGCCCGCAGGTAGGTCCCTGCTGCCAGCCTAATAAGTGCTTTAATCTCAGCTGTTCTAGCACCAAAGCACTCACTAAAGAGAAGGGGAACCTTCAAGATTGGAGAACCGGATGGATCGGCGTTAAGCCAAGCGACCCAGCCAAAGAGGTGTACGTACCTACTCAAGGTGGGTACCAGAATTTCTCGAATTCAATGACGGAGCTCTATCACTTTATCGCGAAGCTTTGCGCTAGTAGTGAGAGCTCATGTTTTGCGATCCAAAGCAGCGACGACGACTACTCCTTGTACGGCATTGACACAGCTCATGATAACTACTCGACGAATTGATGCTTCGCAAGGCTGATGTAAAGTCCTGAGCGAGAGCCTCTTGGCTCGTCTCCTATTCTGAAAGAAGAAGCATCACATCTGCTGTCGCAATCGCCTACCAAGAAGCTACGACAAAAGCTCTCTTGTTGCATTCTCTAAACCCGCCAAACCATACATACGCCCATATTCAGAACAAACCCTCCTCCGCCCAAAATGCGCGCAACGCCGGCCCTCTACCACAAGGGCTTCTGGGGCCGCTCGCTCGACGAGTTCAAGCGCCTCAGCAAGATTGCCCTGACCTCCGAGGGCATCAAGGGCCCTCTGGGCCCCAAGCCGCTGCACTCGTTTGCCGAACCCGACTCCATTGGCGACACCAAGCTCATGTGCGACGTGGATATCGGCGGCTTCTCGCGCGCCTCTCTGGACTGGATCCCCGCCTCGCCCGCCGACGGCAGCCCGGCCCACGCCCGCTTCCACGGCAGCATATCCACCGCCCTGCCCCCCAACAAGCCCGATATACAGCGCTCCGGCTTCGCCGCCTGGCGGACGCGCGACCAGCCGCCCAACCTGTTTGGCAGGGCTGTCTGGGATATCGACATGTACACCTACCTGGCCATGCGCGTAAAATCAGACGGACGGTCGTACTTTGTCAATGTGCAGACCGAGTCCGTCGTCCCATCAGATCTGCACCAGCATAGGTTATTTACCAAGAGACCCGGAGAGTGGGAAACTGTGCTGATCAAGTGGAACGACTTTGTGCGCACAAATCATGGTTTTGTGGTTGAGCCTCAGACGGAGATATTGAGGCAAAAAGTCAAAAGTCTTGGAATCGGTTTAACCGACAGGGTACCAGGACCCTTTGAATTATGTATCGAGAGAATGTGGGCAACAAATAATATACGCGAAGCCGACGGCCACGAGGAGCACTTGACGGAAGAAGCCCTGTCCAAAGAGGCGGCAAGGCAAGGAGGGCTAAAGAGCAAGAGCGGGAAGAGCGTCAAGTGGAGCGACTGAAGTCAACAACGGGAGATTTGCAGTTGACATTTATCTACAGAAGAACCCATGGGGAAATCAATGTGTCGCATTTAGGGAGGATGAGGAAAAGCTCATAATTTGCTGCTACGAGCCAGTAGGTATTCGTATCTGTCATATTCCCTACCATATTAGCCCGCCAAAAACCAGGGGGCATGATAGCTCAACCGAGAGCTTGTACAAACCCCAATGAACTACCAATGTACATAGTGGTAGAAAACCACTCAACCTCCAAGTCTAAGATTCTTTTCCCTTCGTGGCTTCGTCATATCTTTGTCTGCGCAGCATCTCGCCTCAGGGCCAAGTATGCCGCCGCGTAATCATTTGCTAGAACATGCTCTCCGGCAACTCTCATGATGGTTGCTTTCTTGGCCATCATTTCGCACTGCTTCGTGATGTCCTGAACACTCGAGTAGTGATCGAATGCCTTTTGGATGGCTTCGACAGCCTTTGTCATGTATTCTCGTCGCTTGTTCGATTTTGGTGCCATTTTGCCTGCCATTCCCATGTTGGCATCCCCCAGAACCGAGTACAGTTTCGCCGTCATGGCCGAAATCTCGCACTCCAGGCTGCGTGGGAGGATGGCGGTCAGGAGTTGTATTGCAGGCTCGAAATCGCCAAGCGAGACTAGAATATTGCTGATCGCACCGATGGCTGGCCAGAGAAATGGTATAAGCCGAGCACGCCAAGCTACATTTGCAGCTCGAACAGCAATGGTGAAGCCCTTCTGAGGTCGGCCGCATCTGTCGAGCAAGTCTGCTTTAATCAGCAATAGTCGTACTCGCAGGGCAATATCACTATTCTCATCTCGTAATTCAGAGATCAGTCTCTCAACCTTCTCAAAGGCCGCTCTGAGGTCTCCGCGTCTGGTGAGGCACTCAATGTGTAGACTCTCAATAACGAGGGCGAGATCAGGCTCGAGGTCTTCTTGCTTGTTCTGCAGAAGTTGTGATAGTAGATGTTCTGCACCGTCGAGATTGTTGCGATGTAGATCCTGCCTTAATTTTATGATCCCTCGAAACTTGTGCCAATATTGGCTGGGCTTCCATGATCGCAGCGAGTTGGGGTCGAGGCTCTCTAGTCGTTCTAGAGCTTCGTCGTATCTGCCTCGAAACGCAAGCATGGAAGCTATGCGACTAGTGACCTTGAGCTCATCATCAAAGACAGAGTGTCTTGCGTGGCAACGAAGGAACACCTCACAGGTTGTTGTAGAAAGATAGGACACTCCTAACCGATCCCAAAGTGCTATGTTGAGGGACATTTGCGAGCCCATCATGCTCTTCATATTTCTCTCCACCAGAATTTGTGAGCTTCGCACCATGTGCTCGAGAGCTACTGCGATGCTGTCGCCATTGGCAAGGTTCATCTTGGCCTCGCTTACGAGAGCTGAACTCCAGAGCGTCCACATGCCCGTCTCCTTGGCCTTGGCACGGAGAAAGGCCAAGGACTCCTTGCCGTCACCTAGCATATTGTTCGAGTCGAGTTCGCGAGTCACCTCTGGGTGTGCTCTGCTGAAATGAAAGAGCCAATTCAAGGCAAAGTTGAGACACGTCATGTCCCGGTTTTCTCGAGCTGTTGACACAGTCTCCAGCATTGCAGCTATTGCTTCCTTGTAGCAGCCAAAGTCGGATTGGAGCACTGCCAGGTTCATCAGGGCGTACTGATAGAATAATCGATCCCTGTGGTTCATGGTATAATCAAAGTATCTGTGCAGGCAGTCAAAAGATGTCGAGTAATCGCCAGCTCTCCAAGCATCGAGATAGCTAGAAGAAAGTCAGCCGGGGGCAGAAATGGGGCCTGGAGCAAGTGTGTACCTGAGATAGTGTGACAAGCTTGGGATCATGTAGCTGTCGTTCAACAAGTCATGGAACTGGTGTCGGATTTCTAGAGGTATCCTATTTCCATATTCTTTGTTGCATGTTAGAGGAGCGTCATAACCAGAATTCGTCAATGGAGATACTTACTCTGCATTTGCTCGATCTGAAACTCCAAGAGCTTTTCGATATCATCTGTACTGACAGGCAACGTTGAACTCGGGTCGTCCCTGAGCATGTCACCATATGCAACATTGGCAATAGCTTCAAGGCCCGGGCCCCAGGTATGCTCGCCTTCAAGCAGCACGTTGTCGAAACTCAAGCGTTGAAATGATGGCGTCTTCTTGCGATAGTACGCCGCCGTGGTCTGGCGGTACTTGACGAAATCCTTCCATAGCTGATACGCATGTTCGAAGCGCAGTCTGCTGAACTCGAGCTGCGTCCTCCGCACGAAAGCTCCAAAGGGTGAATTGCGAGACAGTACGATGGTTTCAGGGCTCGGTGGCTCGATTTCCATTTCTGCGTCCCGCCGTTGCTCCTCCTTTGTCTTGGCCAGAAGCTCACCACGGCGTTCAAAGAAGTCGTGCAGCGCATCAAGCGAGTTGATCTTCCATAACTTGTCGAGGAAGACGTACCAGAGACTCCGGCCGGGTATGCCAGAGGCGGCGGCATGAGGACTCAGCACCTTTTCGAAATCTGCAATCGAGATGACGAGCCTGACGGTGCTCTCTGCCTTTGCCCAGCGGCTGGAGGTGTTGGCGGGGCGGGTGGTATCGGCGTCAATGAGATGCGATGTGACGAAGGAGAGCACATCGACCATGCCCGATATGGGGACGGCTTTTTCGACATAGAGCTCAATCAAGGCCAAGAGGCCAATCTTGGCCGGAGTGAGGAAACGCGACATGACTGCAGCTCTTCGTTATATAATTGACAACAGACGTTGGAGTTCGATTTCATGGCCATCCAGTCTTGCGTTTGGCACTTTGGTCCGTATGATACACACTTAGCGCGTGCGTACAAGACCTGACAAGGGACATAATTGGGCTCAATTTCTGAGCTCCATGGATGACCAGATGTTCACTTTTGGCAAGCAACTATCGAGCGGGTTGCCAACAATCCAGGTAACGACACAGGGCTATCCGCTAGATAATAATTGTATCATTGACGAAATGTTTCGGTCACGAGCTGGGGAGGGAGGAAAGTGCATATGTTGGTGGTTGTCGTTCCCTTCCCGAGAGTCGCGTTTGGTCGCGTATGGTAATTATGCAACAAACGGATTATAAAATGCTCTATATGCATAACGCATTTTCCGCCTTTCTTCATATCATACTCTATAGTATTCCAGGTGTACGGCCACATTTCTTGGCGTGGCGTAGCTGACCAACCATACGGCTATATTCGAGTAAAATCGGGCCCGATCGTTTTGCTTTTTTAGACTTTGAACCCTTCCCGCACCCTCAAAATGGCTTCAAATCTGGATGCATTAAGTATAACGATAGAAACTATTGTTATTTATTGATCGGTAGTAAATTTAAGGCTTTCGGGGTTAATTTGATGCTTTCGCAACGTTGCGAAGGTGTGTTTTTCTGACCTGCTTTTACGCCACGTTTAGTCCTAAATTGTATTATTTCTTATCTTTCTTATCTATGGGAACTGGCTGTAGAACTGGCTGTAGAACTGGCTGTAGAACTGGCTGTAGAACTGGCTGTAGAACTGGCTGTAGAACTGGCTGTAGAACTGGCTTGGGAACTGGCTTGGGAACTGGATTGGGAACTGGATTGGGAACTGGACTGGGAACTGGACTGGGAACTGGACTGGCACCTGTTTTGTCAGCTGGCGGTTGGTTTTCTTTTTCTTTTTCTTTTTTCTTACAATTGACGATCTTACTATTCCTTAATCTTGCTGTTCCTTACGATCTTGCTGTCCCTCACGATCTTGCTGTCCCTCACGATCTTGCTATTCCTTACGATTTTGCTGTCCCTCACGATCTTGCTATTCCTCACGATCTTGCTATTCCTCACGATCTTGCTGTCGTCCCTTCCTTTTTTGCGTAAGCAAAAAGGGAACTAGCTGAGGTGTCAGCTAGTTATGTGTTGTGCCTCAATCATTATTTCGACCTCACAATTATGTCTTTTCATCGTAATTTTCGAGGGATATGTTACCTTTGCTACCGGACAGGCTGGGGAAACCCCAGTTGCTTGTGAATTGGGCGCTGGACACCAGTTACTCAAGCACCGACGCCACCATAATTGAGTCGACCAAAAACATTGCCACGACTCAAGACTCAAGATTCCAGACTACCGTGCAACACACAAGTTGAGCTTATTTTCCTATACTGCGCCTGACTACTTGCAAGGTTCATCGTCAAGAAACACTTCTGGGCAAGTGAACTAGACAACCAAGGAGACCACAGAAATGACCCTTGTTTCCTCAAAATCTAGTACACAAATAGCCAGCTTGTGACCACTGCAAACGGACTTCTGATGTTGCTCAAATACCTGCCTCACTTTACTCATTCTCAAACCAGAAGTTGGGGCCATCCTTCATGGAGATGACCTCATCTCTACCCCCTCCCTCTCTCCCTGAGAGCTGTTGGTCGAGCCCGGCTTGGCTCACTGCAAATCTTCACCATAAGGTGTATCATCGTCACAGTTGCGTCGATGGGTCACCATATTCTGCTCAAGGGTGTAGTACGAGACCGGGCTGCCAGTCTTGAGTTCACGCAGAACGGCGCCCATGTAGTCGAAGCGGAGGTTGCCCAGGGCGTCGAATCGAGGACGGCCAGTCTAGATTGGAGAAAATTATCAGCAGTCGTTCTTGGACGTGGGATGATAGAGTATCATGACTACTCACCATTTGGTGGATGTCTGGAATGGCCATGTCGATCATTTCCTCGTCAGGGTCCTCCTAGCAAAGTCTCAGTCAATATGTTCGAACCTCTCTACCAATAGCCGCATGACTTACAAACTTGCAAACCTTCCACCAGGGCTCTCCTGTGCCATCGGACAGGCGCTTTGCCACTCGCTGCAATCAGGTTAGTCTTGTTTTTTTTTTAGAAAAAAAATTTATGTATTCTGCTGAATCACACTCACCTCAGCCTGCTTGTCGGTGTACGTGATGGGGCGAGTCTACCTGATATTAGCTATATTCCCTTTGATTCATAGGGGCGGAACTTACCACGCCATTGGGATCATTCACGTCATACTGTGCCTTGTAGAATTGGTACATGGAGGCGTAGTACATGAAGGATGAAGCCACGGAATCAGGGATTCGCACCTCAACAGGAGGTAAATCGGCATCGGAGCTGTCGTCATTGGCGCCGGCGTCCTCCTCATCAGGCTTTTCCTTGGGCTTGAGGTCCGAGACGCGCATAGTTCGAAATGCGGGATGATCCTGACGGATATTGCGGAGAAAGTCGATCCAGGGTGAACCGGGGCGCCAGCGAATGGGACCGTACAGGGCATCGACCGTCCACCAAAAAGGCTCGAAGCGCTGCTGAGGATTCTCAATTACAAAAGCTCGGTTGGTTTCGTAGTCGGTATGGAGATTGACACCATAAGGGAGGCCAACATCGACTCCGGGCAGCTGGTAGTACTCCTTCTGAGTCTTGGTGAACTGCTCCCAGCGGTCGGCCATGTAAGTGGTCTTCATGATGGCCTTGGTCGTCTCGAACATCATGCGGTGAGACTTTGTCTGGAGAGAGCAGTCATCGGTAATGGCCTTGGCATCCCTCAACAGCTTGATGCGCTTCTCGAGCTTGATAATTGCAGCTCTAGCCTGAAGCTCGTGCTTGCGAAAAGCGGGCATAGCATCATCGATACCATCAGGGAAGTAAGTCTCGCGGAGGCTCTTGTAGGAGTCGGGCATGTCCTCGTAAAAGTAGGGGAGCATGGCCTTGCCAAAAGAATAATGGTGATATTCAAAGACCTTCCAAGAACCAATCGTCTGAAAATCCTTCTTGCTCATCATCTGACGATGGACGTTTCGCGGCAGGGCAAAGACAATCCTCCAGGTCAAGAGGTGCTCGAGAACCTGCTCAGTCTCTCCAAGCCAGTAGCGAGCCTCGACCACCTTGATGATGATACGGAACTGTAGAGAAGTGTAGTGATTGAGTCTGACATCGGAAACGGTGAGCCAACCGGGGACCTCGCGGTTGACATCAAGAAGCATCTCGACAAGCTTGGGAAATGAAACAACTAGTCAATTCGTGAGCATGATATTCGTGGCCTGGAAATTTTGTTCTTCGATTCTTGGATTGACACCTACTGGGAACCTGGCTCTTGACCTCCTTCTCATCAAGGTGGTCGGCCAGTTTGAGCATTGCCTCAGCATTGATGTTGTACTTCTTGACGAACGAGCAGGCCAGCTCCATCGCGATGTCCTCTTTGGATACCTCCATCGAGGCAACGTTGGTCGATGCCATGGTATCTGTGGAACGAACCCGCTTGTGGCAGATGAGCAGGATTCTGGTTGATGGTTCCAGAAGTGTGTTGCCAGGTACAGGTCAGAAAATATTGATCAAGGACAAACGGAAATATTATCTACAGTCCGGGGTGCTCAATTGTGTCGACTGTTGTCGACTGTCAAGAGGGGTGGATAAAAACAGGCTTGACGATGGAACAATCAAGCCTAAACGACAATCCAAGCCCAGGGCCTCATCGTCAGAAGTCCATCAAGGTCCCCAGGAACAATCACTTCAAGTGGCTGACCAAAGGATTCGACTTTGATTCTTGACCCAACCACCTCTGACATTTGGTCTCTACAGTAGTTCTGCTTGAATGGCTCAACGTGAAGTGTATCATATGTCCATCACAAGGGCTCTATCTGGATGGCCTCGAAGATAAAGTGCTTTATGTGGCTCAAAAGGAGACTTTTATTGATAGCCATGGTTAAGGAGTTCATTTTATTGCTCAAATATCACCGTTCAACAGTCCTTGCAGTGGGAAATTGTTGTCAATTGTCCCTGTAGAGTTCTGAGCACAGTAAGAGGTGCACGTCTTGTATCGTGTACTCCAATGTCTCCATTGTGTGTATTTCCAGCAAATCAAGAACGCATCGAAAGTCTGGCACATATCAAAACAAAAGCATCGCCTTGGCATCGAGTCTCAATGTACATCAGCGTTCTCTAAATAACGGCTCAGTTGGAAGTGGGAATAATCATTGTAGATGCCAGCAATGAAAAGTCATGCAACGAGCGGGATCCCTCTGGGCCACTGACTTGGCCATGTCACAGTCGAACAGAACTGTTACCTCATGTCCAATAACATGGCCCCACTGCTTCTGAATAGTTACAAACGATTGGAATCTATTGGACAGCCAATAAGCTGAACCCTAGCCCCGTTTGCAAACAAGCTACAGCTGTAGGCCAGCTTTGAGGCTGGTGGTGAGCTTCAAGAGGTCAAGAAAAGCTGCCCACGCAGCCCCCCAGCCGCCTGAATTAATTTTCTTTTCATTCCTTCAAAGTCGTGGCCCTTCTGGACTCTGTTAGCTCACAACTTTCCACATCTTCAAAACTTTTTTTGGTGGTTCACCTTGCCAAAGCACAACCTTTCAGCTTTCTTCACTTCCACCACAAACCTGTACCAACACCATCCTCACCAGACACATTCATCAGTTCAATCAATCACTTGGTCTGTCAGACAAGTCGTTACCATGTCCTCTCTTGTCCCTGCCAATGGCCAGCAGGCCTACATTGGCCTTGGATACCTCTCACCCGAACTGTGCTGGGAGCACCTTCAGGTGCAGTTGAGTCCCTTCACCCAAGTCATTGCTATTGACGCTCGCGACTATGATGCTTGGACCCAAGACACTCGAAACATCCTTGTCCAGATGTTCATGTAAGTATCTGACAGATGTCAATTCTCTTTCTCTTGTTCCACCTATTGCAATCCTGTTTCCATTCTCTACTTCTATCTCCATTTCTGTTTCTTTTTCCATTCCTGTTTTCCCCTTTGCTTGACGGTTGTCCAATTTAGCACATTTCATCTCCTCTTCTTTTCTCATTCCTTCACTCCCCATTCCAATCCTTTTCAATTACCATTTCATCTTGATTTCCATTTATTATTTCCGTTTTCGTCCCGTCTTGCTGCAACTTTCTTCTTCACTCTATTACTCTCTTACAGTCACATTCTTTTCCCCACGAGAAGCACTGCCAATAAGGATCATACTGACAGTAAATCAGGCATCATGCTCGTACTCACGATGCTCGCTACGTTCGCGATGCCGCTGGCGGCCGCGTCTTTCTTGGCGCTGTCGAGCATCTTACCACGGAACATGTTGTTGTTCTCAACATCCCTGGCTCTGACCTCCCTGTCATGCTTCCTCGTGCCAGCATTTGGGCAGGCCCAAACAGCACCAACAATGCTCAGAACCAATACAGTTTCACCCCTTCGCCTCCTCAGAACCACCAGCAGCAGGTTCACCAGCAGATGGTCAACCAATTTGGCACTCCCCCCTCATACTCTATGCCGGCCATGATGCCTATGGGCACGGGAATGCAGATGAATGTCCCCATCTCTACCGCTCCTATTTCTACTCCTGCTGCACCCAAGACTCCCGAGCAGCAGGAGGAGACACCGACCAAGGCACCTTCGTCTCGCAAGCGCAAGTCTACTACCAAGACTCCCGGTTCCCGCAAGCGCAACACCAGCAATGTCCGCATCAAGAAGAGTGATAGCGACGACGGCGAGGACAAGAACAACTCAAGCCCTTCTGGCAACAAGGTCAAGGTCAACCTGGTGCAGGTGCCCGAGCTCAACACTGCCCTTGCCAAAGGAGAGGAAGGTCAGGCCGCAAAGGACTAGAAGTCCTCGTCTGCGGATGACTTTACTATCAAACACCACTCCGTTTACCACAAGGCCAGCTACCGATCCGGCGCACCTCGTCCCCAGAATTCGTTCATGCTGTACCGCAGGACCATGTGCAAGGACATGAAGATCCAACGCCCTGAGCTCAAGAACAACGAAATTTGTAAGTCGCTCCTATCCTACCTGTTTCTTGAACTCCAAAGATCATAGCGGGGATTTCTTGGCAGCCTTTTTTGGCGTCATTGTACTATGACTAACAACTACAATAGCCAAGGTCCTCGGTGACATGTGGAACGCAATGTCCGAGGACGAGAAGGGTATTTGGAGGGCTCGCCAAGAAAAGGCGCGCGAGGAGCATGAGAAGAAATATCCTGACTATCGCTACAACCCACTGCAAGCCGCCGAGAAGGAGGAGCGCGAGCGCAAGAAGCAGGAAGAGCGCGACCTGAAGAAGAAGCAGAAGGAGGAGCAAAAGACCGCAAAGAAGAACAAGACCAGCGCTGCTACTACTACTACTCCTACTTCAGCCCCTGCTAACAACGTCTCGGGCTTCCATGGCTCTCCAACTGGCCAGACTACCACGTCTGAATTTCAGCATCCGTATCACACGGGCTCTGATATGACTGCCCCGATTGCTGAGAACGATGATTTCTCAGTTGGCCACAGTGATCCGTTCACTTCTCCCCTCTCCTATGGTCAGGCCAACCCCGTCACCTCAGCCAATGCCACATCATCTCCCGGCCAGGCTCAGTATCAGAACAATGCTGTCGATTCGCATTTCCAGAGCAATGACACCACTGCCAACAGCATCCCCTACAACAACGACGACGCACAGATGCCCGAGATGGGCACCGAGTTCAACTTTGACTTTGGAGACCTAGACTTATCCAACTTTGACTTGGACCATCTCAACTTTGCCGCCAACCTCGCCAACCAGATTCGAAACGAGTCGTCCGACAATAGCGTCATGGCCAGCAGTGCCACGCCCAACAACAGCGTCACCGCCAACAATGAGATCTCCTATCCCGAGATCGTCACCACTGAGACGATCAACATAGAGCCCCCTATCCTCCACCACGAGACCGCGGTCCAGGAGACAGTCGACCCCAACGAGGGACCCGTCTTCAACTACAATGTCGAGGACGCTCTCCTGGCCGCCCTGGGCGAAGGCGCCAACTACCTCCAGCTGGGCTTTGAGTCGCCCCTCGACAATCACAACGCTGCCGTTGGTCCTCTCTTCAGCGATGCAGTTGCAGCAGCACCCACCACTGTTGGTGGTGCTACCAGCATGCCTCCTCCCGTTGACTCTCACGCAACCGAGACTCTTCAGCCCGTTCTCCGCGATGAGACGTTTGTGGCTGATGATATTCCCACCACCTTTGCCGAGTTGCTTGAGAACCCTGGCCCTTCCTACCAGGATTATTTCAAGATGTAGTAAGGGGGAAAGGATTTTGATGTGGTCTTCTTGAACCAGTTGGCTCATTCTAGGTGGTTTTCTTTTGTGTTTTCTTTTTGTGTTTGGCCACTGTATATTGCCGAGATTGTGTATAGGCAACAGAATGTAACGAGAAAATGCCATAGCAATGCCAAAATAAATATGAATCCATCGACCTGAAGCCTGGAATTAAAGAAGTGAATGGCGATTAGCGTATTGATCTTTCATCTCTCGTGCGTCACCATGGCGTCAGGATCCGTCCCGTCGAAAGGAGTATGAATGCCATCTCTTGCTTTGTTCCTTAGTGATGCTTCTCTGCATACAATTGCGAGTCTGTTCATGTGGCAAGTTGACATTTCTCATGTAGTTCAATGTCAGCCAAAAAGAAGAGATGTGCCTCGTGATGATACTACCTCTCACTATGACATGTGTAAAAACCAATCTCCCATCGTCTATGGACAATGGAAAATCATAAGCGAATACCCTAAAATCCATGTTCAAAAGCCAACGAACGCGCTAGAATTTCCATGTATCCTACACAGTACAAAAAGAGAACCAAAGGCTATCCAAGCAAAAATTCCATCAAGAGTAAGAAGCCGTCATCCTAGGCAGCCGTCTCGTCAAGCTCTCCCTCAGGCTTCTTCTCAACGTTCTCCTCAGGTTTGTCCTCGGCCTGAAGGTTGGCCTCGGGCAGCTCCTCAGGCCTGGTCTCGGACAGTACCTCGACCTCCTCGGTCGCTGCTTGTCCTTCAGCTTCAATCTTCTCCTCGATATTTTCTTCAGCCACCGTCAGAGATTCCTGGGGGGGTTCGTCCACCTTGTCTTCTAGCTTTGGCTCCGGGGCCGCAGGCTCTATAGCAATGGGTTCTGTAATGATAGCTTCGCTGGCGACAGGCTCGGCAGCAACGGGCGCAGAGGCCATGGACTCTACAATCTCGGCCGTTGGCTGTTCCGGAGGCGCATCCACAACGGGAGCGCTGACCTGCGACGTATTCTCTTGCTGCTCATTTCCCGTCTCGCCATGTCTGTCAAGCACAGCTTCGAGGCCACCAAGCAAATCTGGGCTCTCTGGTTCGCGTTCCTGGTCCAAAGGCGCCTTGTCCGTGGCTTCCGTCTGTAAAGGATTTAAGGCTGGCAAAGTCGTCGCCACTATCTCCTCAGTTGGAGCTATTGGGATTTCGATGGAAGGAGCACTGGCAATATCGGTTACTTCTGTGATTTGCGCAACCGATGTGGGCAATGTTTCCGCTGGTGGTGTGACTTTCTGGGGCTGTTCCAGTTCCTCAGGTTGTTCAAGCTGCTCAGGTTGCTCAGGTCGCTCAGGTTGCTCAGATTGCTCAGGTAGTTCAGTTTGCTCAGATTGCTCAGGTAGTTCAGTTTGCTCAGATTGCTCAGGTAGTTCAGTTTGCTCAGTCTGTCCGGGCTGTTCGGCTTGTTCAGACGGCCGAGATTGCTGTGGCTGCTCAGGTTGCTCAGGCTGGACAACGTCCATGGCCTCATCAACTTGTTCAGCTTGTTCAGACTGTTCAGGTTGCTCTACTTGGTCCGATTCTTGGACAATGACTGGCGGTGCGTCTCCCATGATCGAGTCTGATGGTTCCGGAGCAGCTACCAGCGGCGTAGATTCCTTCTCGACACTGGATGCCTCTCTTATTACAGGTGTTGTAATGAAAGGCGGTGCAGCCTCCACAGTTTCTGGCTCGCTTTGTGCCGGTACGGCCTCAGAAGTGCTAGTAGCCTCTTCAGCCGCAATGGGGACCTCTGGAGGGATTTCCTCATTCGGGGAGATATTCGTTGTGTCGACAACTTCCTCAACAACAACTTGGCCGTCACTCGTATGAGTTTCTGTTACAACCTTGGTATCTGCGATGACCTCTGGTTGAGATTGACTAATATCGGTCATCTCCGTGTCCAAGTGATCTTGTGGTTCAGGAGCCGGGGTCTCTTGGCTGGTAGATTCGACAACCTGCGCAATGATAGGTTCTACAGATTCCACTGGAGCCGGAAGTGGATCCAATGACGAGGAGGTCTGCAATTCCGAGATCTCGGGCACCGGTGCTGCAACGGCGGGCGTTGGGGGTGGCGGCCATGTTGCCGTGGCAGCCTCAACCACCGGAGCTGCTGATACTGGGGCCAGATTGAGAGGTACTGATTCTGTTGGCGATGGTACCAGGACGTTTTTCAATGGGCTACCCTCGTAGATTGGCGATATGAGGCTAGGCGGTTGAATTGGAGCAACTGCAGCAATGGCCGGCGCTTGTGGTGGCGCACCAACCGGCTCGTCTGTCGAAATGTCCATTGCATCAGGATTCACTAGAGGAGCACTGATGACCGGCGGATCGACTGAAGGCGAGTGCTTTAGTTCGTGATCAGTGCTGCCTTCCTTTCTTGCTGGCGTTCCCTTTTCGCTTTCGAGGCCTTCGCCATCGTCGTCGTCGCCTTCGTCACCCTCGTCACCGTCATCTCCATCGTCATCTCCGTCTTCATCGTCGTCACCTTCTGCCATTTCAGTATCCTGAGGTTTGTTGTCGTCACCACCCTCTTGTTTGACGTCCTGTCGCTCAGATTAGTAAACAGAGAGGATAAAGAGTCTAAGTGGGCAATTGAACTCACATTGGCCACACCTTCAGGTTTGACACCGCCATCCGCCGCAACAACTCCAGGAGCGCCAACCTGAGGGATAGATGGACCTGGTAGCGGCAGCTTCTTCTTACGACCTCTGCCGGGCCCTTTGGCTTTCCTCTTAGGCGGAGGAGGTCGTCTCCGGACAGGTGTTGCGCCCGCACTTTCGGTATTTGCGCTGGCAGTCGGAGCCTGCACCACTGTCGTGGAAATGATCTCACCATCGACAGCCTGACCGGCCGCGAGAATGACTTCCTGGTTGTAAGGGTTGCCGGCAGCATCGATGCGACGAACGGTGGCCTTTGTAACGGTCGGACCAGAGGGATTCCCGACAGGCAGCGCAGCTGATAGAGTCACCGTGCCCTTTCTCCTCTTAGCCAGATGGGAAATGGTAGGACCTTCGGCGTTGCGCGGCACCTGCTTCCAGACCTTGACCATGTAACCCTTAGTGCTGAGGTCTTCCTCCTTTTTATCCGACTTCTCTGGCGCAGCGTCCCCATCGGCCTCTTCTTCTTCCGCCGGAGCTGGGCGCTTGTACAACCGTCCAGATCGCGCTGCTCGCAGCAGCTCTTGTGTGTGCGTCGGGAGAAGATGCGAGTCCTTGGGCATGCCGTGGGGTAATTCAATGGCCCAGATGTCGTTCTTCTGCGTGGTCTCGACGGGAGGGGGCGGCGCAATGTTTACCCATTCCTGCCTCCATTGTCGAACAGGAAGACCTGATGAAAATATGATGAGAATTAAAGTCAAATGACGCCGTGAAAGGCGATGGCAGGGGATACATTGTATTGGATACCTTCAAAGTCGTCATGCTCCTGATAGCCAGCTCGGTTACCGCGCCGGGTCTGGGTGTGGGCTCGCATCTACTCATATATTCAGCAAATTGTACCTTTCAGGAAGCTTTCTCTTCTGGGCTATTCTCACAGTCGGCGCCATGATGCAGGGTGCGGGTAGGTGGCTTCGGGATGGCGAAAACTTCTACAAACTCGTGCTCATCGAGTCTCGGCGCAAAGACGCCAGCGAAATCAGGCTATGCTGCACGTGTGTCGCGGTGTACCTAGTCGATACAGGATGAGAGTCAATGCGAGTAAATCTGATATACTCGACGATCCTAAAAAGAAATGAATGCACCTCGTGACGGGATTCAATGCCCGGCGGCAGTGTTTGTCGGCGAATCTAATGTGTATTGGTCGCAATTGATTTCAAGTCTACGTTTCGCGACTGTAGCAATGGACAAACGAGTCGCGGACCAGCTGGGACGTGGCGCACGGATCACCCTACTGTCGATGCATCTGCTGCGCTGTATGTAATCTGTTGGGTACATTCAACAGTTCTAAGGAATACCTAAGAGCAAGTATCCTGTCACGTAAATTAACAGATGAAGTCAAAAGTGTCGAAACGATTTTGGGTTATATCTAATCAATTAGAATATCGAAAAAATTGCAACGGGTCCGAACAATATTTGACAGAATGATTAGGTGACAATGTTATATCCGTACCTACCTACTAGTAAGTGGTACAAGGTAGGTGGAGATAACGAAGCTTTGGTTTAGGTACTCCGGGGATGCTGCCCCAGATTGATCTCTTTGGGCGTCTGTACTACATTTCAAGCACCGCTTGCTTATAAAAGTTTAAAGCTGGCCAAGTTGGTATCTATCAATGGCATTGCTTTGAAAATCCAAGTACTTGGTATGTTCTGCGAGGTTCCGCTAGCACACGCGGCGAACTTGGTTGAGCCGAGCTCAGTTCGACACTACAGATACAGGTGTGGTTCACGTAGCAAGTCCACTCACGATGTCGAAATTTTCAAATGGCATCGTCAACTTTGGACAGACTACAATGATCAGGCGCAGTGGCGGCGATGATTTGTATTAAAGTTGATTAAGAGTAGTCCATCAAGGGGTGTACCCGATACTCTCGGTCTACCACACAAGGCGATCTCTCTGCTTTGCTCGTGAGTGGAGGCGGCAAGCCTTTTTTCTATAAAGCCCTTCAGACCATCGGCGGCGTACTGTACAATTCCTTGTCTTATGGTACACATAGTAGTGGCGAGAGACGAGACAAGAAACTTTCGTCTCACGACGTCTTGAAAACCTAGACTGTCATTGAGGCGAACTAATCCCAACTGCGAGGCGTTAGCACTTTGAAGCTGCTCTTTTTCTCCCAGGGCAGAGATTTGTAACATACCCAGTATCCTTTTGCCTGGTGATACCTCCAGACTTGCCTGTTTGTTTCCCCTGTAAGATGGATTAGTTTAACCGTCTCCAGCTTCCTCTCTCGGACTACTCAGTTTCCCGCGTCCTGTTCGACAGCAGTCTGGCGTTCGGGTAGCAATAAACGTACCGACAAACCTCCGGCTTCCACCACTAACCGGTCCATCTGGTAAAACTGACTAATAGTCGTTTGGCGCTTCATCATGGCAAGCTCCTTTAGGCCCTTTTGCAGCAGCTCCTGTATCTGTCTCGGGTCCTCGACATGCTCGTGTTCCCGAAAGGCGTCGCGCGTCCGCCTGCGTGCGTACTCTCTAAAGTTGTATTCGCCAAAGTGGCTGCCTTGTCGGAGAAGCTGGCGGTACTGTGAAGATTGCGCATCATCAAGTCAGCTCAATTGCGCTTCCAGTAGAGTGAACATCGTGTACGTCATGTCCCAGATGCTCGCTGAGAGGAGTCATAGATTGGGCAGAGCCCTTGTCCATTCCCATCGACGGCCCTTGGGGCTTGGTCTTGCTGCAAAGCCTGACCAGGCAAGTCGTCCCAATGCCGCCCGCTTGCCAGCACAAGAGGTGAAGTTTCCAAGGGTGGGAAATATTTGGCAGTGTAGTAGAGGGCCACTCACCAGCGATCTTGCCTGCTGTGGCAGCTCGCCCTTAAGGGCCGAAACAACCGACATTGCTCCTTGTTGTTGCCTCTTGTCTTTTTAGTGTTTGTTGTGTATGTTCGTGGTCCGCAAAGCGGAGGTCCTCGACTTTTGGAGCTGAAGTCCTTGATGGGATGGTCGCGACAGTCCTTTCACGGTTGCGCAAGCGCAAAAAGTACTGCGAGCTCAAACAAATATAAGGCAGACGGCTGTTGGGTTATTCGATACCGTTGGTTGGTTGGATGCGTTGCGTTGCGACAAGTTGGTCTACGTACTTCAGCTGGTCGCCCCAGGAAAAGAATGATGAAAGCTAACCTAGCTCTCAATGGCAAGTTCCGAGTCGGCCCAAAAATTGCGGTCGCCGATGCACAATAGCCCGGTGCAGCCGGTAATAATCAACGGCCGAGCGACAACTCGGTGCGGACATAGTGCGTCGTCCTGGCAAGCAATATAAACAAAGATTTTGAATTTCTGGAATACTTTGTGATTGATTTTCTTCAATCAGGGACAGGTGTATTATTTGCGAAGAAAAGGTAAGAAATGAGACAAGTGTGGCTTTTTGTATTTCTTTACACCAAGATCTTTGCCCAAGTCAACAGGGACTGTTATTATTAGTCTCCTTGTTACTCTACCTTCCCTGCCCAGCAGGTGGCGTGATAAATAATAATCGTACGATTTTGGCCATTGCACTGTTCGGAGAACGCGTCGTCTTATAAACTTTTTGCACCATGATAATGAAGCTATATTCACTTTTCTTGCCTGATCAACTATGAACGTACGGAACACATGCAAGAAGCAACGACAGATCCATTTGACAAAAGAGAGCGCGCCTAAGACGATGAGCTGGCTGCTGAGGCTGTCTCGCACTCTCATCTAGAATTGTAGTGTAATAAGTTGTAATAAGTGATATCGAATTTTGTGCAACACCAGACCACAAGGGAATTTTTTGCTCTTGGCCATTCATGAACACCAATCTAGATGTCCTATGATCAACCAAGTGATCATTGATCATAGGCCATGTGTTGCAGTGTCGGGCACCATTTGTAGCTACTACTGCTTCTTTGATAGGGTGGTATGCTTATAGTGCAGAGATGCCTTGGGTATCGCCACTGGAAAGATTCTTGATATATTCCCTCATGCCTGGTGTCGTTATGCCATTTATCCTTCGCTGGAGCATTGGACATGTCTCTACCTTCCGCCATAACCTCCGATATTTGTTCCTGGCTACTGTTGGATTTTTGAACACCTCTTCAATGACTTCTTTTGGATGGTGCCTGAAGTAGGGGCATTGCGCTAATTGATGGTTTTCAATGCCACACATTTCGCAGCCCCTAGCGTTTTGTGGCAGGCTCGGCTCAATCTGTTGGGCATTGCTTACGCCAACCCTGTCGGTGGTTTCTTCTTTTGTTCTTATGGCAGTTGACGGGTGAAGACTGCTAGTCGGCGCGCCTCTTGATTCGGCGACTGAAGGCTCGTTCAGTCCAGCGCCAGATTTGGACTCGTCCGTTTCGATGATGGAATCGACCTTTTCCATTCCTACACCTGGTTTGAAGCTGCACATTATGGTGCCGGGACTCGAACTTTCTGTATCAAAGCCAGGTCTTGAACTCTCCGTCTCAATGACAGTTTCAGACTTCTAGTCCTTGGATGTACTAGGCACTTGCTCGTTGTACCTTGCGCCCAGCTTGTTGGCCCACTCCCTCACAGCATCATCTAAAGGAATCCAATGATCCTCGATTCTCTTGGCTCGGTAATGCAATCTGTCCGAAGACGTATAAGCAAGATCCTTCTCATCTTCGTATATTTCGCCGTCCGTGTCTCGCTTGGGAAAGTGAACAATCTCCCGGTGGGCTTGGAAATTATCATCGAAACATCTCAGGGAACAAAAGTAGGTTTCGACTTTGTGGTCATGTATACATTCTTTGCAGAATCCTGCTGCATGCATGTCGGCTTCAGAGTCCTCGGCCGATCTGAAACCTTCTCCGCCGGCACATGCGTGACCAGCTTTGGCCCTGTGCGGCAACTAGTAAAGCGTCAGCTGGAATTCAGCTCGAATCCAAAGTTCAAGTACGTACAATACCACTTTGCCAGCATTCATCTGAGCAGAAATACGTCGAAGAGCATTCTGGGATCTCGTAAAGCTCATTGAGCGTGACACACAAAGGACAAAATTCCAGTGACTGCGTGTCTAGTACACCCTCGCACTTTGCACATGGAGGAAGGTCGTACTCTTGAGCTGCAGCCGCGGCGGCTTTGAGCTTGTCCTGCTTGACCTTGGCCTTTTTGGCTTTGGCGGCATCGTTGGCGACTTTTGCCCTCGTCAACTCCACCTTTCTCTTTTCGTAAAACTGCTGTTGCTCTTTCATGTCGCCTTGAGACTGGCGGTCGCGAGCCATGAGGGTGATGACTTCGGACACGCTCGTTCCGTTACGCACCAAGTCGATATACTTTTGGCTCTTGGCGGCGCCCTCTGGGTCATGTTTGGTCTGGAAGAGAGTCTCGACATAGATTTCAATCTTGGCCTCGGGAGAGGTAGCTGCACTGACCCTGGCCATGAAGTCTTCAAACAACTTCTCGCTGTCCATCTTATCATTGGTGAAAACTGTCCTCAACTCCGAGATGAGCTGGGGGACGGGTTTCTCTTGGCCATTCAGCAGCGCCTTGATCGTGTCTGGGCGATCAGTAGCTGATGCGAGCCCAAGGCTCTTGAGTTTATCGCGCACCCAATCGACTTTTTCCGCCTGTATCCGCTGCTCAATGGCGTCAAGCGTGGCTTTCTTTTCCCGGGCTTGAGCAAACATGGTGTCAAGCTCCTGGAGAAACACGCGCCGGCCAGAGAACCACTCCTTGGTCGATGAGTTGAGATAGCGGTCCCGCATGCGATTGATCACCCGTGGCCAGCATTCTGGACATAAGTGAGGATGGCGCAGTTTGTGCTCTGTGATACATCGATCCTTGTCTGCCTCAACTGCCTTGGCCAGAGCCTCTTGCTCTTTATTCGATGACAAGATGTCGTCCCAGATTTCGCCCATTTTGAGAAGACGAATCGTCAATCAAGGCGCGTCTGCTTGACGTGATGATCTTTTGGGTCTGTCTAGACATATCAGTAACAGGGAACAACCAAGTTTGTTGTTGTATGGAGCACAACATACAATGAGAATGAGAAACTATGTTTGAGAATCTACTCGGAACGATACAATATTTTGACGTAGTTCTAATCCAAACTACTATTGAAGTGAAGAAATGCAAATTTGAATTCCAAGTTCTTCCTGGTTGTTATGGGTGCAAGTTGTGTTGGATAAGTCGTAGCGCAATACCGTCCTTTTATGTACCTCTCAGGCTGCTGAAAAGGTTCAGGCCCCCAAGCCTCAGGGACCTTGGCGGCCTATCTTTTCCCTACCTTAATGTACCTACCAACCTAAGTAAATGCAAGGCACCTGCCAAAGCCTCCGTCAAAGGTACAACCGACGAGTCGAAGAGCCTACTTCCCTTTCACTTGTACCTAAAATCACCCAAACTTCAAGGTTGTACCGACATTATTTCAAGACTGCGCGAATCCTCCACAACAACACACCGCGACCGAGCAACTCTCTATTCAAGCCAGATCGCCCTTTACTGCTAGCAATACCTCAACATGGTGCGTCAAGTCTCCGGAAAACCTTGTACTTCCGCTAGAAATGCGCTACTGACTTGATCGTGGAAAAACAGGCCGACAAACTACGAATCCAGCACGAACTCGAACGTCTCCAGGCCAAGTACATTGGAACTGGCCACCCCGACACCAGCTCTTGGGAATGGCGGACCAATATTTCGCGCGACACTTACAGTAGCATCGTTGGACACCCGCCAATGCTTGCATATCACGCGCTGGCTCAGGGAGAGCCGAGCGCAAAGGTGCGCGCGCAGTATATTCGGAAAATGGTGCAGCCTTGTGGACCGCCGCCGCCGAGGGAGGAATGATGACGGATGGCGACGGAGCAGATTAGAAGAGGGCCACGGTCAAGACATAGCTGGCTCATAATGCCTGGGCATCCCACGTTTCTTGGACGGTATCAATGATTCGAAAGTCAGGATGGAAATCCCCTGTAGGGCCGACTGGCTCGGTTCTCGACGAGCTGCATCGGCTCATGCTTCAACAGACAAGCACTCAAAATATGGAGGATGGGTATGTCAGAGAGGCTTCTTCCAGCGCTACTATTGTGATTACGACACAAACACATACGACTGGTGTCATTATCGTAAAGCTCGCGCAGTCCTCCCAGGACATACCATTCTAATGTTTAATCACCATGCCCAATTACCCTTTTTTAAGCATGCCATTTCCCTCAACGCCAGCCAAATTGCGCTTAACCAGACCTATTACGCCAACCAAGACCTTGCTGCCGCATTTATTCTCCCTCTGCGCCGTTCTCGCCTTCTTGGTCTTCGGGGAGCGCCGCACCGCCTTGAAGCCCGAGACTCTTGTTGATTCTCTTGTTGAGATCCCGCGGTATATCCGTTTTCCAAACCTCCTTGACGAATGCAGCGACACTCTCGGGGGGCACCTCGACCTTGCCTCTTGTGCCCACATGCCAAGTTATGGTATCCTCGTCCCCTTCCGTCTTCTCAACTGCCTTTTCAAGATATCCTTGTCGCACCAACTTGACCAGAACGTTCTCAGTCTTGTCAAATGGCAGGTTTCTGTCTGCATTCATTCGACCGAGATAGTCAAAGAATTTGACATTGCTCAGCTCACCACCATTCAGAGCGATGAGTGCAATAACGAATGTGTAAAATCCAGTATATTCGGCCTCCTCTGAAGAGCTAGGAACTCGCGACGGGGTTATGATGGATGCAGTCTTATAGGCGCTTGGTAAAGTCGAGACGAGAATATACGTTTTGGACGATGCCGTGCCTTGCGCGGCTGCCTGTCTCTGTGTTGCGCTTTGTTCTAAAGCCTCTAGTCAGTACGATGTATCATACACAATCAATGTCAAAAAAAAAAAAAAAAAAAAAAAAAACGTAACTTTGCTTCTCTCTCAATGTCCTCTTCTCCTTGACAGGAAGCTCGGCCATCTCCATACCAAACACCTGCCGCAAATTGAGCTGGGCGCCGTCAAAGACCTTCTTAAAAGCCCGAGGGTTGTTACCCAACACCTTATCTCTGATACCATCGCGTCTGATTGGTATTCTTGCATACTCGCATGCCAGTGCATATCGAACGAGCTTTTTTACCAGACCCACCTCGTCGCTTGCGCTGGCCATGTCGACATCTCCGTCCTCGTCTAATTCCTCGTCATCCTCGTCCTCTGAGTCCTGGCGTCTCGAATGTCGGCGGCGGGGTTCGACTTCCTCTTCATCGTCGGAGTCTCGTCGCCGCCTTCGTTGCGTTTGGGGTGGCATTGCGGCAATAGAAGAGTGTGATTCTAGAGCAGATGCTGAGTATTGAAATGAAAATAATGAGATTGCAAACAGCAATTTGCTTGTAGGAATAAAGTAATTGGTTCTCAAAAGTGTTGTTGTTTAGAATTGCCCAGGGCAAAATGCATTAGTGGCAGCGTGGGGTCCGTCTATGGTATCGTAATAATACATTACCTAGCTGTAGTAATAGGAAGCTACAGGAGGTAAGAGCACTGGTTGACCTGCCAAGCGACGCGCTTTTGCTTAATTGAAACGCGTCTCGGTCCGGAGAATCCACTACCCGCCGTCGTCCCCCCGGCCCTAGCAGATTGCCTAATTGGGTCTATGGTCGCAAAAAAGTTCTAGCCATCATTCCAATCCATCTGTATAATATACGTACTCATTGTTGTGTGCCAAATGTCAACCTTTGACCGGACGTTGCATTCGTCCTTTAGTCTCTATTCATGATCACCAGGGGACTGTCCAGCGGCGCGATCTGTCTCGGCTGCCGTCTGCGACTTCTTGGTCAAAGTGTCCGACCAAATCTTTCCCAATCGATAAGCCAACAAGGCCGAAGCTCTTCCTTATACCAGAACCAGCGCCGACGATGGCTGGCGAGCGACGCACCCGCTCGACCCGACGAGCGCGACGAACAAGGCAATAAATCGGGACAAAATGACTGGTCCTTGCTCGAACAGGCATCTCGAGACCAAGCCAACGAAGAACAAGCCTATCGTGACTTCCTAGAACAGGAGGATGAATTCCCAGATGTCCGAGAAAGGCGGCCAGGCAGGCGCGGCAGCAGGAGTCTTCCGCGCCAAGCACGCAGAGATTCTGACCAGAACTCTTCGCCAATGATGAGGCATCTCGACCTCCGGAAGAAGGTTTTGTCTGGCAGGAAGATTCTCACCGAGACTTCGGCAAGTCTGGGCTCCGACATGCTAGGAAAGCCAGCTTACGCCATTGTCATGAAGGATACTGGCAAATATCGGGCAAAGAAACGGCCTGTCGGCTTGAAGAAATCCGCCCAAAAAGATGAAATGAAAGATATTGAAGCCTTGCTCGACAACCGCCGTATACCTGCTACCGAAGCCGAAGTCCGCCAGAATATAGACGAGCTACGACCCCCTAATAGTGAGCTCATCCTGCGGCAGAAAAATTTTCTGAAGCTACAAACCAACCTGGAAGAGGGTTTCTTGAAAGAGCAACTTCAGCAGTATATACTGTCTTTCCAGTCGGACCCCAGCGTCGAGCCCACGACAACAAGTTCAGTAGCAACACAAAAGTCGGAAGAGACGAAGCTGAAAGATCAATACCCCTGGATCAGCAATGCAGTTCCCTGGATGCCCGTGGATCCCTATGGCGGAGTTGCAGTCCTCCACGACCACTCAAGTCGTCTCCTGCATGCCTACCTTCCGCCTGATGCTGGTCCAAAAACCCGAGCTGCTGTAAGAATCATGCGAGAATGCTGGGGCCTGCAAATGGAAGAGGTCGCAAATGGCCTTGGGGAAGCACGAATCAGACTCCAAACGAAGCACTTCATTCCTTTGATGCGCAGCTCACAAAAGCTCTTGCGCTCGATCACGGAAACATATCTGGAAGAAGGAGAGGCTCTGGAAACACTTGTGCCAACAAATGAGATTCGAATTCGGGCGCCTCGGTACAAGTACGAGACCTTGTTGTTCGAAATTGATGCACTCATCGGCAAACTCCAGTCTCACACATTCCCTATTTCACATGTCACGTCAGATCCTACCACAGTCACCGAGGAATTACTTGAGCTAGTCGGCAAAGTCACAAACACCCATGTACGGCTCACTGACACAAGGAATCGGGTAAGTTCTGCTTTGATCCATGAACTAAATCATCTTCATCACGACCTTTCGAGACGATCAGCTGACATTCTTCTTGTGATCAGTTGCAAGTCACCTGGATCCAGCTTTCTACTCAGTATAAGCCAGAGGTTGAAACTCTTTCCCATGTCGTCTTCCGTTTCCTCCGAAATGCTCTTTATCCCGACTCGGCTACTCGAACGCTTCATACCACGAACGCCGAAATAGCACTTGCAGCTGGAGGCACACGTCTGATAGCGGATCACTCTCACAAGGAAAAATGGGCCTGGAAGGACAGACTCTCATCATGGGCCCGCCTTGCAAGCCCAATATCAGCACCGAATCCCGAGATCAAGCGTATGGAAACTACAAGCACCGAACCCGTGCTGCCGAACTTCTCTATACCCATTGAGCAGTTCGACTATACCAGATCACGATCATTGGAGGTCACGGCCGAAACTTTGAATCTGAGCTCGTCCGAGTCCCCGACTGCCGAAGGCGTCGCAATCCAGGAGAGCTCGCGCTTCCCGTACCAGCCGGTCCGCTGGTCTGACCAACCAAAGACCACCACCGTCGGCAAGTTTGGACATGCTCTCACCATGTACGATAAAAAGGCAGATTCGACCGGCACCTTTTCGAACCAGCCTGGTCTGGGGGACCTTGCCGCCCGTCCCTACAATTTCTCTCCTGTTGTACCACACCCTCTCACCATGGCCGATCTCTCACTATCCCCCGCCAACGAGAACGATTTTATACCGACCGCCTCGACAATCGTTGTTCGATTCTTTCACAATCACGAATCTGCATTTCGGGCACTGCCTCTCGTCGCGCCACCTCTCGAGTTACGCCTCTCCCTCTCCGAACCGAGCGACACTCGCAAAGATCCCGAAATCACCGGCGTCCATTCATTGCGAGTCGTGTCATCTACACACCACGATGACGTGCTCTTCCCCGCCAGTCCAGTCGACCTGCGCATCACCCAGACCCGCAGTGTCTCCCTGCAAGGTTCCCCAGGCGCCCTTCAGGATTGGCAGCCCATTGCCGATTTCCTCGCCCGATCCCACCTCGACTTTGGCGCTGGCAAGCTCGAGATGGCCAAACAGCAGCGCTTCCAGATCCCGCTCCGACTCTTTCACAAAGCTGCAGCTTCCAATACCAACACCAACAATAAGGAACACGGGCAGCGACAAGAGGAGGAAGCAAGCCCCGAATCGCTACGCAGCACACTCTACGAGTTTGCCGGTCTTGAGCTGCACCGCTCCGTCTCCGTGCCGTATCCCGAGGACGAGCGCTTCAAACTGGTCTACACCTCGATCGAGGCCGGACAGGGAGGAGGCCGGCGCGCAGAATTAAGCTTGGAGCCTGCATCCAGAGCACATTTGCCGCTGTCAACCGAGGCCGGCGAGTACCACGATGACTTCCTTCGCGCTTGTTCCAGGTTTGCTCAAACGGCAAAGAATTGGTCTGGCTATATCGCCGACTCTAGAGTCAAGGTCTCGAAGTCCTAATCTTCGAGAACACTATAAGGAATAAAGTAACGATCCGGTCAAGGTGTCGCATCTGAGCATAAGGGAATATTTTGTATAAATTGGCAAAGTCCTGTAAAAGTAGTAAACCAACATAGATTTGTACATATCTCATGATTCACGAAACGCAATCCTAATTGTACAACATACAACACAGTATACGGCCTGAGCAGATGGGCATCTGATCCAATATAATTATCCAACGGCACGGAGTGGGGATTACATGCTTACATGACGGCTTCATTGACACGTCGAACACATACGCATGGCAAAAAAGGTGGCCTGTTACGATGAACGACTAGTGCACTATTAAGAATTCACATAAATCACATCACAGTCATCATGCAGGAGGAACGTTATTTTGGGAAATCCACTTTTTCTATGACTCTATTTTCGTACTACCAGCACAAGATGTGTGCCCCAAGCCAGAGATTCCGAGTCATCAGATATGGTGCAAAGTCGTAAACCGTGAACGTGTCATTAGTTTGTTACACGCACTCGATGAGCTGGGGAGAAGCCCACCGCGCACAGAAGTTATTCCATGCAGAGATGCGCTTATTTCTTGCCAGCCTTGGCGGCGGACTTGGTGACCTTGCCAGTACCACCAGTGGTCTTCTCAACGGACTTGATGACACCGACAGCGACGGTCTGACGCATGTCACGGACGGCGAAACGACCCAGGGGAGGGTAGTCAGTGAAAGCCTCAACGCACATGGGCTTGGAGGGAATCATCTTGACGATGGCAGCGTCACCGGACTTGACGAACTTGGGAGACGACTCAACCGACTTACCAGTACGGCGGTCAATCTTCTCAAGAAGCTCAGAGAACTTGCAAGCAATGTGGGCGGTGTGGCAGTCCAGAACGGGAGCGTAACCGGCACCGATCTGACCAGGGTGGTTGAGGACGATGACCTGGGCGTTGAAAGAAGCAGCACCCTGGGGAGGGTCGTTCTTGGAGTCACCGGCAACGTTACCACGGCGGATTTCCTTGACGGAAACGTTCTTCACGTTGAAACCAACGTTGTCACCGGGGAAACCCTCGGGAAGCTGCTGGTGGTGCATCTCGACGGACTTGACCTCAGTGGTGACGTTGGAGGGAGCGAAGGTAACGACCATACCGGGCTTGATGGTACCGGTCTCGATACGGCCGACGGGCACTGTGCCAATACCACCGATCTTGTAGACATCCTGGAGGGGAAGACGGAGGGGCTTGTCGGTGGGACGGCTAGGGGGGTTGATGGCGTCAATGGCCTGGAAGAGGGTCTTGCCCTCCTTCTTGACACCCTTGACCTCCTTCTCCCAGCCCTTGTACCAGGAGGCGTTGGTGGTCTCCTCCAACATGTTGTCACCGTTGAAACCGGAGATGGGGACGAAGGGAACCTCCTTGGGGTTGTAGCCAACCTTCTTGATGAAGTTGGAGGTCTCCTTGATGATCTCCTTGTAACGGGCCTCGGACCACTTGGCAGTGTCCATCTTGTTGATGGCAACGATGAGCTGCTTGACACCGAGGGTGAAAGCGAGCAGAGCGTGCTCACGGGTCTGGCCATCCTTGGAGATACCAGCCTCGAACTCACCAGTACCAGCGGCAATGATGAGGATAGCGCAGTCAGCCTGCGAGGTACCAGTAATCATGTTCTTGATGAAATCACGGTGACCGGGAGCGTCTGTATGGCCATGTTAGTCAAGAGTCATGTCAAAGATGCTTGGCAAGGGCAGGGAATACTAACCAATGACGGTGACATTGTACTCGTTGGTCTCGAACTTCCAGAGAGCGATATCGATGGTGATACCACGCTCACGCTCGGCCTTGAGCTTGTCAAGAACCCAGGCGTACTTGAAGGAACCCTTACCGAGCTCGGCGGCTTCCTATTGGGGGGTATTAGCAATAGTTCAAAGTGGGTCTCATCAGATGTGCATGGTTGCTGGTGCATAGTGGGGCTGTGATAAGAAATTTTTCGTTTGCACCGCGGGGTCGTGCGGGTGCCTCGCGGCGGGGTAAGTGTCGAAAAATGTGGGAAGTGCGAAAAATAATTTTCAACTGGCAAGTTGAAGATCGTGACGCAGATGTTGATGAGATTGGAGGACGGTTGATGGAATTCATTAGATGACTAACCTTCTCGAACTTCTCGATGGTACGCTTGTCGATACCACCGCACTTGTAGATCAAGTGACCGGTAGTGGTGGACTTGCCGGAATCGACGTGGCCGATAACGACGATGTTGATATGAGCCTTCTCCTTACTGTTGTTGAATTGTCAGCCATGTGCGAAAGGGTCGAGGAATCGATCGAATGCATACCCCATTGTGGCGGTGTTGAGATCTCTTTGTCTTGTGTTTGGTTTCTAATGAAACTGTTGTGGTAGTCAGCTTGAAGCTCTTGGAAAGAATGTTTGGAAGCTGCGCGGGCAGCTGGAAGGTCCAGAAAGTAGATGGAGAGTGATGGTGATGGTAACGAAGAGGACGATGCTTGATGAATGCACACAAGCTTGTCCTTTGATGGCAGGAAGAGGGTTACTCACATTGGCAGATGATCAGGCGTGCTGAATCGGTATGCGCGACGAAGAGAGAAAACTAGAAGAGATCTCTCGAGAGAAAAGCGCGAGGTGATGGTTTATGTAGGGGTGTGGTGGGTGGGAAGGGAATTGGGAAGCGGGGTTCTGATTTGGAAGTGCCCAAAAGTGCACGGCTGCCCTAAGCCCAAAATTTTTGTTGTGGGTCCCGCAGCTTTTTGCTCGGCCAATGACTCGATTTTCTGGCCGGCAGAAAAAAAAAACTCTCGAGCTGCACTGCTGGCCTGAGGCCGTCCGTCAAGGTTTGTATGGAGCCAGCCGACAGCTTGCTTGCCTCAGGTCAGTCGTTTGCAAACGCACGAATCCCATTCACTTTGTTTCAATCACTTATTGCTGCATCAATCTGTAGATAGTACTGATTTTACTGTATTTACTGTTCAATACCAGAGTCATATTCGCACAAAAGTCATTAGGGCTCACCGCCTTCCACCTGCGGTTCAGCGCTGTAGATGAAAATTAAAAAAAGATACGATTAGTTGCCACACCAACGTCATATGCTTTCCCCCTCCAGGTTCAGTAATGTAGGTAAACAGCGAAGCTGTCTGTCCGCGCCAGCCAGCCTTGCCCCTCCTCGGTGTTGTGCCCCTCCCCTGGGGGGTCCGCCCGCTGCCCCTCCAAGCAATGTACGTTAGCACTGCCCCTCATTCAGGCTCTGGTAGAAAATTGAAAACTTTTCATGCGTCAGGCCCAGGACTTGAAGAGAGAGTGGGAGAAAAAAAAAAAGCTAGGGAGCAAAATTGCTAGTCGCCCGGCAGTAATAGCGAGAATAGCACATGCATGTTGCCGCAGGGATCTACGTAGAATCCATCCTTCGTGAGGAAGAAAAAAGACAGACCATTGTGGATAGCAAAAAGTGTGAAGGAAAAAAAAAATCTCGTCAAGCTCAACGACGGTTCGACCTCTGACAGACAACGCTAATGGGTAATTATAATCATGTATGCAACTTGTGGATACATCTCGCATCGTCATGTCTTGTCGTCCCATTATCAGGGAGGAGGGCATCTGAACAAGCAAGAAACAGCTGAGACAACGCAGGCATAAAGCATAAGCCCAACATACGCAAGTTTTTCTGCATAACCGCGCGCCACCATCCACAAATGGAGGTAGCCCGGGATCATGTTCAAGACCACCCCGAAACCCCCTTCCGAGAATTACTGTTTCAAGTTGGGAAAATGGCGGGGTGGCAATTGCACATGATGATGATGATGGCCTGGATGGCTGGTTGCTGAATTGCAATTCCCATATGCCGGTTGACCCATATTGCACAGGAACCGGTCGCTGCTGAGGAGAATTTTTTTTCTCTCTCCATCTCTTTCCGTTGGCGCCTGGCGTCAAGTCAAGCGATCGCAAATGCAACGGCTCTCATTCTACTGGTAAAATGGGGCTTGGATTGTCAGGCCATAATTTCTGTCCTACTGAATCAAATATATCTCATGAACCCACTCACACGCTCTCTTGAGGCAGACGTTGGGCTCGCGACGTATTCCGTAGTTTTGTTTTGATCCAACATTCATTACATGTTAGCATCTCTGTCCGTTGGCGGCGTCGCATGGATCAGCGCGGGGCAACTTTTTTTTTTGTGCCACAATACTACCACACACACTGCGCGCTACACGATAAATTTAGGTGCCTCGCCTCATGCCATGCCTCAATAAGGAATAGACAGGTCTTCTGCTCGATTTCCCCATTGCAACTTGATTGCTTGACGCCGGATTCCATAGGAGAAAAAAATCCGACAATCACAAAAAAAAAGAGTGGGTAACGCCATGAGTTGATTGATTGCTGCTGCATCGAGAGAGCGGTCTGGAGTCTAGACAACTGTCTCCAGATAATGTCCTCTCGTTGCTTGTCACCCAATCGATATTTGATATTGCTGCAGTATTGGCAACCAAAGCCAGGCCCCAGAAAAAAAAAGAAGAAAAAGGGCCCGCACCTAGCCGGGTCCCGAATGTGATAGTAATAATACGTAGAGTGTGGAATGCTCGGCGTCATATTATGAGTGAGACTTCATGCCTCGGATAATTGATCACGACTCGTCACCTACTGACACATTGAACCATATTCCTTCGCAACAGACTTGACATGCCACCTCCAGTATAGAACTTGGATCCATCGTGTCCCTGTAAGAGTCATCCGGAAAACCCCCCACAATATGACTGGCGTGGATGGAGGACGGCAGGCCGCTGATGGATCATCCTCTGCCTGCCAACGCCATACCCAAAGCGGCTCGCCGAGTTGCATCCTGTCTGATGCCAGTATACAGAGTACACACCTACCTTGATAGAAAGGCTTGCATACTATTGAAGCAGACAGAGCCATCGAGAAGCACGCAACAAGAAGAGAAAGAAAATGTAGCTCGACCAACTTCTTGACCTTGCCTCCTGTCCAGCTGCCCATTTGAAGAGCCTAGAAGAAATGCTCGCAAACATAGCCGACTCATGTCCTGGCACTTGATTCTTCACTTTAGCATTGTCTGGATCATTATACCAGGTATGTACGCATATTGTTGGAGTCCTAGAAGGTCCAAGTCAGTCAAGGTAGGACTAAAACAAGGCTCGCGTCAATAATCGCGTTGTTGTATTATCATATTATCCTAATGCCTACGATGCAATGACCGCTGGAGATCAAAGAGCTGTGTGGTGTGTCCATTTACATAGACCGCTGTCTTTTCATTGATATTTGTTTTCGCTCCCTATTCTTATATGAATCGCGTCCCATCCAAGGTTGTCTACTGCTGAGTTACAGCTCTTCGATATTTTTCTTGCTGCCATAAAACGAGTATCAGTACCTGTCATATGGGCAAAGGAAGGGGGGGAAATAGCAGAAATTAACAAAGGAAAGGGGAAATAAGAGCCGACCAGACTCCAGATAGCCAAACAAAAACGAGCGCAACCCGCTATCATAGAATGAGATGTTTTTATTCCGCTCGCACTCTTTGCCTACCTTCTCTTGCAGACAAATTTCCGTTCAAAAAATCGGATTTCAGTCTGAAAAGTGATGCCGCCAGCGAGCGCTGGCCCGCTCAACAACATAATCCGACGCGGTGCATCCCACATCGGGATTAGGTGAAAATCGCCTCTTTGGTCCATCTTGATGTAGCCGTGGACTTTACTTTCGCGGTCTACCCATTCCAGGCCCCGATGAGGTGCCCCGGATATGAATGGTTGAGGATGTTGTCGCCCATGCGGTTTGAAACTCCACCGAAAGTTAATTAGCATCTCCTCTCCGTTATGGAATATCAACTTGATCTTCTAGGTCAAGCTTGTGTACAATAAATAGGACTCCAAGTTACCAAATCCATCGTAATAAGGCAGCTTTAACCAGACAGGGTCGTCAACACTAGAATCCTCGTTGAGATACTCTACTAAGGCCGCCGCGGACTCTTCGAGCTTTGAGTCTGGAACACTTGGTGTATGAGTGAGAGGCCCAAACACCGCTGGCAGTCGTTTTGCTTCCTGGGGCAGTTCTTCCGTGGTGCCGACAAAAACCCATCTGGTAAACCCCGTGCTGCAGGTACGACCAATAATCAATTCACTTCCCAACAGGTACATCAGTTTTGATTGAACGAAACCAAAGCAACCGACTCGCTTCCATATCTGAACCGGGTAACGATGTATTGGCATAGGACAAGGGCGGTCCTGGCGGACCTCTCTTAGCTGCTCGCCCTGGATGAGTACTGTTGACAGAATTTCATCGTCGCTCTCTAGTGTGTATTTGATAGCCCGATTTGTGATTTGGCAGGTGAACAACTCTCCATATGGATCTCGGTACACAGGAGATGGATACTTTTCCACCGGCTCCAGATTCTTGTAGTCAAACCTCACGGCTTGCTGTTCCAGGGCAGGAACATGATTCTCTTTAGGGCGGCGGGGCTGATGAACCATTGTCGGATGGCCTGCTTGACTCTGAGGCTCACCTTCTTCAGCCCCATCATCTTCTTGTTCAGTGGGAGTGTGGCTCTCAAAATCACGAATAAATTCAGATCTCCGTATCGGACCCGAGTTGTCTGAAGCCGAGGCTTGTTGTCGGTAGCTGTTGAAACTCTGTATCTGGTCATATATATTGGCTGCGCCTGGATTAATTGGAGCTGCTTGTGAGGGACCGGGCGCACCATCATTCGCACCGGGTGCAAATATTGGTTGCTGAGATCGTCTGCCTTCGTGGAAGTCGGCGTCGCTGAGTTTTCTCTTTCCGTATGACATGATGAAATGGACTGGCCTCCGAATGATATTTTCTATAATATTTGAGGAACTATATGGTGACGAGTGAACGCGGATGATATTGGGCTGAGGGAATGTGAGTCTCGGCGGTAGCATCACTCTTGAGATTCAAGTCTAGAAGAAAGTTGGCCAACCACCGACTGGGGTCCCCAATGTATGTTCGCACATGTTTACATCAATTAGCACATATGCGGGCGTCACGACCGAGAGTTGAATCAAAGATGTGCGCTTTTGGCGCAACAAGCGGGCATTTTAGACGACTGGCACTTCCAACACAGTGTTCAAACCGGTGCCATCCCAATATCCGCTCAATGACGTCTTGGCAACTTCTGGTCGTGCCTTCGAAGAAAGTGGCACGGCAGGCCCAGAGAGACTTTGGAGCATGACTACCTTACTGCAAGTGTACCTAGGTACCCAAGCAATGGCCATATTGATGCTTGAGATGGTGTCTGCGTTGGATAGCACAGTCTTGGAAATAACACATGTGTCTTTCAAATATCGACATGAACGTCGGAAAACAAGGTTATTTCATTTTTGGACTGCACGGTACAAGTTTGATCAAGCACTAGGCAAATGCGGAATGTATTGTGGTTTATATGGGTATATCCTGAAAGCCATATCCGAAAAAAGAGAAAAGAAAAAGAAAGAGCAAGTATAACAACTCCAACTAAAAACAACGCTTCGCATCAGCCATCAGTTAAAGAGCATGGTCTCATATTCTCCATCATCTGACATATCTAATCTTTGGTCGACTTGTAGCCCCAAGCCAACGAGCCGTCGGCATTGTGAGAGTATTGCTCCATTTCGGACGGGGTGTAGTTGTACAGAGCTGCTGGAGCATTGGGCGCACTCCACGAGGGGTCAAGCATTTGCTGCAGGTTGAACCCGAACCCATCATCAGGGATTGGGATAGCCTGATAATCGGTCATGTAGGTGTTTGAATATGCATCCGGCATTTGAGGTTGATGATGTGCTGCCTGATACAAAGCATAGAAGCCTTCGTGCTGATTGGCGGGGCTAATCGACTGTTGTGACAAATGGTACGGAGGTGGCGGTTGTTGCGGATGCGAATATGGAGAGATTGGGGGCAGAGAGAGTGAGTCTGCTTGGCTGGACGAGATGGACGCCTGTTGCAATGGTGGCAAGGTCGCAGGTTCGGGAACTGCCATGGGGGCATGCCGTCTGTCCATGGACTGAGGAGGGTTTGGTCGGCTGCGGTAGAGTGGTGTCATCTTGTTCTGCCAGGCCGAAGTAGAAGTCGGGGGGTGCAAGAGCGCATGAGGCTGAGGATCTTGCTGCTCACTAGTTAGCATACGCTTACAACGCAGATATAATGGTACTGCAAGGTGAAACTCACGCCATCGGTCATGGTGCCGCTCTCGAAAGAGATCCTATTTGTGTTGGGATCATCGAACCACTTCCGGAATCCAGCTAACCAACTAGACGCAAGCGACCAGATTGTCTGCGCCTCTTCCAAGAGTGTAATCATTCGCTCATATATCTTCTTTCCCTCCATCCGGACTTCATCGGGATGTCTACGTGGATCGACTTGACACGAAATTAGCAAAGGTACATCACCCGGCATATAGAATCTACTTACGTTGAGGAAACTTGTGCATGTATGCAGCAAGCAGCCCACAGCTGTAGACGCTGAATGTCTGCTAGTATGTCAGCTAACCGGCAACAGGCAAAGACATTATGGAACGAGGACGACTTACAGCAATTTGATGGCCAACCCTCTCCTCCGATGGTCGGCCTTCCACGTACTGAGCATCGACTTGTTCGTAAAGCATTCTGACATTCTCAACCAGCTCTTCGCCCATCTGGCGGTACATGCGGACCGTCTGGTCCCTCGGATTGCTGCGCGTGGCATGAATGATCCTGGAATTGGATTAGTAAATGGCGACCGGGCAGGCAACGTGTACGACATGACAATGCGGAATGGAGAAAGGAGATTGTTTCTTACTCGTCCATGTACGTTTTCCTCAGAACTATGTTGCAGAGACGCAGACCTGTAGTACAGCCTAGGAATGCCTGCAAGAACCAACAGTCAGAAGCCTTTCATGGGCAAATGGAAGAAGTGCAGACTCACCAAGTCTTCATTGTCCTGTCTATGTCCTTTGAGAGACTTGATGCCAAATCTGTGGTCGCCGAAAAGGTTATCCTCGAATCGCCTCAGCGAAGAAGCCATTCTTTGGTATTCGCTGTTATCGTTCCCGGGCCGCGAGCTCTTCTCGTTGGACACAGCTCGCCGAGCAATGATGCCCCAAAGATGGTGAGTCTGGATCAACGTGGCGAAAAGGGACCGCGGACGGAGGGTCGTCAGTTGTGGATTTTGCATAGCTGGTGGCGTACCCTCCAGGGCGGCTCGACTTTGCGGTACTACAGCAGCTTTGAACTCTTCCTCATCGCAAGGTAGAAGAGCAGTGATATCACTAGAGGCCAGGGAAAATGGCTTGTACGGGCCACTGTGGAGGTTGTCTTGACTATGTAGAACCCACTAATTATGTAAGTCAGCATGGTGGGTTAAGTGAAAGCCAGCATCTATTCGACTCTGATGCAATAGATGCATGCAACCTAGTGAATTCTGGTAAAAAAGGGTATACCTACAAAGGTGCGCCTGGCAGACTCGGCACGAATGATCTCCTCGGGTAAGGAGCTTGTTGTGATGCGTTCATATGTTTCCTCGCGGTGAAGCCTCATAAGAGCCGCCATTCTCGTTGCAACGCCCATGTTGATCTAATATGATTAGCCATGACCTTGGTAATCCAGCACTGCCATGAGAAACATACATAGCTTGAATTGGACATGCCACAGCCCTGCTGAGCTATGCTCAACAAGAGAAAGGCCTGACATCGTTCGAGTGTTGGCTGTTGGTAAAGCTCATTCATCGCCAGCCGCTCCGCACTTTTCATGAACCAATCGACAGCCTTGTGGCTATCCCCATACCGAGCTTGGATCTTTCTGTTGAATCTGGCCGAGATACTCAAAATGCTGAGGAGGAGAAACACACTGACGGATGACGGATTTTGTTCAATCTGCTGTGGGAAACGTTCCTTGTGGATGAAGCCAAGCTGAAAGTAGTGTGTAGTGAAAGCATAAACGCCCTCCTTGATAATGTCCACGTCTGGAAGTAGAGCCCACTCGTTTTCCCATTTGGGCACCTTGGTGTGGTTGAGGGCATCGTGAGCGCTCGGCGAGACAATGGACTCCCTCTTGACCCTGGCAACCTCGCTTTTGGGCCTCCTGTCCGCTCTTTGCCTAGGATGGCGGAATTGCCTATCCTCATCAGGGTCGCCCCTCGATGGGAAGTAACTATAGTGGCGTGAGTTAAAAAGAACGAATTCCACGTGACTCGGTGGGATATCAGGTACCATTCGTCAGGCACACCAGCCTCTAGACATGACGTGCACGGTGGGTTCTTGTCATGTAAACATTTACTTCGCATGCGCCGGCATCTGCGAGGATTGCCGGCGGTTAGTACATTGACGGAGTAAGTGGTGACATTTCCTAGACGGAACGTACCTCCGACAGGCTATCGGAGCTCGACGTTTGATAGGAGCAGCCGGACCGGTGTTGGAAGCGGCTTTCTGGCCGTTGTGGGCGGATGCTACTGGAGTCGTCGTGGTTGTATGTGGAGACCCTGGACTGTCGACGCTGGGGGAGGCGTGTTCAGGTGAATCCATTGTCATGTCCATTGTGTCAGCAGCCGGATGGGCACAAAAGAGTGAGCAGTCAGTCAAGTCGCCCGGCAGGCCCGTAACGCGGCAACGCCCAAGTTCGAGCCTCCACTGCTTGCGGCTACTGTTGGCTGTATGTATCCCGCACGTATTGTACTTGGCGGTATCCGTAGATATGGTATGGTGACCGTGCGTGCAGTCGATCAGTCGTACGTGGTGTGGAAACGAATATATGCTGCGGAGACTTTTTTTTTTCTTGGTGAACTTGCCGCCAGAGATTGCCTGCCGCAAAGGGGTTCTGGCAAATCGGGGAGCCAATCAGTTGTGCAAATGCACGATATGCCTAGGCTCTATTGCCGGCCGAAAGAGACGATCACCGGCAATCTATGAGGCGAAGAGCTGCCGCGCATATCTCGGGGCAATCGGGAGCAAAGCGAGGCTACTTTGTTCCGAAGCAGGCCTGTTTGTAATATAGAAAAAAGGGCCGGAGGCGCTCCGGTGATGATTTGCTCAGGTATGTAGATTGGTAGGTCAGGTTGTAGGTTGTTGGAGGGTTGACAGCAAACGACCAAGAAGAAACGTCTCTTTCCACCCCCCCAATTCGATTCTCAAGCCGGGCGGGCGGCGGGGGATGCAATATATGGCAGAGACAGTCTCCACAGAAGTATGAGAAAGAGCCCTAGAGGCTGGTACCTAGACAGGTATGGGGGGGCCACCCCGGACAGAAAGCTACGCACCCCAAGTCCCCTGTTTGCCTGTTCTTCAGCGACCAGTCGGCTAGGTACTACCTGCAAGAAGCAAAGGGCCCTTCAGGGGCTCTCGGGCCGTGGTAGTGGTAAATTGAATGTAGGTACAAGTACGAACAGTAGACACCCGCTCTAGTAGTTGGATTTCGCCTCAAAAAAGCCTGAGCGGCACAATAAGTTGGGCTTAGCATCCGAGCCATGTGCGAGCTAATGCTGGGTGGTCATGGCAAGGCGATCATTAATCAACCCAAGCATTTCACTCTATTCACCGCGTTGGGACTAGATCAAGTAGGTAGATGCTAATGTAGATGCATATTGAATGGGTATTATCTTCAAGTGTGAGGCATGTTATAGGTCTCCCCTCCGTCTCTATACTAGCGAGTAGGTACGCTGGATCTTGGAGCTCCTCGTGGGAACATGGAATAGGTAAGGTGGTGATGTCAGTACATTCGTTCTTGTCTGACATAGACCGTTTAGTAGGCCGTCCAGTAGCGGACTCACGGGACGTTAAGAAATGCCAACTAAACATTTTCCCAACGGGCGAGACTGAGACAGCAGATTTCAACGAATAATGTGTGTACTTGGCTCTTACCGCTTCATCTTATCCTCCCTCCCTACACCACCCTGGGGTACTTGACCATCGACGTGGTGCTTTGATCTCCCCTGCATGTGCTCCAAGTGCAAGCAAAACTCATCAGCCACGACAACAACCAAGCAAAGGCGCCGTTCGACCCAAGGATACCTTCGCAGAAAGAATCAATGAACAACTCCACAAGGGTAATAGCCAAAATGCGTCAAAAATGCATGCAAGAGAAGCATAATATTCGCATACATACAAGGAACAAAGGGGCCTCTTGCAGGTCTTGCCGCCCAATAAGAAAGCACCAGTATGCACGAAATCCTGCACCGCATCCGAGTTTGTCGATTCACATACATTGAGCTGTCGCTTGTCATCATAGCCCAATCACAAAACTTTTTCGGGTCGATGCAAGTCTCGTTCTATAGCAGAGGACCTGGATGAGGTGCTGTCTCGTCATTGCAACGCCCGTCTATCAGCTTGGCCTGATGACCACATTTCTACCAGTCAACCGATTGTTGGAACTTTTCGACCTCCACAGCTCCGAGAGAAACGCGTGGGATCAAGTGTGTGCCTCACGGACAACAGGAAACCACCAATTATGTAAAAGGCCAGGATATCGCTCCCGAGGAGGTAAGTTGACAGCTCTGGTTTGCCGAGTTCTTAAGGTACCGCCCCATATGTTTTTGCTATGCCGAATGCAAGGCCGCATTGCCGGGTCGTCGTGATCATCATGAAGACTCATGAACCCTTCCAAGTGCCGAGAGACTACGATGTAGAGAGGCCCTGCCCTACATCTCTCAAGCTTTTACGGGATCTGAGCACCGGCTCGCTAAGGGTAGCTAAAGCACCTCTAGGCATGTCGATCAGCCACGACGATAAATGGCTGGACGTGAGCGTGAATAGTGGACTCCGCGGAGTTGTGTGAAGACCTAGCGTCCCAAGACTGCTGCTTCGGAGATGCTCAGGCCCTTTTATCAATCATATTGTTGTTCCCGGAGGGACAGAAAAGCATACCATCCCAAGGACCTCTTTCTTGGATTATTTAAGCATGTGAGTCCTCCCACGGAAGATGCCGGCCTCATTGCTCGTCCAAGCAACGGCCGCGGACGGCTCTCTTTTAGCTCAGAAACGGAACACGCTTGTGCACAGCGGAATCACTTGGGGAACTCGATGTCTCAAACCTTGGAGAGGCGAAGAGAGGTCTCTCACCCCGGGTAAGGAAGCAAAGCAACAAAGTACCACAAGTAAAGGCAGATAAGGTATTCCGCATCTGTATCCGCACCCTCTACTCTGCAGACCATTCTTCACAACCGCCTAATGGTTCCCACCACATGCATTCATTGGTGATGAGATGGCCGAGCAACCGAATAGCCGCATGATGCTTGCTACCGAGCACATCCAGCCGAACATGACTCGGTTCTCACTATCTTGCCTTGGGTCCCACCAATATTGTTTACCCCATGTTCCATCACCAAACAAGTTCAAAGGTCTTGAAGATCATCGTGGGAGGCCCCATCTGCTAGGTACTATAGCACGTGGCAGTCGCTCGGCCACAACCGAAAGTCGATCGTGATGGCCCCAAACAGCTTCTGGTCTCTAGTAGTATAGTACTGTCACACTGTCGCAAAGCTCGGTAGGGCCGATCCTGCAAGGTCGATCAGTACTTTTTACGTTTTGCTCAAAGGCCGGACAGATGGAAGTCTGATGGTCTGTCACGTCTGTCGCAACATTTAATCGGGTGTCGATCCTACTTGGTTGCCATCTTTGGTCCTTTTTCAGTCTTTTGCAGACAATGCGTTGATATTTAAGCAGAGAGCTGCGCCAAGGTATCAAACCACCAATGACACCACATGTCTTTTCGACAAGCAAGTCGCCCAAGACAATCTGTTACGGTCTCAATCAGCTATTTTGGAGCCCAGAGGCTGACTTGGGAACTCTAATCCATATCTGCTGTCCCTGGGCAGATGTGGTGATTCCCTTCATCCCGAAGCCTGTGTCCCTGCTTTCCTAGATAACCATCTTTCACGTCGTGGCCATGATGACTAAAAATGGCAGGGTCTATAGAGAGCCGCAATGCCATCCATCCATGCGTCCATGCACGCCATAGCCAAATACCACCCTGCATTTCTCGTGCCTGCCGCGAAACCCTGGACATGATCACGCCCGTATACAGCTCGGCCGAGCGTCCGAATCTAGGAAGATAACTAGCGGAGTGCGCCGCTGCCATGTGGGGAGCTGGGTCGGCGATAGCTATGACGAATTCTCCAAGTCCCATTGGACTGGAAGGGGCGCGCTGGGCCAAGTGAATCGGTGCTTATGCCCATCTGCTTTTAATAATGCTTCGGGTGCCAACAGACCGCCCGTAATGGCACGAAACACCCCAAACGACAACTCGTGATTCCTCACCGTTCCCCAAATCCTTTTTCCACCTTCTTACCTTTGTTGTTGTTGCTGCACAGGATGATGTGGTCCTCGTCTGTCGACCCAGTCCGCGGCCTCGTCGCAGCAGCTCTCTGTGCCTCTGTCTTGACGCTGCTTTATACTCGATTATTCCGGAAAAGGTACCCGTATCCGCTGCCTCCGGGGCCCCCAGGCAAGTTCCTAGTCGGGAATCTAGGCCAGCTAAGCGTCGACCACCCAGAAGAAGACTACATACGATGGGGCAAGGAGTATAGTAAGACAAGTCCATTGCAACTGAATATGTTTTGGTGATTCTAATCAGCAACAAAAAAGACTCGGATGTCATCTACACCAATGTGCTGGGTCAGCACATGATCAGCCTCAACAGCGTCAAGGCGGCGAATGACTTACTCGATCGTCGCGGCGCCAACTATTGCGACCGTCCTCGGTTTACTCTTTTCGAGGTGTGCGTAGTTTTCTCATATAAACCGGGTTCTTCTTTTTCTTTTACCTCCGATTCTTTGATGTACGCAACAGAATGAAACTGACAGGATGAAGAATGGGATGGGGTCTGACCTTGACCTTTTTGCGATGGGGCCCGCAGTTTAAACTGCACCGGCGGCTGTTCCAGAATACCTTTACGCAGTCAAACGTCAAGATATTCAGGCCGATACAGCTGCATGAGTGCAGAAAAGCCGTCAAGCTGCTGATCAAGGACCCTGAGGATTGGGAAAAGATTACCCTCCTATTGACCACCAGCATCATATTTCGCATCGCTTTCGGCCAAGAGATTACCGACAAAGAATCTCCATATTGTGCCATGTCCGAGGCTGCCAACGATGCAACCACCAACGGCGGCATCGCAGGCGCGACTCTCGTTGACATCTTCCCCCTCGCTCGCTTTATCCCCAACTGGTTGAACCCGTCGTCATCGCTGCGACATGCAAGGGCAAGTCGCCCAGCTATTCAGACGATCCACGACAAGCCGTGGGAAGCAAATATGAAGGACATTGAGGCTGGCACCGCCGGCCCTTCTTTCATGCAGACGCACTGGGACAAGTACCTCGAGAATGCCAAGACTGGAAAGCCGCAAGAGATGACTATTGAGGACATCAAAGGCGCGACGGGTGCCGTCTTTATCGCAGGGGGCAACAGCACTTGGGGAACAATTCTCTCCAATATGCTGTTCCTGACCAAGTACCCAGAGATCCAGAAGAAGGTCCAAAAGGAGATTGACGCACTACTGCTCAATGCGGAAGACGGCAAGCCACGCCTGCCCACATTCGAGGACCGCGAGGCGCTCAAGGCCCTGGACAACTTTATGATGGAGACGCTGCGCTGCCTACCCCTCAACCCGCTCGTGATCCCGCACAAGAGCCTCCAGGACGATGTCTACGAGGGCATGTTCATCCCCGCCGGCACGACCGTATTTGCCAATGCCACAGCCATCACCAAAAACCCTGACACGTACGCCGAGCCGTCACAATTCGATCCCGACCGGTACGACCGCGGCGAGCCGCACCCGAGCGGCAATTTCGGCTTTGGTCGTCGCAAATGTCCAGGTAACTGGCTCGCGCTCGCGAGTGTGTACATGTTTCTCGCCACTTTCCTCACTATTTTTGAGCTGGAGCAGGTGATTGGAGAGGATGGCAAGCCTATCGTGCCGGAGCCCGGCGTGTCGATAGGTCTAGGCGGGTACGTCTTTTCAGCGTTCAGAGATGGGAATAATCGTCTGTCATGCTAACATGTTTCTTCTCATAGACACCCAACACCCTTCAAATGCAAGGTAAAAGTTAGGAATCCAGAAATGGCAAGGCTAATCATGAAGGAAGACCACTGAGTGGGTGGACCGGAATAGTGTCGTTCAATCTGTGAACAGATGAGCAAGGGAAGACAAACAAGGTGAGATACGTCACGGAGCCGGGATGCCAGGGGGTGACTCACCGGGGTGTGTGATTGATTACCTTGTCCCGTCCATCCTCCCCATTCCTTCGGCTTGCCGAGAAAAGGACTTGACCTATTCTCTCGTTGGCTGACCCGACACTTTGGGGCCCGACAGGCATTCATACCTAGGTACATAACAAAGTGGAGTTGATTAATATGCATTGACACATCATGTCTTTTTTATGCAATTGTGGCTTGCGGCATCATGTCAGATCAATCACACCGGTTTTAAGAACGTTGTACAAAAAGCCGAGACACGCGACCTTCAAATGCAAATGTCTAATGACCCTATCCCCGTTGCAGGCCCAGCCATGCCAGCATGCCAATGAGAAGCACGTTCTGCTCCCCGTGGACGAGAAAGAAAAAGAAGGATTTGATGCGAATATGCCAAAAAAACAAACCCGAGACACGGCTCATCCGTCTCAGCCCTATTACCGTTGTTTCCCATGCCCGCCACAAAATGAATAGAATCGAGCGTGTCTTCATGATTTCCGTGTTATACCCATATCTAGGGTTTTGCAGTGCGTCATTTCGGTATTCTCGTCTTTCCATTGGCAGGCAAAACTGATTACAGAGACATGTTCACTTGCCACCCAAGTGCCATCTAAACTTTGCATCAATTCATGTGATTGGATTGCACACGGGTAAAGCCAAGCACCATTGGCAATTCTTCAGCATCTTTCCAGCCTACGCCAAAGTCCATTTTCACTCTCGCCCAGCCTTGCGACAAGACCCTTCCTCTCCCGTTCTGATCCAGTGAAACCAACCTATCTACAACCCATCTTCGTGTCTCATGACCAATGTCTTTTGTGACCCCGACCTCCGAGTCTTGTGGTAAAACCGTGACCCTTCACAACCAGCCCACCAGACGTAGCTACAGCCCTTTGCCAATGAGAAAGATTCCGGAAATGGTAAAGAGAGAGGATACTCTGCACACAATGGGAAGAATCCGCGCAAAGACCCTCTGCCAGTCTTTTGTTGAAGGCGCTCCATCTTTTTTCCCCCCCAAATCCGCCCGTGGGGTTTGAAAAAAAAGAAGGGAGTCTTATCCTCCTCTTTCAAACGGGGCCCGGCCGTACATGAGAAGCTTCTACGATAATTCCGTCATTTCGAGTTGAAAAGTCGAGTCTTGGTTAAAGCTGACCCACCGCATCAATGGCTCCATCTTCCATATGGAACCCTTCCGATTGCTTTTTATTTTTCTTCCTCTTTCAAATCTTTTGTAATTATTCTGGAACTGATCCAGGTCACCGTTGGAGGCCCCAAATATGTCAGTGCGGACATGGAAGAACCCACAACATCCGCTTAGAGAATGTTCTCTCCCGGGACCCGCTTAGATAGGAGAGAATCATATCTGGAAAGGAGAGAGAGTCATATACATGAATTTAGCTGGAAATTAACAATGTTGAGGCGGTCAAGGCCAGAAAATATCAAGGGATTGTTATCATCCACCTGATACAACAATTCAAGTCACAACTCTACTGATAGGATTCAGTCCCTAGGTGCTATGCGGTACGTTGCAAGGTAATGCATTCAAGTCATGTAAACATTCAGAAGACAATGGATATGGTTTCGATGCCCTAAGAAAGGCTGTTTTGCATTATTGTATAGACCGATGTAACGAGCGGCCCTCGCACGCAAATCGGTTCCTTGTGTTCTTGTATGAGACAAGAAACCATCCTCGTCATCTTCTTCCTCATCGCTTCAACAATGCGCTTGCGCAAATGGCAGCGCTTTGCCCCGCCAACTCCTAAACCCAAATCAAGGGGGAAATAAACCATTTTACAAATCAGAGGTCGACCCATCCCAAGGTCGACCATCTAGTCCCAAACGCCATCGCCAATGCTCCCCAGTCGTGACCTCTATAGCCACGTTATTACGATCTGATCTAATGAATAATAATGTACACGAAATGTTTAAACTGATGAATGAGTGTGTATCTCTGAAGCAAGTTCGGCTGCTCGCGGTGTTGTCTAATAAAATAGGGTATCGGGTAAGAGAGCATTGTAGAATCGAAACTTTTATGTAGCGAACGCTCCAGGAATGGTGATTGATAGTCGTTTGATGTCATCGACGTCAGCTTCTGGCTTCTCGACAACCAAGGTCTCGGTTGATTGTTGTTGGACAGGCTCGCTTTCTCCAGTCGCCTCTACTTGAGCGTCTTCCAGCACCGAGTCTGCCGGCCCATCGCTTACGTCTGTCTCTGGTTGCTGTGGTTGACTGGCAGATTCTTCTTGGAGGGCTTCGGGCTTGGTGGTTGTCTCGGTGTCATCTGAAGCAGCTTCGAGGGACGGCTCCGGCGTGGCCTCGCGGACGGACTCGACTATGACGGACGGTGCCTCGTGGCTGGTGCGAGGGCTCTTCTCGCAAATGCTGCCTGGGGAGAGGCCGTGGGCTTGAACAGCTGGTATCACGCCGCCTCCTATGCGGCTCCAGAACATTTGCTCCCGGAGCCTGACACTTTCTTCCCATGCTGCCCGTTCCGAGTCGACGTCGTCGGCACGCCAGTGACCATCCTTGACGATGCGGAGGAAACCCAAAAAGTCACAAGTGGATCGGACGCGGTTGAGGCAGTAGGTGCAAAGCGGGTAGCGCTGGGCCGAGTCGGCTTCACTCGTCTTGAATCGATGCAATCGGAGATGAGGAGCGTCCCTACGACTCTCACCACACAATGAGCATGGGTAAAATTGGGGCTTGGTAATGGCCGTGAAAGATGTGTTCGTAGGTACGGGCTCCACAACCATGGTTCCTTCGATAATGGCAGTGAGCACAGATCGACGTGCCAGCCAAGACAAGCCGGGTGCTGTGTCGAGGCGCAGTGTAGGCTCGACATCCTCAGCAAGAGTCCTCTTGAAAAATTTGGTCTCCTTCAAAGGTGGAAGCGGCGTGCTAACAGATGCTGCGCTCATCAATGACGATGCAGGAGTGCTTGGGGTCTGTGACGACGTAGACGAGGTGATGGCCGTTGCAAGTGATGCAGTAGATGCATTCGACGGCGCAGAGCCGGAGCTTGCAAGACTCAAAAGAGGGTTGAGGCCACCATATGAGCTGTTGGAGAGCCGACTCATAGGTCGGGACTTCGAGGTTTTGATGAGAGCTAGGAAGTCCTCGTAGGCACCCAAGTCGGTACGAAGAACGGGCTGAAGGAGGTGAGTAAGGCTGGTCGGGAATGTTGGAGAGCAAGGCTCGGTAATAGCGGATTGTAACGTGATGTCGCTTCGGTCATCGTCTCTGGAGTCGAACTTGCTAAATCCAGGGGAAGAGGGCGTCGTGCCGCTGTGATCGTCGCGCTCAACTGTCATTTGCTCCATGACTAGCTTGAGCTCTACGAGCTGTTCCTGCTGTGACCGTAACAATCCCTCCGTGTCGGCTAACTGGGCCTTCAAGAGGTCGTTCTTGCGCTGAACCGCATCTTGTTCCCTTTGCGCTTCCTCCTTTGCAGAAATGACCATCTTATTAGCCTCCTCGAACAAGGCCTGCGTCAAGTTCTCCAGCTCCTGTTCAATCTTCTTCTTTTCCCTGTCAACCTCGGCCTTGGCTCTGCGTTCTTCTGCAAGACGTAGTAGTAGCTGGGCTTTCTCGCGCTCCATAGTGGACTTCTTGATCCAGACGTCGCCAGATAGTTTTTCGTTCTGAAGTGCTATCGTTGCTTCCAGTTCGCGATTCTTTTCCCTTGCTTCCTCCAACTCCTGCCGTGTCGATGCAAGGCTGTCGTCCAACGAGGTTTGATGGTTGATTGCGTTGATGAGCTTGGTGCTCAGGGCAGCAACTTCGTTATCAAGGTCAGGGTGGTGCACTGGCGTCTCGGAGCCACCAGTCGAGTTTTTCCTAGGATCGGGTGATGTCGTGAACTCCTCATCATCTGCAAGCGATTGGTTTGAATGTTTCCTGCGTGGTTGTTGTGGGACCTCCAGAGACGACGGTTCTCTCGACGGAGAGGACATGCCCGTTGTCCTCGGAGAAGTAGCCGATCTGGCAGGAGACTGCTCTCTGGTGCTAGAGTTTGATGCTTGCGAAAAACTTGAAAAGGAACGTAAATGACCAAAAGGACGTTGGGGTTTTGGACTGGAGCTCTGGTGCTGCGTCCAGGCTGAAATGTGAATGAAGCTGAAGAACGGAGCATTAGCGATTGTGGTTGATGACATAACAATGATGAGGATGCGAAAGGGATTGGCGGTTAAAGTGATGTGCCAAATTCAATTGAGCAAGCCGCGAAGGCATGCGTGCCATTTTGAAACCAAGAGTTCAAATGAACCAAGGTGCGACTGTACATGACATGGGGATCATTGTTGTTATTGTTGTTGTGTTTGTATGCACTTACGAGTCCATCTTGGTTGGCGGATAGACCTTGGGAGGTCCGGATCCAGCTCCAGCGAGCAATTAGGGATTCAGCTCCTGGATTCGGACTTGAAGCTTGGCGCTCCTGGCAGCTCGGGTCGGTCGTCGTCGATTAAGACGCGAATCTCCGGCAGTGACTAGAGCCAAAGTCCGAAAGCCAAAAAGGGCTGCTGGAAAGGCCACTGAAGGTCGGCAGCAGCAGAAACTTTTTTTTCTGCTGTGTTGTTTTGTTGATCAAGGTTTAGGTGAGAGAGACCTGACCCTATTGTCGCGGCAGGAGAGACAATCCACAAGCGACCCGAAGGGGAGGTGGCGGTTCGGTGGAAAAACGTAGTGTCCGGATGGGCCTAATAAGCGAGGATTAACATTAGGCTATCGAAAATTCAGGGCGAGCTCGCGCCGAGGGTCGATCAAATGTGGTCCGTGACGGCAACTTCCAGGATTGTAGCTGTGTGTAGGTGTGTCTAATGTTGAGAAAGGCACAACAATGTAGACAAATGTTTTGTTGTTGAAGAAAATATGCGAATCTAGTCGAGATGAAAAAGAGGCTGTGCAGTGCGGGAGCAACAATATCTAAGTAGTAGTAGCTTGCTGATAGGTAATTGTACTGGGAAGGGAGATCGGAAAGCAGATGCAGACCCAAGACCTGCAGATGCATGGCCTTTTTGCGGAGAAGAGGTGCTCCAGTGATGAGCTTAGGCGGCGATGGGCGACAAGGGTAGATGAGGTTTGGAGGTCCCAGCTGACGAAAGTACTGGGCTAGGGGCCGACAAGTACAAATTGTACATGGGCGATGCATCTGCGCTACCTAGACTAGAACACGGCTACAAGGACAAGTACCTAGACTAGATGATGGCCTCACGCAGCGCCCAGGCGAAAAAGAGAGTGATTTAAGCGCTGGCCGACGCGAAGCCCTGCGACGCTGAAGCAAGAAAACGTGGGCTCTTGGGCTGGGCTCCAGAAAAAACCGTGCAAAAAAGGCTCCTCATTTCGCTCACGGCTCCTTCCAACGGCCCTGTCAGTGCATGCAGGTCGTGACAGGGTCCTGTCAGAAGATGGTGTAGCGGAAACTCGAATGAGTGGACGCCTGTTTCTGCTCTGCTCTGCAACCAGCCAAGCCCGTCCAGCGAATGGACGACGCCCATGACTCGATTGTGCCGCTGTCGTCTGTGTTGTTCGCCTCTTGTTCTTATTCCCATCCAAGCAGCAACAAGCTCGACCAGCCAACCGGATGTGCAACCAACCTACTGTGCACATAACGCCCCCATGACTGAATGGCTGACGGCAGGATCAACTGTTACCGAAAAGAGGGGAAGAAGGGTTTGGGGCAACGTGAACAATCAACTTGGTGTGCTGTTGAGGGGAAATGTTGCATAATGGCCGCCCTTGCACTGCGTAGCTGGTCACGCCCAAACGCTGAACTACCAGGCAGGCTGGCAAGGTAGCGTCCCGTGACCTTGATAGTATAATCGCTCGTGTAAACCGAGTACATTCGTAGTATGATGTTGTGTTGGATATGACGAATAGTAGGTCGGACAATCAAGTTGCATTACCTAAGACTATTCTTTTTGTTCCATGGCACTGGCAACTGCTAACCGGCACATTATCTCCAAGATCATCCGAAATGATGTGCACCTGTGGGCAGTGTAGATTAGATAGATACGTCAGATCTCATCTCGCGCACATTTCCATAGCAAGCACTGGCTTTGGCCTAGCTGACGATTACATAGTTGATTCACCAACCGAGCCAACCCTTCGTACATGAGATACTTGCATCGTAGGTGGGTTTTGCAGGTAACAGATTAGTATTATACCCGCTTTGCCGCCATGTTCGTCATGAATCGGCGCGCCGCGGTGGTTCCAAGCTTTTAGCGTCCATCGTATCCACGGACCCCTGGCAAAAAAGCTCTCTAGGCTTGGCCGGCCTTGGGTGTCACGACCGAAACCACACTGTCTTCTTTTCCCCGTAATTGGCACGCAAATATGGACCAGTGCGTGCCAGGAAAAGGTGAGCGACGCAGCAGAGTTTGCGCCGAGCTGATCTAGCACCGAGAGTTCCAAGGGTGACAGAAATTTTCTGCTTACCCATCGACAGACGGGCAGTCCAGAATTCTAGACGCGAGGGTTTGAGTCGTGTCTGCCGAGGATCGTTGAATCCAAACGGCCAGGCACAGAATTCCAGACTCGTATGGGCATTTCATTCAGGAACTCAAAGTCACCTGAAAGCTGAGCGCCAAGGGCACAATCATGGTCCAGATCCGTCAGCCGCAAGTAACAATTCGTTGTTGCAACGCAGCAGCTGCTACTAGCAGCTTAGTATGGAAGATAGTAACCAAGGTCCCAGGCTCGGGGAGGGCCGTGGAGCACAATCCCTCTTTGGGGCCAGAACCCCGTTCGCTGGCAGCAATTGTTGGGGCTCTCGGGGCGGAGGGAATCAATCATCGCGTGGCCCCGATGATAGCGCGTTCTCTACGGAATACTTTTGCTATCTCGCCCATCCTGATGAGTGATGTTAATGAAATGGGTCAACGATGAGAGGCCGCATATCGTATTTCGTGGGATTCGCTCGTACTATAGTGTAGATAGGTAGGTCGTATCCGCCCGCGGTGGAGGATTCGAACCGCATGCTCATCACCCCAGGTCTGCAGGTCTGCAGGTTTGCCAGTCTACTAACCTTAGGTATGTATCTGCCTTTCCGGTGGTTCCTGGTCCTCCCTCTCTGAACGCGAGTGTGAGATGAGCACTCACGGTCCCAGACCCCAACCGACCAACCCCCGACATCCCCCCCTCGTCATCACAAAAAGAGGTGATCAGACGGCACAGCGGCGGCAGGACCCCGGCGTTGCAGGGCCAAGAGCAAGGCGAGGGGAAGCATCGAGAAACACAAGTCGCATCTTGAGATCAGGCGACTGCGACGGTCCCATGAACGCAACAATGATCTCACTGGGCAGCAAGCATTGGTAGTACCGTCCGTCGGTTTCGGGACAAGCACCGCTATGTCAAGTTGTGAACCGAGCTCAAAAGGTCCCCGACTTTTGATCCCATTGAGTTCAGTCAGGTACGAAAATACGTAGCAGACCCCACTATGGAGCTTGATGGCGTTCTCGAATCTGGTGTAGCCTGAGCCTTTTTCCTCTCCACGGCAGTAAGCCACAGCTTCACCAAAGTCCCCCAGAATACAAAGTGTCAAATCGTGGGTAAACCTTGTCCTGAATCGTCGAGCACAATTATACTTTGGGGAGGTCTTTTCACAAACGACGTCGAGACCGGCGCCGAGCTTGATTATTCGCTCTCCCGACGCCTGTCGGACCGGAGCCTGGAGGTACCTACAACGAGGCTGAACAACATCGTCCATGTTGACTGTTCTTGTCTGACACTCAATTGATCAACTTGATTGGCAGATCAATGTGACCGGTAAGCAATATTCATGACTGCAGTGTAGATCTCCAGAGGCCCTGCCTATATTTGAAGCTCAAGACAGGCATGTATATTTCTCCCTATGGTTCATAAAGACCTTGGTGCTCACATAATGCAGATAGCCAAGGACGACGTGCAATCTTACCAAGTCGAAATCTCGTGCTCTCAATCAACTCAATGTGAGCTTCCGTCTGTGTAGTTTGAACATTCCCATGTAATAGATCTATGTAGCAATGAATTGACTTCCTTGGAACTGCACTTGCTGTTCAGTTTTATCCTGCAATCGACTGCTCTAGAATAAAGTTTCATCTGAATTATCACCAGCAGCCTGTTCAATACACGATGTACACGGTATATCTTTATTTGAGATGACTTTGATATACGTAATCCTTCACTCCCATTACAGGCGCCCAAATCACCCCACAGTAACGGCCAGTGTGGCGTTTATATAAATGCGCCGTTCAACCGTTGATTGAATGTAGATAGTCCAAGCATTGCTGTCCGACTCGCTATTCCTGGTGCACACTCCGGGGCAGCATAAATTCGTATTCATCTGACCAACACTCACTCGGCAGCTCGTGTTTAGATGCTTGTTTCGATAATACGACGCCGTCGTCGCCAAAGGTATACACTGCATAGATTGCCCCCAAAACTGCGGAGCGGAGTAGAACAGCACGTGGGGGCGGGAAGCGGAGGCTAGAAGCTGGAGCTATCCGATGCTTCTTCTCGATTCTGTTCTGTAGCCTCTTTGTCAACTTCGTATACTTATTTTGGTCTTGACAATGTAACCCGCCCATGGACTGTAGGAGGAGGATTGCATAAGGCAAGTCCTGCCCTACATTGCTGTCCGCTGCTTGGTTAATAGGCATCAAGCTAGTGATGAACCTGCAATTTCCCTCATGATTGATGGCTTACTTCGTCTGAAAATGCCTCGCCTGCAATAAACGCCGGACGTCCCGTGCTACGGGGCGATACTGCGCAGCATAGCAATGGCCCCAATATTTCTCTTTTTTCCCCTTCTCCGACAGAAACACGACAGCTTATTGCGCGTCCTTGTTGTCACTCGAATGGGGGTCACATATCGGATACGGCCCTGAGGGAGAAACGCCACTCCAAACAATCACCGTGCTTATGTGGCTTGCTGCCATTGAGCCAACACACTCGGTACAACTGCTTGTGCGAGCAACATGCGGGTTAGCCGGCTTGTTGGTACTACTATCACAAACGACCACGACGATCAGGGCTCCATTTTCTTCCACCTACGGTACACCTGAGAATTCCAAAGCCCCAGATTCCCGTAACGTCAAACGTCTGTTGTAGCTATTTGTAGAAGCGGGGTCCCGATCCGCTTCGCTGGCACGGGCGCTCTCTCAGCAAGCCATTGCCAATCATCTCGTCCAGGTAATGCAAGAATAGGATCTTCAGAGGCAGTGCATTGAGCTGCTTGGATAGTAGGTGTTCCGAGTGCTCTGAAGAGGCCCATTGCGATCGTTGAACTTGACAGACGATCCTGTCGTTCCTTTCGTCCAGTTGTGACAATCAATGCCGTTTCATTTCAAGTCGACGCGCACATCTCAACCTCTCTGCTTACTTCCCCCAGTAGTGGGTCACTTAGCCAGCTGTATAAGTCTTGCACGGATTCATAATGACTACAATATGATCCACACGTCGTTGCCGAGGACCTTGTGTAAGTAACGAGCATGTCATTCAGAATTTGCAGTAGTCTTTGCATGGTTGGAATGTCATGTTATTGTATCTCACTGCATATCTCACTGCAGTACAGATGCAGATTTTGTAGCTTGCATTGCTAATTGTGTCTACCTGCTCCACAAGAGCTTGACAAAGATTGGCCAACTTTCGATGACTTGAGACCTGGAGGTTGACTAAAACACCGCATTGACAAGAGGAACTTTGTATCCGTGTTGAGCATGCTGTTATAATATCTAGCTACCTCTGGGCATCCACAAATCAGCCAATGGCGGGACCTGGTTGCTCAACTTCACAATGATCGCAACCGTAAAAGACTCAAACCCAAGTAGCATTCGCAGAAGTGGAATGTCCCTTGTGAGCCTGCACCACGTTTTGGACTCGCTTCTCAAGAACCGTCTCGAGCGGAATGTCCAGATCAGAGGTCGTCGTGGGCAACTCCAAGGTCTTGGAGTGGTGGGTAATGGAGACATCAATAGTGTCGACGGAAATAGACCCAGCAAACTTGGCAGCACGCGGGTCGAGAGTAAACTCGGGCTCGGAGGAGCTCGAGAACGTGGCTGTGGCTCCAGGAAAGTCCTCAAAGATAATGCTTTCATCAGGGGTAGCATAAGTGATTGTCGGCCTCGTGTGGGTGACAGTTCTCTGCCCTCGCATGGTTGTTGTCTGCGTGACAGGTCTGTGTACTGGATTAATATACTTTGTTCTTTCTCCCCGGAGATGATGATAACTACAAAGGATACTTACGTGATCGGTTTAGCCATGATGGCTTGCACAAGAGCCGCGATGATGAGTTTGCTCAACATTTTGGATGATATAAGATCTTGTTGACAAATTCCACAAGAACCTCGGGCGACTTTGTCTTTGGTTTTGTTAACTGTTGTTGATTGTTCTTCAAGCGTTGCGTTCGATGCCTGTCTTCTCCAAGATCCCGCCTTGACTTGTGTTCTTCAAGGACTTTTTATAATCCTTCTCGACAGCGTCCCAGCCTCCGCAAGAATCCCCAAGCATCACCAGCACAACCTCTGTTGCGCGTCATTCAGCCCTCGAGGGCGATGACTATCAGATCAAGTTCAGCTCGACTCCATAGAGGCTGGCAAAATGCCAAGCATACTAACTGTTGCGGTAAGGAGCAGCGCCAAGTCGAGACAGATCTCCCTAGATCTTTTTCGCACAAAACCCACCCTGTATCTAATATGCATGTCTATCCATTCCAGCGCAATTGAATATCACCGAAGTCCCCGAAGCGCGTACATGATTGACTAGAATCCTGTCTATTATCGTAATGACTACGCCAGATTCGGAATTGTTCAGATGCGTCATAAAGGCCGAGATGCAGATTAGACGGCGAAAGATGAAACAAAATATTGAGGGGATCGAGATATATATCGCGCTACCTCGTCAACCCGAAGGAGAGGCAGACCAATATTATTTTACACCCGGGACCTCCAATCTGCTTATTTCTTCTCGTCCTTCCCCCGACTCGTATACAACTTTTCCGCCCTTTCGCTCTTACTACCCCGTGGTACCGTCGCCTCCGCACCGCCCTCGAGCCGCTCGAGCGAGTCTTCGATTAACCCTATGTGCCCGCGCAAGGTCCCCTCGAGCTCGTCCATTCGAGCTTCGTGCTCCTGTAGGTTATACTCGTGGTGACTCTTGAAGTAGAGTGTTACGGCGCCCAGTGCGGTCAAATTGGCCATGCCCAGCGCATTAGTCAGTGCTGGTGAGCGCAGAAGGGACATTGTGGGAAAAGACAAAGTGATATACGTGATGACAATGTCAATTGGCGTATCGATGAGTGCGTGTGTGGATTGACACAAGAGGCAGTGTAAAGAAAATACTTGTAGTTTGATATGCCAACCGTTTTTCATATTTTCGAAACATACAGTAGCTATCTCCTGGGCATATAGCCCACTAGTATATATACCTACGTACCTAAGTAATGAGTTACGATGCATACCAAGTGTTAGCGTCATAGAACCACATAAAGCTTAAACATGGACGGGGCTTTCGATTGAGAGCAAAGACCGAAAAACTTGGGCAGGTTCTAAATGAGCCAGAATGCATGATCCCAATGTTGGTTCGCAATGGAGAAAGTAAGGGTTCGCAATGAGTTTCACTGTCATCTGGAGCCACTTGGTTTATATAATATACAAGTTTCTTGAAACCATAGCATCAACTTCTCTTTACGGCAGGCTCATAAAAAGCTCCAACATCTTGGGGTAATTTGGCGTGCCGAGGCCAGTGACGGGGTCCTATTTGCACAATTAGTTATCGCGAAAATTATTGCCAAGAGGCGGAATTTGGAGATGCTCACCCATCCCTTGGCACAGCTAAAGCCCTTGGTACCACATCCGGGGTTGTTGCCAGTGACAATATCATTCAACACGTCGGGGTTCTCATATAGGGTTGGGTTGACGAATCCAACGGGCGACTTGCCTGCGGCAAGTCTCTCCTCGTTGATACGAGTGATGAGGGCACCAAAGATGGGCGAAGAAGCGCTCGTACCACCCTCAGTTCCCAGACGACCTTGCACGTAGACTGCAATGTTGTCGCCATTGGCAGCCACGTCAGGGATACCGCGGCCGTCGCGGTTGTAGACACCACTACTAGTCTCGTAGCTACCGTTGGTGTAGTACGCATAAGTCGGGTTGGCCGTGTCGTAGTAGGTCTGCACGGCGGCAGCCTGGTAGTCGGGCACCGGGAAGATGTTGGAGAACCCACCTCCCGAGCCGAAGCTCTTAGTGGCAACTTCGGGATCGTTGACGGTGTTGCCCGTGGGAATATAGGTAGAGCCGACATTGGTGAGCCATGGGCAACTGTTGGGCTGGGTCGGCGAGAATACCTTGCCACTCTTGAGACAGCCATTGGCCGCAGCTCCGGTCGAGCCCGCGTAGCCAGCAACGCCCGTATCGCCACTTGCGACAAAGATACTGACACCTTGGAGACCGAGCTTAAGGAATTCATTACACTGACGCTGCTGGTAGTAGGCCGGAAGATCTGACTCCTGCTCACCATACGAGATTGAGATTACGTTGGTCGGCGTATAGACGCCGCATTGCAATTCGCCCTTGTATCCATTTGCATGGCTGTCAGGATAGGTCGGGTCCAGATCCGGGTCATTACCGCACTCTCCATCAGAGCAGTATGTGCAGTAGGAGCCGTCCAGAGCATCAAAAAAGGTATTGAAGATACCCGTAGCATTGCCTCCTCCTGCAGCATAGAAGGCATCATCGGTCTGGTAGTCGATGGTGGTCTGCGGGTAGATGATGGGAATAGCCAGCTCAAAGTCCAAGTTGCTCTCGCCACCAGCCTTGGAGACAGCAACAGGGGCAGTACCACCATCAATTCCGTCCAGGGCCGGTCCCCATCCAGCTGGAATGTAAGATGCGTACTTGGTGTAGAAAGAGTTCAAATCAGCTTGAGCGTAGTAATCTCCCTCCTCGAAGATACCCATGGAATTGTTGGATGACACCGGGGAGGTGGAATTCAGTGCATCGAATTCATACAGCGCTCGGAGACAGGCTGGCGATATAGCTGTGGCGCATGTAGCTGCAGCATCCGTGTCCATCAGAGAAACGGTCGACTCATCAAGCGCTGCGAAAGGGCGAAGACGGTTCCTCGACCTCCTGATTGCGTGCTCGAAGTCACGAGCAATGATATCCTCGGATCTTCGCAGACGACTTGTGATGTCGACACCCTTCACACCAGGCGTGACATAATCGATATGCTTGGTCAGGTGCTTGGGTATGGCATAGCTCTCAGTGTCGGTAACCAGACGTCCCTTCTTGTTCTCGTGGATCATGTACTCGGCATGCAGCAGGTTCTCTGCCTCCTCAAGAGAGGCCTCGAAAGCAAGCCACAGCTTATTGTCAGTATGCTTGATCCTCCTGAATTATGATGTTAGCTATGCAAGGGGTAAAGTAACATAATGCCGAACATACCCTTCAGAGATGCCATTCTCCACAAGCCATTGCTTCACGGCCTCGACAGTCGAGTCCGATGGCTTGAATGCCTCAATCACATCCTCCGACGTCCAGTGCTTGCCATACTTCTCCGACTTTGGGTGCGATACATCCATGAGCCATTGTGGCGCCTGGTCGAGGTTGCTCTGTTTCAAGCCGATACGCATCGGCAATTGAAGCTTTCCGTCTGGTCGGCTTCGTTTCCGGAGTCCAATCTCCATCTCGCTGGTTCGCTGCTCATGCACGACGTGCGTGTCAGGAATCGCCAAGGCAGCCGCAAGGCCGCCCAGCCAGGAGGCTGCTATAGTCCAGCTGGTTACTCTCATTGCGAATCGAGTCTTGGGAAGCCTATACACTAAGCAGAACAGAGTCGCCAAGGTCTTGGAAAGCCATGGCAATGGGAACGGCCAAGAAACGCCTACTTATGGTGTTTAATCATTGCGAGTACATTTGGCAGACCTTCCTAGATCGGTAATCCTGAAATGGTACCATGCTGCGGCGCCAAAAGCAATGCCACCTTGACCTGGTAGACACACGAATGACTATAAATGGGTGGTGGGACTGTGTAAAAGACGGCAATCTCGTCTGCTTTCGAGGTGGATGACTGCTACACAGTATTGCTTAGATGAACTGCCCGATGGGGCTTTGGCTTTGCCGTGACGATCTGTTCACAGCCATGTTCCTGTTAAGGAATGCGACATTTCTTAGCGCAACCAACCAGGGTTCTGCAGATGGGTCGTCATGATCGTTTGGGGAAGGTGAACACCCCGTCGGCTTTTCGTAGTTTGCAGGGGTCATTCCCACACTATGCATCGTCTGGTGCAGAAATAGATTCAACCTTTATCATGACGACCACATTGGGGCCCAACATCAGGCGAATTGATTACTCGAGATTCCGTTTGTCGTGGGATATCGCAAAATCAGCCCCATTTTGGCTTTAATTTATGGCTGGTACCAACAAAGCAGCGAAGTATGTGTAGAAAAGCTTTCGCTCCGAATGTGCTCGTCGCTGTAATGAATCCAATGCGCACCAAGAGTAAAGCTTACAATCGGTATCAGCTCAAGTAGAGAGTTCAGGAACATATGCGGTGCCAATCAAACAAACTGGCACAGATGCGGCCTGTCCACCGTCCGGGCGCGCCAAACAATGATGCGTACATAGGTGGCAACTTGGTAGTCTCGATTGCTTGTGGACAAGCCCAGCAAATGGAGAGAAGAATGAGCCAGTGTGCCAGTTTTCCCTGGACGCGTTGGCCAGGAACATAATGGCTGCCTATAGTGTATCCGGACACCAAGAACCAGTACCCAGCGCTGTTGAGTAAGTGAAAAATGCTAAATATCAGTTAATAATCGCGAGAAACTAGCAGCGTGTCGGCTACTCTCGTATACTCACATATTAATCCAAAATACCACCAAGCATATCGTCTGTTTGGGCGATGTGTATGTGATGTGGTAAACAGGTGAAATCCACAATAGCGTCATGATCACCTCGATTCGCAGTGAATGGTGGTAATTCCAGTCCCGAGTGGTACGCCATGCAAGAAACAGGTAACGAACGAAAGCAAGTATGAAGCTCGCCTGCATTACATCAGTCCATTGCCCGAATGGTGAATATCTGCTCTCGATTCGTGACATCGAATCAATACTTACCGTGATCGGCCCGACCACTGAGCGCACCGTTCTGTAATAACTCCAGCCCAATGCGATGCCACTTACGATCAGCATTGCCTGGCAAAGTCCCAGAAGGAAGAAGACCCACAAGCTAACAATATATTTCTGAAAGCAGTGCGGATGGAAGTCGCGGATTCTTGCATCTCGTCTGATTTGGTCGCCGCACCACTTGCACTTGGTTTGCGAATTAGTCAATGCGTCCCAGTACACCCGAGTAAACAAAAAGAATGCAGGGGGCAAAATTGTATTCTTCAAGCTCCGGACTTATTTGTGCTTCCAAATGCGCATCGTGAGCCAAAAATGCATTGCCCAACAGGCCTGATAGCTGTAGAAAATCTGCTTACAGAGAGTCTTCCAGGATAACAAAACCAGCAGCACGAAGAGAATAAATTACCCTGATCGTATGACCAAGTAAGGTCTTCACGATATAGGAAAGGGGAATGATAATGACAGACCCGACAGTAGTGCTCCAATTCTTTGCGCAAGCCTAAGGGGCCGCCAAATCGACGAGAAATGATCCTAGGGGTATAGAGATCAGAGAAATATTTGCAAGTCTGGCGAAGTGAACGAATATCCATAAAATCCATGTGGTTGATTAGTAATAGTTGGATCTCTTGAGGAAACTGGAAAATATATGACGGACTGCCTCCTGCAAATGTATTCGTTGCGGTTACTTTGGGCGTCGCTCCAGACTCGGGTAAGAGCAATAACCCAACCTTTCGATACCTTGGGAAAAGCTTGAATTGAATCGGCCCTGTCCCTGAGCGCTGATGAGAAGCCAGCTCAATGTCCTCACGCTGCTCGTGCGGCAACAGGTGCCGTTTCTGGAGCCTATGGTAGACATGCCATAACGATTCTCTGAGCATCCAGAGAAGCTCGGATACGAAGTGGCGCGCACGGGTAGGCATACTGATCAATAAAAACCATGCGTTGTCGAGCTCCGACCGGCGAGTTGAAGTATCATGTTGGGAGGAAATGTGTTGATTGATCTGAGTGCCTGATTTGTGACAGGCGACACATCACAGCTGAGGCCGCGCTACCTGGACTCAAACGAAGGATTCTTCGGCGCGCTTCAGCTTACCCCCAGCTTTTGCGGACGTTTGGGATTTGCACCAAAAATGTCAGCAAGGCTGAGGTTTTGCTGCCTGGGTCTGCCTTTGTTGCCCCTGCAACTTTGGGATGCGTATACGTATTCTTTCTTCCAATGCTGGTTCAGCTTTCGACCAATTGTCTGCGCTGGCAATCGCTATATCTTCAGCTCCGGATACTCTTATGGGTGATTGCAACGTCTAGCAAGACAAAAAGGACATGATAAGACTTGGATTCAAGCAGTAATACAACAACCATTTGACATGAACTGACAGCTCCTGTTGAATTATGACAGGATTGACATCATTTGGTCGCAAATGCAACCGACGTAACGCCAAGAATAAGCAGCACCTTACCTGTTCCTTGGGACTTCCTGCCTCTTGTTTTCTTTCTTTCTTTCTTCAGGCCTTGCATTCACTTGCTTCGGGCACCGTACATAGGCAGCCCAGAAGGCAGGTAGACACCTTATAACATTAGCAATGGAGTTGGGCAGAGTAGCATATACGTGGCAGGAAGTATCACTTCATCCCGCTTTTTATGCCGTTTGGACTAGGCGACTTACCTGGTTCGAAGCAATGTATTTGTGGCTCAAGTTGTGCGTGCAAACATGATAATGATGTGATGGAGTTGTGAGTCCTGACCCACGGACCCCGGGCGGTGCTCTCCAACCTCCCCGCCATCTGATCGTTGGTGCCCGCCGCTAAAGTGGGCGGCGATGGCGCGGACCCCACCAAGACCCCACAAGCTTACAGTCGACAGCGAGCTTGCCAAGCTGGCCCTGGCCCCTTGGCAGATGATGCAGGCTTCAATTGGCCAAGCACCAGGAGCTTGGGCCTCGATTTAGCGTGTCTGACGCGAGCTTGTTCAGCGTGCAAAACGTGCCATCATCACTAATAGACTCAGAACCCAATTCCAAGTGACATGTAAACATGTGCTTTTTAAGCTTGTACGACAGTTCAAACCCGAAATCTTAAGTTCAATTTCGAAACGAGAATAATGACCACTTCTTCTCATATGATATATCTCATGACTTCCATGGGCGTTTTCCTTCAAGACTTTGCTGCGTTCCTGTTCTACTCTCTCACAATGTTTCATCTGTATGTCCTATACAACGCTGAACTGAGGGGGCTGGGGAGTTGCTATACTGCCCACCTTACCCAACCTCGGATTTACAGCGCCAACTCGCACCCTGGGATGCGTCCACCCAGCCTCTTGCCCTGATGCCTTCCAACCATATTTCATTTCTGCAGTCGCCCATGATGCATTTCCACATTTCCTTGCATCAGTGATCTGCCAGACGCTGCGCTTGACCTCGTACTAGTAGTAGCAATTGGTTCCAATTCCCCGAGAGTGGAGTTGGGACCTGCAGCAAGACCTCCACGCAAGCATGAATTTCCAAGGCCTCGGCCACGACTATGTCAGAAAGAACCGTATGTCATGTCGCCTAATCTCCACCTTGTTTTTGTTGTTGTCAATTCTTATCTTTCAGCTTGCTTGTGCATGCGCCGGAGAAAGAGAAGAAGAAGAAGAAGGAAACCGGGCAGTGAAGAAACAAGCGCAACTCTCACTAACAGGAAAACAAAACCACCACAGGCTCCGATTACACCTATAGAACATACTCTTCGAATGCGACTGCTCCCACTTCGGCTTCGCAGATCACCGTCATCCACGCTCCATTAAAACAGAGATCGGAGGAGTCGGCACCGCCAAGTCCTCCCACCGTTGTACCATATCTTCCTTCTCCTCCCTCGACTCCCGAGCCGGACAGCCCAGTACCAACAAGGCGACCACAACGAACACGGCCTCGGGCACGGGCTCGGCCTCAGCCTCAGCAACGGCGACGGGCTCCTACATATCATGTTGCCCGAGAGCCTGTAGTAGACCCTCGACCGATTGTTCGCTTCCATCCCAACCAAGTCACCATGACCGCTTCACCACCGCCGACGACCGACTGGGTAGTCTCGGATTTCCGAGACGAGCTTGTCAGAAATGTCGAGACATCCGTTACACCAGGCGTAGACAGCACGCCGTACATCATTCATGCCTTGGAAACCATGACGCAACCAAGAGACGATGGCCGCATTATGTCTGCAGCTCGTTCCTCCTCCACCAGCCAGGCCACAAACCCAATACTGAGATATCTTCCCTCGTCGATACCGGGTCTCTTCCAGCCAAAGGCCGCTTACATCCCGGTGTCTACTGCTGATCCAGACCCAAATGCCCCGCGCAACATTTTGACCCCCGAGGAAGAATTGGCGGCATTGCGTCGTCACCGGAAACGGACCAATTCCGAGGATCCGCAAGCCAACCAACCAATGCTTCCGCTTGGACGACGACCAAGCTGGCTGCGGCCGCTTTCAAGTGGCACTATCAGAGTGCCGTATTCAGTATCCAGCAATGAGGACGATGGCCATCCTTGGGGCCCTGAAGATGTGATCAAGTTTGTGGATCGAATGGACGAATTAGAGCAAACACCCCCGCCGAGACGGTCCCCGCGGGATATCGACAACTGGCAGTCTCAGAGTGATGTCTTCACGGATGATCCCGAAATGGCATCAATGTTTCCTCGTCTTGATTACAAGCCCTGGACCTTGCGCCTGCCTTGTCTGTTCATATTAGCTGGACTATGCGTTTTGATGGTTGCAGCACTCATATTTTGTGCCATCTTTTCTGATCGCCAGCAAGGTCTCATGGCCTACAGTGGCACAATCTATGACGGCGGCTACTTTCTTTTCCGGATATTCCCTCAGTTTCTGGCCGCGCTGATACTTCTTTACGCCCAAATCGTTATCACGGCTGCGTTCAGGGTCTTGCCTTTCTCAGCATTGGCAGCTGAAGATGTACGATCACGACGAAATGTGGGTTTCTTGCCCCTATATCCCAAGACGTTCTTGTGGCCGCAGTATGTCAGCACCTGGCGAGTTCGAATACCCATCATCATGACTTGGCTTTTGAACTTTACAATACCCTTGCAAAGTTGCTTGTTCACAGTTGTATATATCGAAGAGCAGTGGATTTGGTGCACCGTACAAGGTGTGGCCTGGGTTCTTGTCGCCCTGTACGTCTTCATGTTGTTAGCGACATTGCTTTTGGCAGGCTTTTGGCATCATCGAAGAACTGGTCTGGGGCCGAAGTGGGATATGCGAACACTTGCCGACATCATCGCCCTCCTCGCACCAAGCAATTCTGCACAGCAGTTTTCGGGAACGGAAAATGCAGTGAGACGGAACGACATGAGACACATGCTCTTCAGCAATATTGAGCGCCTTGGCTATTGGCGTTCTCCAGAGGCACCGGAGCTAAACCTCTGGTATGGCATTGGTTCTCCGGCTCACGACGAGAAGGTCAATTTCGAATCACTGGGCGACTATGTGCATGAAAAGGGCCCCCGCGGAGCGCCACCAAACGTGATGCCGTCTGCAGGAGGTATACGCAACCGCTATCTGCCGTGGTGCTTTCGAGACACGCAGGTCAGCTTTTGGGCTGTTGCAACCGGTATTCTTCTCATCACCTTGTTCGTTATTTGTTTCAACCCCAAAACGGATATTCGAAGCGGCTTCGTGCCCCTCATCAGCGCTGCACCCATACCAGGCGCGTTCTCGGCTGCCAATTTCCTGTACTCTTTCGTACCAGCGTTGCTAGGAATGATCATCTTCCTCGTCTTTCAGTCTCTTGATCTGACGCTGCGCATCCTCACACCTTGGGGGGAGCTTTCACGCGTAGAAGGTTCCTTGGCCAGGAACTCAATTTTGCTCGACTACGCCGCTTGCCTCCCATTGGAGTCGACGTGGAAGGCCCTCAAGCACGGCCACTGGAAAGTGGCGTTCATCTCACTGTTTGCAACATTTTCGTTTCTGATACCTGTTTTGGCTGGAGGCATGTTCATGGCGCTGACAGCACCTGATCATATCGTACGAATGTACCCTAATGTCCCAGTGCTAGCAATCATCCTCACTTTGCTCACCCTCATGTTGTTGGCTCTTGTTGCTCTCATCTTTAACAGAGACCAATTTCGCTTGCCGCACGCTGTCACGTGCTTGAATGAAATCATCAGCTTCTGCTACGCCGAGGATCTACGGGCCGACCCGGCTTTTCAGTGGGCTCAGAGTCACCGACTGCTCAAGATGAAGCTTGGAGCGTACATGGACAATGCAGAGCAAAGCAGATGGTTCTTCAGTGCTGGCTACGGCAAGAAGGGCGCGCTCGGTATTCGACGTTATGGGAGATACACTGGCGATACCCCCTATGTCCAAGCTGCCAAGCGCCGAGCCCGAGAAAAGCGCGAAATGGCCGGTCGAATTTTGAGGCGAGCGGCGGAAAAGGATTTGGCGATCGATCGGCAGCGCCAGTACGAAATATCCAGACCAGTGCCCAAGGGCAATTCGACCATGATTTCGCCATGACTGTCATGATCGAATGGACTACCTACCTATTATTACCCTCAGGGGCTTTTGTATTTTGTATTCTCGATAATTTGTTTCATACCCTCCGCCTAGTGGCAAATGGTTTTAGAGTATATGGACACGACATCTTCACGGAAAACGAACGAATCTAATGGGGCAACGGATCACGAATGCATGGGCTGGGGCGTTTTTCTTCTTCTTCGAATGTTTATCAATGTATATGAAGGTATGGAAAAGCTCCCTGATGTGAGAGAAGAGCGTACGATAGATGTGCGAGTAATGAAGGATATCGAGTGACCTATTGTTTCAAAAACGTACGATTTGGCCAAGTTGAAATCTCCGCATTCCCATCTACCATGTGATAGATGTTTTGTTTCTCCCTAGACAGAAGATTGAATGAAGACCACTGGGGGCAATGAAAACATGGCGAAAGAATGCGAGAACTTTTTATGCATTACACAAAGCGCATAAGGTTCCTTGCTTTCTTGGGAACCAAGCCAAGTGATTTCCACAAACTTCTACGTCTTGGATTTTGGTTGGTGGTGGCGGGCCTTAAAAAAAGAATCAGATATTCATACTCCTCTCAACAAAGTAATGAGTGAGACCGATACGAGGCCAAACCAGCTGAAAATGGAAAAGAACAAGGTAAGGTGTTTGTCGGAAAAAAGTATGGGACGTCCAGAGTGTGAAAGGGCGGGGGGACTTGCGCAAGAAAAGGGTCCGCGGCTAGGTAAGCCCTTTTTTGTTCCTTTTCCTCTTGGCTGCCCTTTGACTGTCTCTCTCCTCCAGCCCGTATAACGATCAACGGCTTTGGTTCCCCTGTTCAGGAACGAAATGTCTCAAGAAAACCAACGGTGTCCTATCGGAAGCTTGGGACTTTTTTATCCCCGCGGACTACCATTTTCTGTCTCCAGAGGAATCAGGGATATTGGAATATGCTTTTTTCCCCATCTCCTCTTTCCCTTGTACCTAGCTAGTGAAGGGAGGAGGGAAGAGGAGGAGGACAGGAGGAGGAGGGAGAGAAAACTAGTCTTTCCCATTTTCCTTCTCTTGCACCATGGCCTGAATACAAGTCCAGATCAAGGTCTCCCCTCCTTGCTCCTCCAATCCATTCTGCAATCATGTCCCCCGTCTCCCTGACAGAGTATTGGCCATAATCAAAAGACCTCCCGGACACGCGACTATTTTTCACAAGTTATGCATGTCTTGCTTCCCCAAACGGCCGGTGCGCGCGTTTATGCAAGGAGGAGGAGGAGGGTGTGAATGAGTTACCCCTGAGCTTATGCACGTTTGACGTATGCGGGCTTGGGACCTTTTTATTTTTCTTATTCCTATGATTTCCTGTCTTTCCCTTTCTACTTTTTTTTGTTTTCTTCTCCTTGGGCCAAGTCCTGTCCCTTGCACTAGATGAAAAGCCTGGGTACATGTAAGCCACCAGGACAGCCACTGACATATAGCCACAAATAGTTTTCCACCCTAGGGGATATTGTCGCTGGAACACGCGAAAATTAGGATCTCTTCATGTTCATTACTATAGGTTCATTCCATACGAGTTTATTGCATGTAATCTTCCTCTGATCGCCATCTATCATGGCTTGAGTGGGTGATTCCAGTGATCCGTAAAAGTGCAATGCACAGAGTATGAATATCACACATACAACTTGGAAATAGCAATTGATTTCCCACGGAATGCATGCTTACGTAAGATCTATACATGGCCATGCATTGGTGAAAAAGGAAAATAAGAAAACACACTTCATCATCATCTCATCTTTCATACTTTGCCCCGCTTTATGCGTGTCTCGAAGTATGAGAAAAGCCTCCATTTTGTGCGTATGCAAGAGCTTTCTTTCCTTCTTTTCTTTTCTTATTCTTTCTCTGCGCTTCCTTTACAATTCTTTTTGTTAAATGTATGTATACAATGTGAATAAAAAAGGCTGAAGGGAACAGGGGATCACCGGCCATAGCCAAACCCTAAACAAGATTCCCTCTCATCTTTAGAGTTGTAGGGTCAAAACTCTGTGGAGTATAAACGCACCTTGAAAGACTTCTTCATTTCATCTGAGCAAAAAGTCCAGAGCCGAAAGCGGAAAGAAGCTTTTGTACTGCGTCAGAGGCTTTGCATGGCAGCATAATCGTTGAAAAGGTCCAAGGGAAATCTTCCGTAGTATTCTCTCTGTGATGCAGCCGAGCCCGATGGCGATCTGCTAAGTTGTACAGAACATGAGAACTGTGTTTTTCTAATATGGTAATCTGACAGTTGCAGGGAAACGGGCTCCTAAACAAAAGCTGGTTGCGAGGTTTGGTTGTTTGATTGCGAGTATCAATATATTCATGAGTAAACATGCATTGGATGTATCCCTCAAGGCTTCAGTCTCAATGAGCCTCCAGCCTAGTAGCTGTGCCCGGGAATATATTTATAAACAAAAACCAGCGCCAGCAACGGCTGTAGCACTCCCGACAACTCCAGGCTCAATAGCCTCCCATTTAAATGCTCGGCGCCCATGGCCACTTATGCCCAGTACTCCGTTTCGTTTCTGACATGGCAGTCAATATGTTTCGTGCAACTCGCCCTCGAACCCATTCATGTCGCGGCCGTCATGGGGATCTAGCAGTCCCAATGAGAGAACAAAAGAAAATAAGAAGAGGAGGGAGAAAAGAAAGATGGCAGAAGGTAGGCACAAGAACCTCACATTGTAAAATAGTATGATACATGTGGACATACATGCGCCAACATGGAGAAAGTCAATAGAGAACATATCGAAACAGAAGGACAAATGCAAATTAAGAGAAAAATAAAATAAAAGTCGTTTGCAGTAAATGAACGCGCAGACACGGGAGTAACCACAAGCAGAAAACAATAGTTATTTATTGCTCTTGAGTCCCAACATTCGCCCCAAGGAGCCGCCCCTTTTACGTCCGAGGCTGCCTCCTGATGCGAGCATGGCGGCGGCTGTCTTTTTCTCGGGACTCAGACTGCTCTTTTCGCTCGCGCTCTTCTTGTGGCCCTTGGTATGATTGTCAGCCTTTTTGGACCCGATGTCCTTGAGGCTCTTCTTTTGTTGCAGACCTCTCGCGATTCGCTTAGCTAATGTTTCGTTCTCACTGGTTGACTCGGCGTCTGAGTCGAAATCGAAGACAGAGACAAAGCGCTCGATCTGAGGTGGTGCCGATCTCAACTGATCTGGGATGGGCGGGACCGGTACTGGGAAAGGCGAGGTTGTTGCGTGGTACTCTGACTTCTCTCTGATGTTGTATGAAGATACTGATGGACGTAATCGAGCTGGAGAATCAGCTGCCGCGACGTCTGCCTGCGAAGATATGATCGTATTGGGGGTCGTTGATGGGGTCAGCACCAAACTCGGTGGCGCCACTCGATGTTTGAGATGGGAAATGGATTTGCTTCCTTTCAAAAGCCGACTAGGTGGCTCAGGGGTCATAGATGAGATACGAGGCGGGAGTTGTGTGATCCGAGTCGGCAGTGGTGTTGATTTGGGATAGACAGAATACGACGTTGTGTTCCTGGCAGGCTTCAAATTAGGCCTTGGGAGCGGTGGCTTCGACAGCGGCCACTGCGAGGTATTCGTATCAGGCTGCTCCTGGCTGGCTTGAGTGATGGTGACCGAATCGTCATCTGGTCCTTCGACAATTGTTGTTTTGTAGTAATCGAGAGAAAACCGATCTGGAGTCTGCGACTGGGATATGCTCGAATTTTGGTGTTTGTGTCGATGGTGAGATTTGTTGGTTCCAGCCGGCCAAAAGCTATCCCACAACTCGCTCGCTGAGGTATTGTAGTGGTAATCATCCTCAGCAGAAGCTTCAGAGTCGGAGCTATCTGTCATGCCAGGGAGGGAGCCGCTGGAAGTGACTGATGACCGGCTGTCTGATTGTTCATGTCGAATAGCATGCCCATCAGGCCGAGGATAAGAGAAATTCTTTCCTAGCTGAATCCGACTGACAGGCCTGTCCCTAAGAGTCCGGGCTCCATCAACATTGTTATATTGCATGACGTCTAAGTCCGCCAGCCTGTGGTCCGCCATGCTCATGGTATCTCAATGAGACCTCTAAAAAGGGTTGAATAAGTCCAAGATCAGGATAACATCGATGATCAGGTCCGATCAGATCTCGATGTAAGGCCGGATGGCGGGGCAGTGGATGTTTATAGAGGACTATCCACCGAGGATGGTGGTCAACCAAGACAGTATAGTATAATAGTTGAGTGGTAGATCCTTTGGAGGGTGGGGGATTCGGAAGCTAAGGGGTATCAAGGGAATATAAGTCCTTAGAGCCTAGGCTAGAGATGGGAAAGACATGGGGAGAGGATGAGGATGAGGAGGCTCTCAGATTTTTAGGATCAACAAAACAGGAGGGATTGTGAGGCAGAGGACAAGAGTAATGATAGACAGGGAATTCCCTTGGCAAGTCTAGGTGGAGCTTGTTTTGGGCGGACGCTGGGCGGAACGGGCTTGAAGCAAAAAAGAATGTTTGTGCAAAGATGCATAACAGCAAGGGAGATTCCAATGCTGCGCCTTGCGACTTTGTTGTCTCGACCGTCCCTCTGATCCCTTGGCAGCGGGAATACATACGCCACGAGGCTCGGAATGCAGCAAGGCAGATACTCGCGGGAAAAGAACAAACGCTGGAGTCTCCAGATGCTGTCGAATATGATGGTGTCCGGCCCTGCTTACCCGGCGGCGTGTTTCGAAAAGCAAGTAAAATACTGCAGCAAGACCAGATCAGCGTAGCCATTGCCTTGATTGCATACCTATGCAGCACACCACAATCGCTCCGAGTATACTTTTTTTATGTACGAACAAACAGAGAAAGAATGTGTGCGTATGCTTCTTTTTTGCCTTTGGGAAGCAGGAACAGGCAAGCCAACGGTCTGAATCGGGCTGGACGACAAACAGTGGTGAGAGCACCTGGTGTACAAACCTTAACCGCGAACCGGGAAGAATGTATCAGGGCATCGTTCGGTGCCCTCTCATGCCAGCCACCACACCACGCCGGCCCTCATTGGACTTTTGTTGGACTAGCGGTGATATGTCCTCGATTGAGGCCCACCCTCTTCAAGGTGATAGATCGCGAAAGCCAGAGGGAGAGGTGCAAATACTAACACATTGGCAAAGGGGAAGAAGCCGAAACACGCTTATGCCCACAGGCTGCTAGCTCGAAGCACCTACTGATATGATACCTTAGGGGGAAGCAAGATGTTGTCGGCTGACTCACCGAGAGTAGTTGATGCATGACTCCAAAGCTGTACTCGTGCTGCCTTGGGAAGCAGGAACAGCGTGTGTTCCTGTATAGTGTTGCAGGCCGGTCGTACTTTGTTTGTTGAGCCGCGGGAGGTAGAAACGACTGGCGGAGGGTCTGGAAGCCAACGACGACGGGTGCCAGGGTGCTTTGGGAGCCCGAACGAACCGATGCACCGAGACACTCTGCGTCACCACTAGCACAGGACAACCATGGACACTGCGACACGCCCTCCCAAAGCCTCCCCAGATGGTCGTGGTGCGAGAAGCTGGCGAGCTGGGAGAACTTTGTCCTGGCAGCCGATAAACATGTACGTATCTGTCTGTACCTAGCAAAGCCGTCTGGGTTTTGGTTTAGGCGTCTCCAGTCCGGCGGCTCTGAGGCGGCTGATTGCCCATAGCTGCCGACAGGATGGCATGGTCGTTGGTACGATGCCGATCATTCCTAAGCGAGGCCTGATCAGAGTGATTATTTCCGAATATGGATTTTTCTCAGGTCGCCTCGACTATTGAAAATCCAAACGGCGTATTGTTATTGTTTTTTTTTTTTCGACATTGGCCAAACGTTTGATGATCCCTTAGGGGAATTCTTGTTGAAATTGCGAGAATATGATGTGTTCCCTGTCATATTTGACCTACCTAGGAGTCCCTGCTTCCTTATTAGGTAGCCTACCTAGGTGCCCTACAACTACCTTAAGCGACAGGGCGCTACAGGTATGTACTCTGGAGGCTGCCCTTGGTTGCAATGGAAGCAAGTCACCCTTTTACGGTATCTAACCCACAGCGGGAGGGTGCATTAAGACGCGGCAATTGCATAGGTAGCCCAATCTTCCTAGATGGATGAATCTTAATGCAGCGCAATGGGTCCGTATCAAGCAGCATTACCGGGCACGGGCAAGCCGGGGTCCATGTTGGTAAGGGTAGGTAGCCTAGGAGAGAAGACGGCTGAGGCATGACAGCATTTTGGTTTGGATTTCTTTTTTTTAAGTTTACTAAATCCCCTGACCGCGAGGACTAGTCCAATATTTCAAAAAGAAGGCTCAGTAGAAAGAAAGAAGGAAACACCTTTGCGGCTCCGAACTCGAAACTCTTCCTACCCTTCCTGTCATACTGTGTATCGCCTTGCCAGACGCATTGCCTTGGAAAGTGATGCATAGACGGATACACAGATGGAAGTATGGGGCGCCACCAAAACACAACCTGGACTTCCGGCGGCTTGGAGGCGGCGGCGCCCAACACAAATGACGACCCAATCGGAAACTCATCCTGTCCATGTTCTAGTCCCTGAAGTAGGCTGCTCAAACAGAGTAACCTAGGTATGTATGTAATGATGCTCCAAACCCTTGACGGTTGGTTGTAGTGCTAATAAGGCAAGGTATAGCTTTGCCGCAAGAGGCTTCATGGAAGACCCCCGGTCGCAATTAGCGGGTCTCCCGGCTCATGCAAGCACTATAATCCCGACAGTCGATAATCGCGATGACTGACCAGGGAGCTCTCGATCATATACGGGACAAACGCATGCCGTTGAAGAAATTTCACAGAAGAAATCCAGGCAATGGCCGAAATCCTATTTGCGCGGCATTGAGCTCGGCATCGAAGCAAACGAGTCGTTCCTCCACCCTGATGTGACCCCCGGACAAGACCACTGTTCCCTGGCAACCGGAACCATCTTCCACCTCCAAGTGTTGTGATAGCTCATCTCACAAACGCTTGCACTCCAAGGGCGAAGAACTTCCGACCTGAAAATGTCAGCCGTGGCTGCAGGTTTGAACGCAACAAACGCCGTGCCTCCGGCATTGCACTGCATTAGCAATGTTCCAAAACTTGAATAACAGATTTAAAGTTCCTGGCGTGTAGCCAAGACAACCACCCACTACGCATCCTGTCCCTTATGGAGACAACCCGAAGGCCTCCTGTGCATATTGGTCATGATTGTGAAATATGAACACAATCAGCTTATGTGGATCACGGGTACCTTCCAGATATGGTATGGGTCTCTGAGGAAAAAGTTAGTCAACTTTGATAGCTAACTAAGATATGGCAACCCGCAACACATAACTGTTAACTGACTTTTAGCGGTACACGAGAGTTGACATATACCTGAGTCGACGTCTATTGCCTATTGCGAGAGAATCAGACACGCCTGGAGCGTGCTGCAGAAAGGACCCTGAGTCGTCCTCACTCCACCATATAGTCCATAACCTTCCTGGAGGCTATACGCCAACAGCCACCCCATGCCTGTTCACCCGTCTCTATCGCCATAAAGATGTTGGTGCAGGTTCGGGCTTGCATCTGCGTTGCATTTGTGGCTTTTTCTGACGAGAATCTGGCGCAGGAAATTCTCTACCCCGAACAATCAAGGCCTTGCCGAATGGTAAATGGTGGCCGAATGCATGTTTTTTCGAATGTAAGAAGCGAGCATCGAGACCCAGCCTCATCGAACGTCTATCATTGGGGAAGACTTTCGGAATTAGTCAATCGTAGAGATAGCCAAAGCATGATTCTTAGTCACTGCGATGAGTTGACAAAGCGCAATTGTCCCTGTCCATAACTTCTCAGGCATCGACACACACAGTCTGACCATCGTGACCCCACCGACACCTCCAACACTGGCCTGGTCTAGATGGTGTCTCACTTGGGGCTTTGCCATTCGTTCTCAACTTGCCTGTGGCGGTATCTGAGCGCCCGATTGGGAACTTTGTCAGAAGTCGTCTGCTAGATCTCAGGCAGTACCTACCGCCTGACTCGCGAAAACCTGCTCTTCAGAGGACAATATGTTGGGAATGACCTCTAACAATGGTCGTTTGATTCTGACACTCCACACAAGTTCTTACAATGACGGACCAAAGGCCCATGCTAAAGGCAGGCCCAAATCCAGAGAAGCAGTGATTGAGTTGGTGGCGTCTCCGCATTACTGTATCATCAGACCCTTTGGACAAATACCGAGGCTGAGATGAATTGTCCTGCTTACCAAGCCACCTTCTGCCTGGTAAGATGAATCACGAAACCATCTTGTCACGAGTGGCATTCAGCAGACGATGTTGAAAAAGGTGTACGTCATCATGCTTCTTTTTATCTGTGAAGCACTGCCGCTGTCCGTGCAATATGATGTTTGGTCATGGCTGCTTTGAAGACGAATGCTTTTCGCCTGTTGGGCTCTCAGAGCCTCGGGAGCAGGTGTTTTCAATGTTCGATTCAAGCACCACAGGTTCTCGAGTCTAGGTTCTTATTGGAACATTGTGGAGATGGGTCGCGAATTAATTTGGTTGTATTGAGGTCCAGGTAGAGCTTTTGAACGTCTTTAGCCAATGACAATGCCATTAGAACAACAAATCCACGAATACAGTTGATATTGGTGGATTCGAATCCAGGGAGCCCGTCTAGGGCTTTGCGACTATAGTATATCGGCGGACTTGAGGAGCTGCATCGTGCCATGGCAGACCCAGGATATTCAGTCTTCCAACTTTGGCAGATCTATCAAGCGTGTCAAGCCTGTATGGTTCATGCATCCTCACGATATTCATGCTCCAGCTATCAAACCTGACGTACCCGGAATACGTGCATGTATTGCTCTGTCCAGCCCAAAACGCCCTCGGTCGCACCTTGTATGCAAAAAGTCACATGTCTCTCCTTAGTCAGTCCAGGCCGACAAGATGATTACCTACTCTAGTAGTGGCAACATACTTTGACCTTTTTGGACGGACACTAAAAGTTGCACAGGAGTTGACAGCAGATGACGTTATACTAGTAGTTCGCCGAAAGCTCTAAAGACCATTTACAAGCTGTCAGAGAATTGGCGGAGCCTTTGATTGGTCAATGGCTTTCCAAGACGGGGCGATGATATCAGATCTCCCAGAAGAATGCAGTGCAACGCAACAGACTAGAAGCTCCCGTACCCCCCCACTTCAGAGCCATGTGCCCTATACCGACCAAGTTGGAGACTGAAGAAATGGCGCGCTAATACGCCTTTCTGTGCCTGGGACTGCGCCATTTCTTGTGTCCACAACTTGCCGACTGTCGTGAAGGGTTGCGGGTCATCCCTTTCACACTTCCAGAAGTGTGGAGCAAATGTCCAAACATTATTCACACCGCCTGAAGCTCAATGGTTGGTAGCATCACTGGTTGCAGCATTAATGGCATATTGCTCGCCTTTTGGTGTTTACTTTTCAAAATTCTTTCTTTTGCTCTTTTTCTTTTTCCTTTCCCGGGCTGTCAAATGTAGGAATCGAGAAATGCAATGCAGAAGCGGGTTGGCCGCTGTGGTGCTACAATACAACCGATTTTGTCCTCCTCCACACATGGGGTATGCTAGTCGTCCATGAAAGCCAGCGTTCCCAGGGGTCTCCTGTCCAGGACAAAGTTGACGGTACTACTCCCTGGCTGCACACTCATCTCCGGCCTACATACAGCTGCAGTGATGTCTTTGCCGGCGGTGAGCTCCTGTGTCAGTATGCAATAGTGAACTAGGGTCGGCGAGCAAGATAGCAAAGATATCTCAACAACAAAAACACTGCTTGTAAGGAGATGACACCTCACAGTTCATAGTTGATAGTACTACAACATATAGCCCCCTGCTGCTTGCGGAGCTGTTCTACAAAGATCGAAGGCTACTAGAAGACCCAAGCGTTTGGAGACGCAGGGGGGCTCCTTTCGTCAGCTCAGGCCCCATTGCCAGGATCCCGATCTGCCCGGCACGTCGGTTTCGTTGGCGGCAGCGGATTCCGTTTGTGTAAGGCATGTTTGAGATTGCTCAAGACGAGAGAGTAAAGAAAGCGATCATTGTGTGTTTTTATGAATCATGAACGGATGCGCTTGAGCTAGATCCCAATGATTTCAATCTGTCTGAGTTGAGTTGACTTGACAAAGCACAACTCAGCCTGTATGCATAATATGAGCTAGACGTCTGACAGCACACCATTGACGAGAGAGACAGCAGGGCTCCATCATGTTGGGATGAACTCATGGATTAGGTCGGTCTATCCCGTCTGTACCTTGTAAGTAGTCAATGATCGTGACACCCTGAGCCCGGGTGTCGCTTTTGGGACTCAGGATTACCAATTCGGTATCTGGAAAGGAGACATCTCCTGCCTATTCTACATAAGACTGAACGTAATGGATCTGGATACAGGCCATACTATCATGGTTGTCTTCTCCCAAGGATAGCAAGAACTTGAACCGAACAGAGCAGCTTATTACGCAATTTTCCAGGTTGGAAGCCATTGGTCTGTACCGTACCCGAATAGCTGCCGAAACTTTCATGTGGTACATTATCTAGGTCCTTGTTCCTCTGCTCCAGGTCATCAATCAATAGTCGAGGGCCGTGCGGCGGATTTCAGGTGCAGCGCCTCCCGCCAACGAACGGATTTTCGGGCCTGCCCTGCCTACCTTGTAGTAGGCAGTTTAGTTACATCAACCAAGTGCCCACGCCCACGTCCACGCCCACAGCTCTTGCCTGTGTCATTGTCTTCTCATCTGTCTGTCGCCGCGCCCAATTGACCCTCTTACTACGCTCATTGATATGCGCGCATGCAGTTGAGAAATAATTCGACGCCTGCACTCAAATTTGGAGAGCTCATATCGACCCAATTGCCTGATTGCGAGGGTGTGCAGCGCGGGCGCTGTCGCCCATTAGGCTGACATCGGTTGGTTGTAGTCGGGCGGCGCCGCACCCATCACCAAACACAATTTGGGAGCCGACGACAGACAACAGACAGACAGCGGCAGACTCAAAGCAACCTCTTTGCGTCGTCGGCGCTGCCGCATTTCAACACAGAAAAGAGCACATTTTCACCATCAGTCACTCTTAGTTACCACCTGTTTTTTTTTTTATGGTTGTTGGTTTACTATCATCACTTTGTTCCATGGTCGCTTTGAATAAGCTTGGTTCTCGCAACTTGCCCAGCCATCTGCATTTCCCACCGCTGGCCCAGCCTCCGAGTTTCCTATTCACCACCACCACACAGCAAACCTGGTTCCTGGCAAAAGAGGTACCGTCGGCAAGCACCTGCAATCCTGCAGAAACTGGTGTACCCTGCAGTTCTCTCATTCTTGAGTTTACTCCATCTCCAACTCATTACAACTTTTGCATGTTGAGTTTGGCCGGATATTCCTGGGTCTCACAAAAACCCACGTTATTGTGTGTTCCAGCCATCTGCTGCAAAATCGGACACGTCATTTCAAGCAACACCCTCAAGCTGCGAGAGCTTAGCTACACAGCTACCACCCCATAATACATACAAATTACGGACCTGGTGTGCGACATCCTTAAACTCACCACGAACGCGTGGTGAAAGTTCGCCTTGTCTTCCCCAGCTTCTCTCCGGGCGGCAGGAGACGCGACAACAAAGTTGTCGGCACCGAACCCCCAGCCCATTTCTTACGACCGTCACGACCGCAACGACCCATCATCAACTACAGAACCCCAGCGCCAGCAGCGCCCATCTTCGCTACTACAGACGCCTCCACCCCGAGTGCTCACGATAACTCCTGAACACAGATCTCAGACTCCCTCCTCGCAGCACCGCCTACGGCGCACTCCTCGCCTTCCTGCCACACCCAGCCCAGAGCCAGCTAGACCGGAACCTCGGCAGCCCAGACCAACTCCTGCAGCAGACCATCCCCAGCCTGTCGTCACTCTTGGTGACAGAAACCAAAACGTCCAAGCTCATACTCAGGAGAAGGGCAAAACAGTTGCTCGGCCTCGCTTGCCCCCTCGGCAACTCTCTCAAGACTTGAGTAGTGAAGACAACGAAGAGGAAGACTCGCCCATCTCTCTGCGGCAGAAGAACGTGCTCGACCTTCCAGATCCCGAATCAATTTTTCGAATCTCCAAGCGTACTCACCGTGCTGTTCTGTACACTCTTGAGGAGCTCCTGCGCGGACCCTTCAAGCTCACGCCTGACATTGTAGAGGAATCAGCCTCAATGGCCGATCTGCTTGGCGGTAATATCTCCACTTCTAACGGCAACGTACCCTCCTCGTCCAGGATGCCTGCTGCTCGAGCGCCCGCTGGGTCACCATCGTCCGGGATTAGAGGACCTCGGATGATTATGCAGGAGCGAGCTGCGCGAGAGGCCAGGCAAAGAGAAGAACGCGAACGACTAGAACGTGAGCATGCTGCCGAGGAGGCACGGTTGGTTGAAGAGGCAACTCAAAGAGAAGCGGAGCGTAGAGAAATTGAGCGAAGAGCTGCTGCTGGCGCTGGAGCCGAGGCGCGCCAACCCGTACCCGTCGGAGATGCTACCCACAGAAGAACGGCTAGGGCTGGTAGTCGCTCGGGCCCCGATCCCAGCGCGCTCTACCCGGACGCGTCGAGGCCCGCCGGTAATGTAGCGCCTCAACCGTCCCAGCGCCAAACGGAGACGCTTCATGGACAGCCTCCGGCCGCAGACGAGGCCGCAGGTGCACTCCCACAGCCACAGCTACAGCCTGGGCAGACTTCAGAGCAGCTTGGAGCAGCTGGCCGAGGTAGAAACTCGTTTCCGTCTGCATTCGAGCGCTGGGAAACTTTGTCTGCACACTGGGAGGGACTCTTGAGCTTTTGGCTTCGCAAGCTAAAGCAAAACGCGGATGAGATCAACAACGATCCCGTGTCAAAACACCTTGCCCGTAATGTGGAAGACCTTTCTTCTGCAGGTGCCAATTTGTTCCATGCCGTGGTCGAACTGCAGCGTCTTCGAGCATCCTCTGAACGTAAATTTCAGCGCTGGTTCTTCGATACGCGCACTGAAATCGAACGTCATCAGGAGGTCACCGCAATGCTAGAAGCTGCCCTGGAGAAAGAGCGTCTTAGTAGAGCAGACGCTATTCGCGAGGCGCTTGAGCATGAGAGAGGTAACTCTCGAACTCAGAAACAGATCAGTGAGCTACGCAAGGAGCTCCAAATTTCCAAAGAGGAGGCTCGCCGTGCCTGGGATGAGCTCGGCAGACGAGAGCAGGAGGAGCGAGATCGGACTGCATCTCTCCAGCAAGGACACCCAACCATTGTCGGCGGTGTGCAAGTAGTACCCATGACGCAAGGCGTGAGCCGACACAGTAGTCGGCGAGATCAGCAAGCCTATGGTTCGGGCGAACCCGAGTACAGCCAAACCTCGAGTTCACGCCCCGAGTATGGCGAGGCTCCGGCAGTTCAACCCGTCGTGACGTCGTCGCCAGCTCCTGGGCCTTCTTATCAACCCTCTGCGACGGTTCATCACCAAGGTAGCTACGGGTCCGAGGGAACCTACAGCGAAAGTGAGTATACCATGGACGCCCATGGTAATTTTGTCAGGGACTCTCGGAGAGACAGAATGCCATTTCATGCCCCTGCATTGGACAGTGATTCTGACGCTGGTATAGATGAGTTTGAAACACCGGGCTTGCCACCTGCTACGCAGCCGCCTTCGTCGACTGGGGCTGAACCGCAGTACAGTCAAGTCCCTGACTATTCTAGTGGAGGCTACAACTCTCCTAGCTGGGAGGCTGGAGCTCGCCATCACCACCCTACTCGACTTAGTGATGTACTCGAGGAGGAAGAGGAACGCAGTCGGACGAGCGCAAGCCAAAGCCAAGTAAGCCGTGGCTGATGATTCATGTTCAATCGACATGATCATTCTCGTTCGCGATTCGAACATTTAAGCCATGTTTTCGATCCATTTCCCATTTTTGGCCTTGATCGTTCGATGCCTGGGGACTTTGTCAGTACTTCATTAACTACATGTCCCCAAAGCGCTGTGGGGATCAAGACAAAGTCTGGCTGTCGTCAAATCTACCGCCCATACGTCGGACCAACCGCTTTGCTTTTTGGGGGGTATGGTCAAGTTTTGGCGACTTGGAAGAATTCGTATGGCACTATCAAGCTAATAATTTGGTCTGGCTCATTTCAAGAGCTCAATCAGGACCGAGGACAGTGCTTTCCTACTTCAGGACCACTAATGACACTCCAAGCGATTGGTATCGTCTGGTTCTATTGGGTGCTTACCTTTTCTGCTTCCTTTTGATATTGGACTTCTGTTCAATTGGAAGCAAGAATTCCTTTTGGTGTGAACACCTCTCAATGGGTATTCATATTCTGCATCGGCATTGGCGTTGGCTCCATTTGGTGGAAGGGCACAGCGTCGGGCAGATGGGACGACTCATTTGGAGTCAATAATTGTTGAAGAGGAGGAGAAAACCATGGGCACAGAAGGGCACATCATTCTGTACCCAGCGCATCTTGAATTTTGTACTTGTAGATAAGGCATTTCGTAATATTTTAGCGGGGAAAAAGAGACCCAACCACTGCATTCTGCGATTCTCACTACAAGCAGCGTGTGCCAACTGTCGGTGGTCAAGGTTTATCTGAGATGAAAGCGGCGTTGAGCAGCTACCGTCCCGCCTCGCTGAGTAGCTGAAAATTACCCAAGTGCCAACAAATCAACATGTTCCGCTACTATGAATGGCTGCTGCCTTGGCAATGAAAAATGTTATTGTAGTGGTTGCGTATAAACGACGACATCTCTATACTCTTTTCAGGCTTGTTGTGGCGCAGATAAAAGTGGCGCTAGCCTGAATCCTGAAGCCCGCCGAGCCCGCCCAGAGCTCTGCGTAGCTCATGTCCCGTTTTGGCGTAGAATGCTGCCGAGCTACTGGAAATCTAATTTTTGCGGGACGCTGAGCTTGATGGTTTTGGAAGACATCATACGACGGATGCCCACGTCTTGACTCTCAACGTCAATACAACTTTGAACGAGAAGGTGGTCGATCTATTGATACCGTACCTCCTCGGACTTGGCGGCCTATTGAAACACCGAGCACCATCGTTTCCCATTGCCTCTCCAACCAACCGCAAACCCTCTGGGATTATGTCACGATCGATAGCGCCATCGTCGGGCGCCCTGCGCTCGCTGCTGCAGTCCCAACAGACAACTCGGCAACAATGCCGCCGCTTCCTCTCATCCACAGCCGCCACGGCTCGTAGGCCGACAGCTCCAGAGGCTTCATTGGCACAGCAACAGCAATGTCTGCGTTCCCGGGTCGTCACTATCGAGCAGCGCCGCTTCAAGTCCCGGTCCGTCGAGGAGCAGAAGAGCAGATACCGCACTGGTCCGTTTTCCTGGAAGGCCGGTCTGCTCTTCGTGGCAACCAGCGGCGGACTGGTGTGGTACTTTGAGCACGAGAAGCAGCGCATGCAGCGCAAGCGCGTCGCCGAGGCGACCAAGGGCGTTGGCCGGCCGAAGGTCGGCGGCGAGTTCGAGCTGGTGGACCAGGACGGGAAGCCCTGGACAAGCGCCAACATGAAGGGGCGGTATAGTCTGGTGAGTCTCTACATGACCTCCGTGTGCATGGACACGGCACAAGGAATTCTTGAGGAGAACAGCCAAAGCTAATAATCGTGACTCACACAGGTCTATTTCGGCTTCTCCCACTGCCCCGATATCTGCCCCGAGGAGCTTGACAAGATGGCACGCATGTTCGATCTTGTTGAAGCCGAGAGTCCGGGCGCTGTCCTGCCTCTGTTCATCACCTGCGACCCAGCTCGCGACACTCCCAAGGTCCTCAAGGATTACTTGGCCGAGTTCCACCCCGCATTCATCGGGCTGACGGGCACATACGACCAGATCAAGGACGTGTGCAAAGCCTACCGGGTGTATTTTAGCACGCCGAAGAACGTTGCGCCGGGCCAGGACTACCTGGTAGACCACAGCATATACTTTTACCTCATGGACCCCGAGGGAGACTTTGTCGAGGCATTGGGCCGACAGCACAGCCCGGAGGCGGCAGCCAAGATCATATTGAGCCATACCAAGGACTGGCGTGACCCAACCAAGAGGTGAAAAGCGAGCAGCAGCTGACCCTAAAAGATGGGACTCCAAATGCTTGCCAGATGAGAAGGGACCCTGGCCACTGTAAAATGATCCATGCATGTATACGTTTTATCATGTACTATAATTGTACAATCTCCAGAATATTGAGCATCACAAGCACCCCGCGTTCTCTTTTTTTCTGCTTGATCTTTACAGTTTGTTGGGATTGATGGTGAATCGTTGGCCACGTACCATGTGTCAACTTGCTTAGACCGACATGGACACCAGATGTTGAGAATCTTGGGTTTTCCTGTGCAGTCCCCAAATGACCGACTCGGTAGAAATGCAGTCATCGGCTTTATTCCCCTCGTACAATGAAAAGTGATGTTATCCTTGGGCGAAGCTGTCATTTGCCTAATGTATGTATGCATGCATACAGCCTTGCATATACATTCATGCAAGTGGCCGCCCCAAGGGTACATATGTCACCTTACCCAACACAGTCGGGGTGGAACTACTCGACCTCCCCCAAAAGCACTCGGTAACCCCAAAAGGCTGAGGACGCCCGGGGTCTTGGCCATCATATCATAAGGCAGCTCTTCTTCTCTCTTTTCTCAAACATTGCAAAGCAATCTAGTAAAGCACTGCATGTGCAACATCTGGGAAGGGATCATTGTTATGCTACCGTATTTCCTCTCATCACCGCCATGAGAAGAAGCATTATCGCGGGGGCTCGGGCGGCAGACCCGCGAATCGATGCCATTCACAACCCTGTACCGTTCGATTGTGGCATTTGCGGCTGGCCAATTACGACCCCAGGCATGCGAATTAGAGCAGGTAAGTTGGCAAAAAATATATATACAGTGCTGGCAGCCTTGTATATATGTTCTCACATTTGTTTTCATAGTCCACGGCATTACGAATAGTCCAGAGCTGTGCCAAGTTACACACCAGGCAATAGCCAAGAAAGACAGATCGACCAGAATAGACTGCCTCGAAAACATTCTAGTAAGCAACTCCTGGTGTCAATTCTCTCCTTTTCTAGGTTGTCTCATGAGCAAGTATTGCCCAAATTGGTGCTCCAAGAGAGCGGGCTCAGACAAATTACTTGAAAGAGCTGTTTCAGACTCACTTATCTACTCTAACGGGCAATTGCTAACACATGTTGTTGTAGTGCTGGAAAAAAAGATGCCGGAATTGCCCCCGCATCAGCGAGGATGATGGTTCGAGAAATATGGTTGCAGTCCATGCCGACTGCTATACCTTGTTCGAGGCCGAGTGCCAGACAGAGGACAGGCTCAAACGCTTGTGGGTGGCGATCCGAGCTCGGAAACCCTGGGCCAATGCGTTGAGTCTACAGGTTAGTACTCTAGCTTATTTCTATCCCTATCATCATGTCTCAAGGGTGGGATTTGAAGATAGTCCATCTCCATTCGAACGCGGGCCATATATTCACTCTTGATTCGGTCAGATCTGAACCTGAGGAGAACGATTTCTGACTCTGGGTTTTCATAGATCGCGCCACCTAAAGCTGATTCGAAGGTCGTGTCCCAAGTGTACCACTGGGCAACAGCCTGTGGAATTCCAGGGCTGAAGTTGCTGCCACCCGAGATCATCCGCATGATAGCCGACTTCTCAGAGGGGGCAGCCTTCTTCCGTTGCATTGCTGCTGTACGACTTGGCAGGGAGTTGAAAGCGGCACCACAGACACTGCCCTTATCAATGGCGGTACCTCTCAGGAACGTTTTGTCGTGGACTCGCGGAGAAATGCCAAAAATATCACCATCCAGGTCATCATCATCATCATCATCGACGAACGAGTTGTCATTCACTCGCTTGACCTACGACCGCCGTGGCATTCGCCGCATCGAAAATTCATCAGAAAGAGAAACAGGTCAAAGGAGAAGACGAACAGGTACGGAAGCATACACCGTAGTGAAACTCATTCCAGGCGAAGAAGTCCTGGCAGCGTTCGAGGTTCGTGTTTCCCCTCTGCTCCCATCTTGAAAGTCCTTTTTGCATTGCATAAGAAACTGACGATGATATATAGTATGGTATCTTGCGCCTCAAATATTCCAGCCATGTCTACAATTTCTACATTTGGGACATACCAGATCATCCCGATATCAACTGCCTCGCGCGCCCCCTCGGCCAAGAAGCACGGCTACGAACCATCGATCTGCAAAAGATCACGGGTCTCACCTTTTTCTACAACCAAGTTGGCCGCTTATACTGGATTCATGGGCATACAACGACCGAAGTGACTGCTAAGAACGCATTTGACAAAGTCCACAAAGTGGTTAAATCATCTTTGTGTTGGACCTATGTTCCTATAGCCAAGGGTGATAGAATCACTGCGATTGGGTTGCGTCTCCGCTCCCGAGGCTCTACTGCCACTGATTTCTCAACATCACAGCCTGCATTTGTGGTAAGTCAATCATTCCATACAACATATACCAGCGTGCTCCCTCTCCTGACGATATTCAAATAGTTTCGTACACAATTGGCTGGCGATTTTGCAATTGGGCCCCAGCATGATCACTACGTAGACCACGTCGCGAGTGACTTGTCGCCGAGCTTACTGATCTACAAATCAATGCCATCCTTGGAAGTCAGCGACGTCGGAGCGCACCCCCCTTCTGAGCCCGGCGGTAGCTCCTCTGTTCAGTTTCGTCCCTTATGGGCGGATAAACCCGCGTGGGACAATCCTGGATCCCAATACTTCTCTGCGGCCCCCCTTGGTGGCGTCACTAGAATGCAGATTTTTCAAGTCGAGGAATGTTATTTTTGGGACTCTCTAATCTTCTCAGGTATCTTGTTCGACTACGAGAACGGCGCTCAGCGGGCGGTGGGAGAATGCCTGGTTGGCGTGGCACCGAGCACAATTTATATGAACCCCAAAAGAATTTGCGTTCACAAGGCTCAGGATGGTGAGGCAATTGTGAACGATACCGAGGCTTCATTCAACTGTTGTGAGATAGAGGCAGGATCTGAGCTAGAGCACGATCATGGTGAGGAGCATGGGTGGTTTTGTTATACTTTGGAGGGTTACATGTCATGGTGGCACTGGGCGGATGGACACTCTAACTTTAGTATTGCTGGTGCAACGGCGATACCTAGGAGTCATACTGTGTTTGTTGAGGGGATTGAAGCGAGCGGTATCGACCCGTCAGGGAATGATGATTAACGGATGGTTGTCCGGCTCGGACTCGGGCGAGGCTATTGGATACAGGGGAAGGGCCTCTATTTACTATATTGTCGGAATCGGAAACTCCGTCTCTTTTTTATTATCATGTCCAAGTCATCGTTATATTGCAGCTTTCATGCTAACACTTAAAAGAGCCAAAGTTCACAATCACACTTGATATAGTCTTTCATCCTTCCCTCATTCTAGTTCCCCCTATCAAGCCTCCCAACCAGGCTTGCATCATCTAGCAGACTACCAAACATTGCAGCATCCATGAGAGAGTTGACTTGGCAGGCATGTTGGCAAGCATGAGCAATGAGCCATTGTTACGACCACAGCTCAGCCAGGAGCTGGCGTGTATGAGCGTCCTCTCTACTAGCCTTTGCAATCAGTTCCTTCACCCCCGAACAAGTGTCAAGCCCGTCGCATGCATTCACAAGGGGTCTGCTGAAACCGGTCGTGTGATACTGCTCGTCAAAGACCTCTTCAAAATCGGCCTCCCACTGACCAATTCTCTCCTCGGGATTACGAACCTTGGCGTACCCGAGAACAATTCTTCTCAGGTAGTGGTGGCGGTCATTCAGAATCTCCCAAGTGTAGAGCAAAGAATTCAGTTTGATCGTGGGCTCCATCCAGCGCTCCGTGAGACAACGCGCCAGCACGGCCGCGTAGGCATCATAGACGCTGCGCAGCGCTGCTTCGGTCACGATGCCCGTGTCCGTCGCGTCGGCTGTGTTGAGAAATGAGTTCATGACTTCGCTGTTGTGGAGGTCCGAGCCCACGTCCACGACGTCGGTGCCGGGGCTGCTCGCCACCAGGTCGTCGTAGACCGCGGCTGGGTCGTAGCCCCTGCCGATGGCTTCTGCTGCCTGCCCGGCGAGACTGGCCTCGCAGAAGCAGATGAGATGGGCGGCTTTGCGGTTCAATTTGGCCATCTTGAGACCTAGCTTGCCTACATAGTCTTGTTCCAAGTGAGCTTTGCCGCGTTGCGTTTTGTTATAGTTGTTATTTTCCGTGCCCCTTTCAGTTTTTTTCAGGATTCTCAATCATTGTAATCACTACATGATATGATGACTGAGCTCTTTGCGTATATCACGGCGCGTAGTTGATTCTAGAATAACTTTCTCACCGCCACAGAGCGACTCCCGGTAGACACTCTCGATTGGTGTCCAAGGAAAGAAACAGCTTACGGAGCTAGAAAGACGCTATACGGGAAGATGAGATTTACTCTAGGGCACCTCCGGTAAGAAGTTGAAGATAACGTAATATGAGTTTACACCTTGTGGTGGTTAGAAGGTATTTATGTTCATATCACAGGCCATGATTATATTCACTAGATATCTAACACATGCTTGTCGGAATCCATTCGGTCTGATGTACGCGTTGCAATTGGCGCTCATATTGGCATCGGTCCCAGTGACGGCTTTATCCCAGTCGAAAGACTCGCAGTGCCCGTAATCGGTATTCTGGCCCGCCAAGCGGCACAACGTCTACCTGCTACGATGGCATGCTGTGATGGACCATGACTACTATTGATTGCTGGAGGCAGACTACAATATCGCAATTGAGCAGTTTCAGACCGGAAACCATATCATTGATGATGCGTTTAATAATCTCTGTCTAGGAGGAGCGTATTGTGTCAGTGGACCTAGCACTTGAGACGCCATATCGCTGTAGTACTAGAGCTATTGCAACTGGTATGATTTCTCATTGGACTCGAATATTCAGCTGCAACAAGTCAAGAACATATCCGGTACTTACCCACGTTTCCAGAATGGCATATGTATTCTACTCCAGTCTGATTCTGAGGCCTTGCCACTTTCTAGTAGATTTTGAGCAGAAAACCCCCAGGAGTTTGACGTTGTCCAAGCTGCTTCGCCAGCGGGGAGGTCTTTCAGCCAGTCAATCAGACGGCCGTTCGTATGTCGTACAGATGCTAGATAGTGTAGCGGTGTATTCCCGTAGATATCCTGACTTTGCAACTCCTCACTGGGAAGCATGCTAAAAAGGTAGCGTATGACCTCCTCCTGCTCCTCGAAATCATGAGGAGGCGCCAAACTAAATTGGGGAGGACGGTTGGAGGATCTTCCTCTACCGCCTCTCGCTCGTCTGCCAGACGAAACAGGGGCTGTGCTTTGTAGTTGCAATGGACGCCAGGCTGTCTCTAGCGTCCTGAAATCATGAATAGACGTGTAGCATTGTAGAGAATGCATGTTTAAAAAGGTATCGTCAAGTGGGAGACTCGCAAGATGCAAAAGGCCGTGTCCAAGAGCTGTTTTTGGAATGCTCCGTAGTACAATGGCCTCTGATCCTTCATATTTACTCAGCATATGCTTGACCATACCCAGATCAAGTGTCGCTATCGCAAAATGAACAAGATGGCATTGATATACCGGCGTTGCGAGCGACATATCTGCCAGGGGAGCCATAGTATCAAACCCATCTCTCCAATTCGTCGCAATGGCATACGAGATGGCGTTCATGGGCCGGGTAATGAGGCTGCTGGGAAAGTGGTCGGGTTTGTGACCACGTTTTAGTAGAAATTGTAAAAATTCGTGATCCTTGTTCCTGACGACAATCCATAATGGTGACTCGACTGCCCACGATGAAGGAACCCCGGCAACTTGATTTCCCAAAGTGCCATTATTCTTCCACGCAGATTCATCGGCGCCATGCTCGATGAGATGCAAGTAGAGCAAGTTATCTCGTACGGCTGTAGCTGCAGAGAGACTCGACGACGGGTTGTTTGTTGGATAATCCGTGAGAGGGAAATCGACCTCGGACCAAAATCGAGATCTGCCTATTCTTCGCAGCTTTAATTCGGCTTCTGTTAGATCGGCTGTCTGATCGCTGGCCAAGGCAGAGGTGTCGTCGGATCGCTTGACATGGTCGAGCACTTCTGCTCTTAGTGGGAGATGGCAGCCTCCTGTCACAGTCAAGTCGCTGGGGCGTCCTCGAATGAATCTTGAGCTCGCCTGTAGAAAACACCAGTCCGGAAATCCATTCGGGTTCGCGCCGTGACCCAGCAATATCTTTGCATTCTCAGCACGCAGGGCAAAGATTGCATTGACGAGTGCACTTTGCCAAGGACTATTCAGAGGCCCAACTATATAATTGGTTGCAGGAAATCCGGACTTTAGCAAGCCGCGCAGGATGCGAGTGTCGGAAAGACTCGCTGCTTGCAGCACGGGACCAGGTATCTCGACGTCGTTCCCTTCGTGTGTACGCTCAAGAGTGCCCAAGATGTCCGGCGGGGGCACATACTCTGCAGCTGAGTCCGATGGCGGGATAAACTGATGGTATGGCATCATTTCCGAGCCGCAAGTATTATGTCCTGTCCTATGTGATATTTGTGAATTTCGTCGGGTGGTGAACAGATATCGACCCATGAGATGAAGCTGTGGATTAGGTAGAAGAGTGAGTGCGCGCGTGCGACCATAAGAGAGGAGCTAACACAACTGCGGGGCTCCATTTCATCTGGACTACTTCTGAGAGCCCAAGGTACGGAACTAGACGATTTGATGAGGCATATAGCTGCTTTTATTTCAAGGTAAATAGTGTAGGGAACTAGCAATCCTGTATTCTTCTCGACCCTGTATCACAAGGACTTTCCATACAAATTCCCTACCAAGAACTTCATCTTTGCTGCCGGGTGCGGGTACAGGGGCATTTAGTGAAGCATGGCGGTTTCCGGTCAAGATTGGGTCACGGTGACCGTCCACTGCTGGTGCGGATTGCCAGAGCTCAAGTCGCCTGCAAGAGACCAGCCGTTGATCCCAGTTCTATTGGAGAAAAAGTCAGATGGTTTTTCATCATATCAGTCAAATTGTTGCTTGAAGTCTTACCCATTCGCCACGCCTCCAAGGTAGAGGTCGACATATGTGCCGGCGCCAATGTTCTCGATCCTAGTTGGTTTGTGAGTATACGGCGCCGAGTCCTGGAAATGAGAAACCTCACAAGACGACATTCCCATTCTGAGGATCACCAGTGACAAATCTCCAGCGTTGATGGGGGTTGCCGGACCCGGCGGTATTGCTCCCCTGCCACCCATAGATTGGCGTCCCGTCAGCCGTACCACCGAGGTAAAGGTCCATGTAAGCTATTCAGTCTTGTAAGAAAACATCAGGAACATGATTAATGTTTTTTGAAAGGCCTACTTCCAGAATACTGATTCTTGATCATGTAAACGGGCCAGGGGCCAGTCTTGCCGACCTGCTGAAGTTGCCATTTCTGGTTACTTCCACCATGACACTTCCACCCAGAAATGGCTACGCCGTTGCCAGAATTGCCTGTAATCTTTCAGTAAATAAACACATTGTCTAAGAATTCCACATGATAGTCATACCGCCAGCGAGGTCAATACAAGTACGCGAGCCAAGATTGGTGAAGGTGACAATGGCACCGTTTGCGATTGGTGAGGACATGTTGAAAGATGCAGTGATCGTTTTGTGATTGCCAAATTGGAGAAGATCTTAATGGTGGAATGAATGTTGCCGAAAAGATGATTACATCCTGGCGAAGACGAGGTCTTTTATCTCCCAGGAAAAGGGACTGGCTCGCCCCAATAGTCCTACATTTGTAAGTGCTTCTCAAGAAAAGAAAGTCAATTCATGTCCTAATTAGTAATAGGTGAGACCGACAGGAACTTTGGCAACAACTAGTTCTGAGAGGCGTGGAAAGACCGATGAAAACAAGACAACACATATAAATGCTAACTGGATCATTAAAGTACATTTACATGAATGAAGCCAGCTGAGCGCAGAAAGACTATACTGTCATGAACGAACAAAATAGGGCTGAGCCTGCACGTGAAACATTTTAACGGAATGTACAAGACATGGGCATTGAGTATAAGTCCTAATTGGCTCCTTTGAACGGAACGCAGGAACGAGGCCAGCTGAAGAGGACGGGAAGTTTCAAAAACGGGCACAATAGCTTGAATCAAAAATTAATATTGACCACAGTCGGTGTAGAAAGAATGGAGACCAATCGTAGATTCTGACACGGCTCAATTTTGAGTATGTAGTCTACCACAGGCTCATATACGAGACACCATATCGTTGGCTCTAGGGCCAGGAGCAAAGTGACTTTTGGCGAGGCCGCCGATGTCTACAGTAATTCCTATGTGTCATTTCATTCAGCAGTGATAGCTTGAATTGCTGTTCATTGGGCGTGATACGATGCTTTGTGGACTGTAAAGTCAGAGCCAGCCAAGGTAACAATTGCAGCATTCAGCATTGCATCGGCTTCAAGGTTGATGGCCAAAATTCTTCAGCACAAATTTGAATGGTATTCGCAATCACAATGGTTATAGCATCAAAAGACTGTGTTGGTGCAATATACAGACGTTTACAAGAGAACGAGGTCACTGGAAAGCACTCTCAAGCCAGTTGTTTGCATATTAGTCTTATAAAACTATATTTGGGCCCGCCCATGCTTGATAATGGCGTCCTGAGTACATTCCATCAGAATCTCACCATTAGCAGCATTCCAGAAACGTTGGTAATTTGTCACTCGACCACCTTTGACCCACGATATGCCGCTCTCACACACCATCCATTCGTCAATTCTCGCCGTGGGGGAATGCAAGGTAATCTGGCTGTTTAATGTAGTACTCATGGCCAACGCTCGAGCGTCCTCGTGCACCGATTCCCAATTGGCCATCAGTGAGAGTTCCAAGAGCGAAATGTCTGACAAGAAGGCCATGGCGGCCAAGTGAGAGATTCCAGAATGCGTCGACCGCGGCTCAGCACGAACAAAGGCATAAGTGTGGATCTGTGCAGAGTTGGATTTGCATACCGACTTTTCCAACGGGAGAAGTCGCCAGTCAAAGGGATCATCAGCGCTCACGCCAAATTTCGACAGGACTTGAAGACTTTCGTCGCTCAACTGAAAGAGCTGCGGAAAGTCCTGTTTTGGAATACTGTGGGGGTGGAGCCCACCGAGGTCCGGCAGGGGCTCAGCATACTTTAGAGCGTTATGCTCATTGTTGGCCGGCGTCACCAAGCCGTGCGTTTGGAAAGAGATAATGGCCACGTAAAGGCAAGGGCCGCCGCCGCCTTGGGTTGCTCGCACGACACGCGTGGCAGATGTACGGCCATCAGAGGTGCGCTCAACATGGTAGTGGACATGGCTGCTGGCTTGGACAGGGCGGAGGAAGGATGACTGCGACGAAACAACATGTAGAAGTGGTTGGACCGTTGCCGCGGCTGCAGAGATGGCTTGACTGAGAATGGAGCCACCAAAGGCGGCTTCTCCGACAGGTTGCTGAATCAAAGGTCTACCTCCGTGTTATGAGTGACGGTTACAGATGGATATCAAGGGGACTAATATGATAAACGAAATGGGCACCCACCCTTGGTTGGTATAAATGTCACGTCCCAATTCAGGCGCCGGGGTCACAGAAGTGAGTACACCCAGGAGGGATCGTGCAGCCATGAATATGTTAGCCGATGTTTCGCTGGGTGGAAATTGCGTCGCGTCGCTGGTGTTGTTTAATAGAGGTATGCAGGCAAGATGGACCGAAATGATTATAGCATGCATGGGAAGTAGTTGGTTATTTTAGCTTGCAATGTTGGCAAAAGGCACAGCAGTCAAGAGCCTCAGGTTAGTGCTGTGGCCTGTCTGTGCTTAGCAGGATTCGGATCCCGGGCCTCTGCCCCGCGTGTGCAGTGCTACACTAATGTTAGTGGCTAGCTACCATATATACCAATAATTTAGAGAGACACGAGAACTATCCAAGCAATAAGAATACTGAACTCGGCAGCCAAAGACATATAAAATACAGGCAGGTTTGGTTCACGCATGAAATCCAAGAGGATTCGTAATGATCCGGATATAAGAGGTAAGGTAAGTATCATACATTTGGCGACTAGGTAGGTGAGCAGGAACGTATTCATAATACAAGCGTCCGACCTCCTGCTCAATCCCCGTTACTTCGTAGGTACAAAACAGCAGCATCCCTCAACTTCCGCACAGAAAGTCGTTTAGTGGACCATTATGAATTATAGCCTTTGGCCGGACATGCTGGATTGATGGTGTGCCACGCTGCAGATGTCAATGGTTGGCTCCAAAAACAAGAAAATATGCCACTGGAATAAGCCTTTCATTTGGGTCGCTTGGCCAGATCCATTGCTACGTTATCTTGCATCGGCTATGGACATCTCGAGGGCATTGCGCATGATATTTCTTCAATGGAGTTGGAGGCGCTGTACAAGATTGTGTACTGGTTATTTAGGTAGTCTACCTTGATACATACCGAGGTAACAATACTAGAAATGTCTAGTAGTGAATCCAGGTCCTAGCCGGAAATGGCGTCATTGTATAACATTATAGCGGAATGAACAGGGAGGCTTTTTTTGTGGAGCCGGTATACGGGCTATGAACAGAGACAGACCGACAGGCCAGATGATCTGAATAATCATGCAGTGACATAATGAGACAATACGACCGGAAGAGAAGAGAGCGAATAAAAACAATCGATACCCCGGAAACACGTGCTGCCCCAAGCATATATGTCCGCATAATTGTCATTACCATGATTGGTAAGTGGGGAGTAAAGAACCAAGAATAGAACCCCGCACCGAGGTTGAGCTTCTTTCTTTTCTTCCCCGTGGCAAGACTGGAGAATACTTGTGCCTAGATTACTAATGCGATCAAGACATTTGTAATTGAGTATAATTGACTAATATAAATCGAAACCCGAATCAAACGGCATTGCACAGTGACTATTTGGGCATACTCACTTGTCATCATAACACTTCTTTCACGCACATCGATCAGTCGCCATGGCCTCCAACAAGGCATTTGTCTTCAAGAAAATCCCCAAGGGCTGGCCTGTTGCGGGCGAACACATTACCACCGAGCAGGCAGCCTATGATGCCAATGTAGCCACGCCAGCTGATGGCATCGTGGTGCAGTCACTCTACTCGAGCTTTGACCCGTATATGCGCGGTCGAATGCGCGATCCAGCAATAAAGACGTACAATAATCCCTATCCCATCAATGGGGTCATTGATAGTCGGAGCATTGCCAAGGTGTTGCGTTCAAACAACGCACAATTCCCCGAGGGGGAGATTGTCATTGGACGTCTCCCAATTCAAGAATACGTTGCTGTTGAAGGCGAGCCGCTCAAGACCCTAAAGAAGTTGAAAAACCCGCTGGGCATCGAGGACATACGCGTGTTCTTAGGCGCACTGGGCATGCCCGGCTTGACTGCCTACTCATCGCTGTACGAAATTGGCAAGCCAAAGAAGGGTGAAACCATTTTCGTGTCGGCAGCCAGCGGCGCGGTGGGTGCCATTGTCGGGCAACTTGCCAAACATGAAGGTCTACGGGTGATTGGGTCTGTAGGATCTCAAGAGAAGCTCGATTTTATCACCAAGGAGCTGGGCTTTGACGGCGGATTCAACTACAAGACCGAGAAGCCTGCCGAGGCGTTGGCGCGCCTTGCGCCAGATGGCATTGACATTTACTATGAAAATGTCGGCGGTGATCATCTTGCCGCCAGCCTTGACGCAATGAATATGTTTGGACGCGTCGTTTTTTCCGGTTTTATATCAGAGTATAACTCTGACCCGTACCCGCTCACAAACATCAGCAAGGTTCTCCACAAGCGTTTGACCATGCGTGGCTTCATCGTCAGCGATGCCAACATGGGCCCTCTCTACGATGAGGAGCACCAGGAAAGGGTACAAAAGTTCATCAAGGAAGGTTCATTCAAGGCCATTACTCATGAAACTGTTGGCATTGATAATGCTGCCGAGGGCTTCATTGGCCTCTTGGCGGGCAAGAATTTCGGCAAGGCGGTCCTCAGATTCTAGGCATCATGGCACTAAGATATTATTTCGCAAATAACGATAATGATCAATTGCGTTGTGAAGAGTGGCATGTAAATTGTGCTAGCAAGATTCTCAGGTCAAAGTTACTCCCTTCTTGCATTGCCTCACTCGCAGAACGACCCGATGGCCAAGACGTCTGTCCTAGAGATTGTGATCTTGCCCTTTAGTTCGAGCCCAGTGCACTTGCGATTACAGAGCCCATGCGCACTACGTCGACAGATGGCGGCCCCTTTGCCCAGTCTTCAAGCGTCACTTTATCCTTCTCAAACAACAACATGTGCGTAGATCCACCGAACTCAAAGTGACCAATCTCAGTCCCTCTGCTAATGGGTTTAGGGTCGTCACCTGGCTTCACAATCCAGTCCTTTTCAATGATACAGGTCGATACCTCGACCATGCCGATGCAGACCATGGCAACATGGCCGCACTTTGGGTGCTTGAAGATGAATATGGCACGCGTCGCGACGTGGGGAATGTACGTCTGAGACCCCATACCTTCCCATAGTCCCGGATTTTGGCCCTGGTTGGGCCTCTGGGCAAAGTATGTACCGGGCTCAACCCAAGAGAGGACCAGCTGACCATCAATGGGACAGTGCCAACGGTGGTAGTGTACGGCTGACAAGAAGCCCTGATAGACTGGCCCACCGACAAAGAGACTGGCAATATCGCTCTTGCTGGCAAAGAGGTCAATGAGGGAATATTGGCCATCCTTGATCCAAAAGTTGCATTCTTGATCGGCGCTTTGCACATACGCCCACGGAGTCGTCTCACAGCCAACATTTACAACGTTTGTCCCATTACCGTCGAATGAGCGGACACCAGGAGCGAATGGGCGCGTAAAGAAAGAGTTCCAAGAATCGAAGCCGTAGCCCGGTTGTGTAGGGTCATATTGGATATCGTCCCAAACGCCTGCTTTGAATGCCTCCTTGGAAATCCATGATCCCGGCTTTTCAGGGTTGGTAATGTCTAGCTTGTCAAGGGATTTGGGACTCTTCAGAAAGGCATTCCAAGCATTGAGTACCTTTTGGAATTGGCCGTTGAAGGTTGCGTCGTGGAACAGGGCAACTCCGGCTTGTGTACCCATACCGACTGCCAAGAAACCACTCATTGGGCAGCCAACCTGGACGGTATTGTTGAACGCGGGAGATGTCTGAATAATCGCGTTCATAATGTTAAAGATTTCGTCATAATTGGAAATCCAGAGAGTATCGCCATCTTTCTTGATCTGATCCTTGGTGACTCTGTCCAGCGTCGCAATAAATGTGTTGGCTTGCTCAACCATTGCGCGAACCCACATACGGTACACACTATGAGATGTGACCCATTCCTTGAAATCTGCCACCACTGGGTGTAAATCCTTGAGTTGCTTCGATTCATATAGCTTGGATACTTGCGTTCGAAGCGGTGCAAGGAACTTGACATGCGCATAGACACGATTGGGCACCCAGAAGCCCATTTGTAGAGCCCCGGCGTTCTCGAGTGTCAGCAGACCACGACCCGTGGTTTCGATTGGCGGTTGTGCTGGAGGGGGAGCACCAGCTGCGACTGACTGTGCCAACGTTTGGCCATTATTCGAAGTTGGATCATCGTTCAATGTTGTCGAGAGGCTGGTGTTGGTCCAAGGCAACAAATACTTTGCAATAACAATCTGCACTGTGAATGGATCAGTTAATAACAACTGCAACTTTGACATCAAACCTACTTACTGATGAATTCGGCACCAGAATGAGGTATTTACAATGTCGCTACTGCTCAGTTTCGAGTCGGTGAGCGTGCATGTAATATAACATATCGGTAGGTATACATGGTCCGCGCTGTACGTTTTCAGCTTCGGCAAGTTCCCCATCACCACAGACATTATGGCTCGGCTGTGTAATATAAGTAACGCCATAAGAGAAAGTACTGTACTCAATTCCCCGTCACAAGGAAACACAAGACTAATCGTGCCAGAGACATGAATATTCAGCTTCGGAAGTCCATGTAGTACCAATTACGCCATGAAGGAGATCCCCGAAGTGAGACACGCATATTATTGGAGACCGTGAACGCTTGCAAATCTCCACTGAGAACTGAAATCATGCATAATTCAATGTGCGTGCTATGTACCAATAAAACCAGTGCGCGTTGTACTGATTAGAAACTAACCACCGATGTGGTGTAAAATCGACTATACGATAGCCGTTTTTTCCAATGACTGAGTTCCAAATTCAATATTTAGTTTCAAGATCTTCAAGTCACTTTCTAATGAATCAAGTACCATATATTGAAGTAAACCACTAAGTGCACTGATATTTGATACATTCGTGCCCAGAAGGTGCCAGTGACTACATCGAGCGGGTGGACCTCGGCTGTGTCTCGGCCGTATCTCTGCCTCTCGGCCGCACCTCTTCTGCTCGATCCGAACATGAACCCGAAGGATTCACCCCAGTCCTCAACCAACGAGGTGGTGTGGCTTGACATGCAAGTGTTATAAACCCCCGATAGTCAAGCGATCGTCTTTCACTAGGCTCGGCCCGCGAGGATTGGCAAACGTTTTCCACAAGCATTTAGTTACCTGGCGTAGTTACAGCCTCCACGATCGGCGGATGTGAATATATCTTGGAAGTACGATTTAAGCATATACCTAGGCTTTTCTATCATTTCCTCTAGACTCGGATTATACAATACAGCTCTATCAATCGTGGGGCGTGTTGTAACGGCGGCGCTGCGAATGGGGCATCCGCCAGACTACATCTATGATCCGAGTTTGCAGTCCTCTATAGTTGAACAGCAGATGTACCGTAATCAGGATGCATATTGAGATCCGAATCTCGGATTAAGGTTGATACTTGTTGCTGCTGTGCCTAGTAATGCAGCGTGAAAACCTCGAGTTCAGGCTCAAAGGCGCTGCGTATGGCACCGGCGCTCGGGCTGGCGTACATGTCCCCGGGCGGGTTATCTCCCTGCCCGTAGGCAAAGTCATTGACTTCGGCGTCGAGATCTTGGTACCGGAAGTGTCTGCTCCCATTCGCGTCTGCATGCACCACGAGCCGGGGCCTCTGGGATGGCGCCAGGTTGCGCCAGTCGAGATCCTCACGAAGGCCTCGCATCAGTTCCTGGTACCCACGGTCCCCGCCCTCTTCCATGAACCGCAGATGGCTGAGCTCGATGGTGCAGATGCTTGTGGGGAGAGAGATGAGCACGTCTAGGAGCTCGTCGTGATCCACCAGCACCTTGGTCAGTCTCAAGTGTTGCAGCTTTGGCCAGTGTTCCAGCGGAAGCAGAGAGCGCAGGCGAGGGAAGTCCTGGTCTGGCATGTCGAACTGATCAAAATCAGTTTCAGTCCGGAAGTGGAGGTATTCGAGGTCCGTCGCTTTGGCCAGTGCTTTGTGCAGCCGTCCGTTACGCAGAGTTCCCCAGGCGCCGTCCTCATCCCCGTCAGCAAGCAGTGACAGGTCCAGGGACCGGAACCCCGGGCGGGCGAGCAGGGCCGCGAGGTTCTCATACTCCTCGCACGGCTGCTCAAGGATACGAGAACTCACGCCGGTGCTGACGTTGTGCACGTTGAACAGGAGCTCGTTGACCCGATGGTATGGCTGCTGGGCCAGCTCGCGGAGGATAATGCTAACACCACGCCACTGCTCACGTTCGGCCTTCACTGACCATGGGCGTAGCTCGTAAGGCAGGTCCTCAGGACGGGGCATCGGCCACCCGTGGGGGATGGGGTAGTTGAAACCGTAAGGGAATGAGCGGATCATGGGCGTCTTGTACAGAGGGGCGAAGAGGTAACCATGGGCTGCCGGGGTGACGGTGATTGTGCGGAGCGCTGGGAAGCGTGACAAGCCGTACCTCAAGGCAGCGATGTCGGATCCGTCCGCCAGGACCTGCTGCTGCTGGCGAAGCAGATCTTGATAGATTGCCCACGATTCGTGCACAGGTAGCTGCGCCTCCAGCTGCTGCATCCTAGCTCTCCAGGCAGGGCGCTCCTCGACACCCTTGCGACTACGCTCGTCACCCAGGTTCTTACGACAGGCAAGCGAGAACCATCGTGGGGCAGAGTGTCCGTTCTCCTCGTCTGAGGGGTAGCCTTGGTCCTGCTGCATCTCCTCCCCTTCCTCCTGCCCTAGTCCGGCTACCAGCTGTGCATCATCCCAGACTATCTCGGTGATACCGTGCCGATAGACCTCGTGCTCTGCTATCGAGCGGAAAGTCTGGACATTGAGCGGATTGGCAGAGAGGAAGACTCTCCCGATGCGCAGAGGAAAGTTGTCACGCAACACCCGGCACACCAGGCGAAGATTCTTGATATCGCAATTTTCCAGGAGAGCGGCTACAAGGCGACAGATCTCGGAGGGAATACACGTGAGGTTTCCATCATCAGATTGATTGTTGTTTGACATGCTGAGCTGTCGTCGGAGTGCTCATCCGCTCCTCGGGTACCCTGATGGATCTGCACTTTTTCGACGGCAAGCTCGAGGGGAAGAAGAAAGCTGGGGCATTCGAATGACAAGTATTTAAAGTTCGGATGGTCCAAACAGACTAGACTTAAGTATGTAGGATGTGACCGGGATTAATCGACTATGCGGTCCTCGAGCGGGCCGGCCAAATCTCGGGCGCCGAGGTCAGCTCCGTTCGTGCATTGGCCGTATTTATTAAGTCCTATAGACGCGCGTCATTTTGGCCCTGTTCTTCCATTTCTCGGTTTGCCTCCTAGTTCGAGTGGCCGAGGAACTTGCAGCTTCTTCCTTTCCCGTTCGTATATAGAGGTCTCACGACATAACAGACATACACTGCGCTGCGCAAGCGAGAATCGGACCTTAGCGCAAGCGACCCATTTCCTCGTTGATAAGTATTATACTTATAGCACCATATTCGTAGCCCTCATCATCGCCCTCTGGATTTGAACTGACAAGAAGGTATCGACCATCAGGCACGTCATTGGGCCATTGCAGCACTCCAGGTTCCTTACGAGCGGTCGTTGACACCCGCGAGCCTATCCATTTCGTACAGATTTTGCGAAACGATAGACTAGTCGTATCGCGGATGCGAGACCAGAAGCCTTTTGTTGGGTGACTTCGGGTTTTGATGAGTTTTTCAAGAAAGGGTCGTAGCGTGGGGAGGATGTATGTATCATGTGAGAATACATGGTGGTTTCTGACAACAAATTCATGACTCTGAGGGTCCTTCTGATCTATGAGAGCGTCGAATCGACTCCAAGAATCTTCGTTATTGATTCGTATATCTGGCTCGGCTTTCTGTGGGATGATGATCCTCGATGCGTCTGCATCAACCTCAATGTCTTCGGGTTCGGCCGACGAAGTTTCGCTGGCGACGAAAGAAGCATCCATGCTGTCGATAATTCTGTATTCGATGGGTATGGGGAGTGTATTCTTTGTCGCACGTCATGTGTTGCACTTTTAGTAGTGTATGACTTTTCTGGGAACCCGCTGGCAGAAACCGGTAGAGTGAAAGTCAAGATAACTCTCCAGAACGGGGAACAATGAGTCTTGCCCATATATATACATGGACTTAGCTTGACCATCGGATGACGTTTGGCGGCAGGGCATATTGTGCAAAACCCTGACTGACCAGACGGGTATGTAAGGTTTCCTACATGGATGGAAAATTACTCATCGCGAAGTTAGAGTCCATCCTCGCAATGCAGCACCTTGCTGTCAAACTATAAGTATGTGCAGTACAGGGTCATTTCGATCAGGGCTATGGTTTGTATTTAAGTTGCAGAAGGGTGAAACCCGGAAGTAGTTCCAGCTGTGTTAGCCATGCTAAAAGACCACGTTAATAGATTTTATTCCTTCCTTCTTTATCATTGACCATATTACCTCAACCAGAAGCATGTTGCCATCTCTCCGTGAAACACTACATGAGAGATGCAATCTGTATGACATCTCGGTCAGCTGCTGGCAGCTGCAGGTTGATATTGGCAATGTCTAACCATCGTTTACACATAGTTCAGCGATTATAAGAGCCTGCAAGTAATTATAAATCTCCGCACTGCTGTATGGGTCTGAAAACTAGGGATTTGGTACAACCCCTGCCTGATCTCTCAGCACAAAAGACGAAAGGGGATAAATCTGGAATAGAGGATAATCTTATCGCTGAGAACCCCACCAACTATGGAAAGTTGACTTTGACTAAAGTAATAGGTACAACTCTCGTTTTAACGGATAAAAGCACCAGACCCCGGGACCTCCGGCTTAACGGCTATTTCCGGTCGGCTGTGGGAGGCAATTAGGTTTTATGCATTTTATTTAACTAAACCCATTGAGCCAGATCCGTTTATTTGTACTGAATACACTAAGTCCCCATCAATTTCCCACACCAACAGCTGACGGGGTAATCTTACTGGAGTCTGCGGGGGCTTATATGGACAAAATCCCGCTTTGTCGATGCCACCTTCATTTCGAGTCATCTGGTTCGTACCACCTCTGGTCAAGTCATAATAATGAGGCTTCTTCAGCTTGGAGAAGGAGATGAACTGTTGCTGACAAGAGATCTGATAAACCATACTCTGCCTTACGCCATCCTCTCGCACACTTGGGGACAAGGAGATGACGACGAAGTTCTCTTCCACGATATCATAAATAAGACGGGCAAACACAAACCTGGCTACCAGAAGATCCTATTCTGCGGGCGCCAGGCCAGACGCGATGGCCTCGACTATTTCTGGGTAGACACTTGCTGTATCGATAAGACCAGCTCGGCCGAGCTATCAGAAGCAATCAACTCGATGTACCGGTGGTATCAAAATGCTCAACGCTGCTACGTGTACCTGTCCGACGTCTTACCTAGCAGCGGTCCTAGTGAGAAAGACCTTTCACATTGGAAGCCCAGTTTCCACCAAAGCAGATGGTTTAATCGTGGATGGACGTTGCAAGAGCTAATTGCGCCACGACACGTGAGTTTCTTCTCATCAGATGGCGGTTGGCTTGGCGACAAGCAGTCGCTTGAGCAGGAGATCCATAAAATCACCAGTATTCCTGTTCCAGCTCTGCAAGGAGTTTCGCTTTCCACTTTTGACACAGAAGAGCGAATATCATGGTCTGTCCATCGAACCACAACACGCGCAGAGGACAAGGCGTATTCTCTACTCGGCATCCTAGGTATCCATATGCCACTCATTTACGGCGAAGGAGAGGAATCGTTTGACCGACTTCGAGCGGCACTTTCGTCTCAGACCTTTGGAAAATCCCAAGCTACTCAGACCACAGGACTGGATTCTCAAGCGGATTTGAGAAAGCTCCTACTTGAAGACCAGTCAATATACAGCCACTTCTCTCAACGTTTCTTATTAGAAAATTTTGATATTGCAGGGCCTTATCAGCGCCGAGCTTTATCCACTGGCACGCAATTCCATCCCGAGGACAATGGAATCTGGACATTTTCGAAAGCTGACCTAGTTTTCATCAAAACCAAAAATACCACGAATGGCAAGGTCGAAGTCCACAGGTCGACCTTTGATTCGCGCTTCCAGGACAAAATCTCGATTGAATCTTGTTTCAACATTGAGGATAATGGCACTTGGTTGATGCAAGACTACACTGGAGATGGGACACCGGACCTGGTCTATATCAAGACGAAGAACACGCCTGATGGAAACGTTGAAATCCATGCTGCTAGTGGAGATACTGGCTACAAGCAGCTTCATCACAGGAGGACAAATATGCGAACCGAGGACGATGGCACCTGGACTATGGATAGCAACGGTGATCTAGTCTATATCAAGACCAGGAATACCGGCAGTGGCAAGATCGAGGTTCACGTCTTGAGCAAGGCTTCAAACTATCAGACGTTTTCCGTGCACCAGGCAACAACATTTAATATTGAGAACGACGGGGTTTGGTGCATACAGCGCTCTCCGTGGCTGTCAAACGGCTCGGAGCAAGCTACAGGAAGTGCTCCATCTAGGTACAATGATTTGTACTACGTCAAGACTAATAACACCGGCACTGGTACAGTGGAGGTTCACATGGCTACAGGTTGTTCAGATTGGAGTCAACATGTGATACATGTTGGAAGCAATTTCCTCCTAGAGGATGACGGATTTTGGTTGATGGCATATATTACGCAGCAGGGTGCTGATCAGCAGCACCCTGATCTGGTCTACATCAAGACACGCAACACGGGGTCTGGTTCCGTTGAAGTACATGTCAACAGGTACTAGAGGGTGTGCACAAAGAGAATTAGATATACAGAGAGTGTCGGTATTTACTGTAGTTTGAAATTTCGGTACCGGCACAATCAACACAGTTTCCATCAAAGGTTGAATCGGGCACATTCGTCGAGAACAGCCAGCCTGTATCGTACAATTATCTTTCGAGTATCTCACATGGAACAGGGCTACGTATCAAATTGATCTGCCGCATGCTTGGGGGGCAGGTGCCTAATGAGAGCTTACCGCTATGATCGGCCAGCAAAGATCACCAACTCAGCGGACTTCAGTCATCTTGTCGTTTGTGCCTGAGGAGCTATCTTCCCATTGTTGACTGGCCTACCGCCCACGCAACTGCCCAGCTTACCACAATCGATAGAACGATCTGAAACTCCATTCATAGCGCCAACATAGCATTGTTGACTCCTCATTGGTGTTGCTTCAATACCTCCAATCTGAAACGCGAGATGAAATGCTTCTGGTAAAGTTTGTGACTATTACTTATTTATACCTACATACCACAACTTCTGTTACTTACCAGACGCCTCTGATCAGCTCCTGACAACACAATAGTCTTCATCACTTGATTCCTTCAAAGTGTTCAACATTTTGGCCCCCGTCCTCGCACATCCTCGCACAGCTTCCATTCTAAGCAGCGACGTCATCAAGGTGAGTCTCCAAACCCCCTCCGGAAAATAGAAAAAATTTCCATTCCTCCTACGAACAGGCCTTTGGCCAAACACTCAAGAACGATCGGTGACTGCCAACATCGCCGCACTTGCTCCGCGATTGCTGTCCAGGCAAACAAGTCCTCTCTTGCCAGTTTCAAAAAGCCCAGTAGATAAAAGATTGCTCATTCAGTTCTTTCTGTTGCAGGACCCTCCCTTCACATTCTCATCCAAATACCATTGCGATTGTCACAATGTCCGAGGCAACAACCCCAGATCCTAAGGCCAACTCTCCTTGGAGCCCAGAGGATGTGTCCACACTCCTCTTCACCATTATGACGCAGAGCAATGATGATCTGCTCATCAAGGGCTGGAACGACATTGGCCAAAAGCTTCAGGCCATTTGGGGTGACAAGTACAGCCTGGCCGCAGCCAAGTGAGTTTTCCGACACCTTGCCCCTCTTTCCGCACCTCTTGGTAAAGACCAAAGGCCTGACCAAACAAATCCAGATTTCGTTTCCAGAAGATGCGCCTTGCCTACCTGGAGAAGACCAAGAACAATGACGTTACCTCGTCCGATAATGCTGTCGATCCTGCCAAGGCTACCACCAAGGCCGTTACTCCTCGCAAGCGCACCGCAAAGTCCAAGGGAGCAGATACCGAACAGGGCAACCAGGACGAGGCTGGCGAGACCCCCAAGAAGAAGCGTGGTCGCAAGCCCAAGACAGCCCTACCCCAGGAGACCCCCGAGCAATGTGATGCCGATGTTGCTATGGATGAAGCTTGAGGATTCAAATGGATGGTTAAAGGCTGATGTGATGATTTTGTGTTTTCGGATCGTGGTTTATGGCAGTCGTCAAGTACTGTGCTTTCACTTGAATGCGAGTGCAGAAGCCGATCAATGTTAGCAGGATGGAATGCATTTGGTTTGGAGCAGTGCCAAGTAGTCGGCTAAAGGTACTCATGTAAGGAGCAATGTACGAAAATCACCAAACAGTACACCAGAAAAGCCCCTGAAATGTCATTATCCCGGTATTAATGACTAGAGAAGTTAAAGGAACCCAGTCCATATTGTAGTTTAACACTATTGACATATGTTGCGTTGAGACTCTAGTACAGGCGACTGGCATCTTGGCCATTACCATCCACTGGCATACGGATAATTCTTGAACGATGTGAAATTGTTCAAAACGATGAAGTAGGTTGCCAAATTCAGAGAAGAGGGGCTGGGGTCAGATGGTGCGGAGGCTAGATTACCCTCTAATTTATAAACATCTTTTCCAAATATATACACGAAGTACGAGCAGGAAAGCGTGGCTTTTAATGACATTTTAAACGGTGGGCCAACCAGTCGACCAGCTGATTGTGTTCCAACCAAACTTCTTGTCACCATCAGCATATCCAACTGTCGTGTCGACATAATGATAGTATAGGACAGCTCCGTACGTGGGGTCGTCAAAGATGCCTTGACCACCGGGGCCATAGACGGTGCCGTGACTCTCAAGGACCACGGTGCCACCATTTGAAGTGCAGGAAGTGCCGGACGAGTCTGTTTATCATTAATTAGCTTTTTTTGTTGGAATACAGAGGGCAATATCAAGAAGAGACACTTACCGACAAAACCACTAGTGGGACTGCTGGACCGGCAGACCATGATCTTGTACTCGCCACCAGAGGCGGGTTTGGATGAATCATAGCCACAGCATTGGCCCTCGCTCCAGAATAGATAGTAGTAACCGCTGCGGTAATACATGAAACCTCCCTCACGAGCAGATGTGCCCTCGGACGTGTAGGAGATTTGAGTGGCAGATCCGGCATTCTTGGTTGCGCCCGAGTTGAGCTGGGTCGTGTAGATATCGCCCCAGAAGGAACCAAAGACCATGTACGAGTTTCCATCAGCAGCCGTGATTACGCTAGCATCAATGGCGTTGTAGTCCTTGCCCGCGCTGGACTTGACGCCAGTTGAACCGTGATCGGTCCAGCTCCCGTACTCGAGGGTCGTGGAAGTCGCATACCCAATGGCGCTGTCCTGCGATCCAAACGAGGAGACCGAGTAGTAGAGGTGGTACGTGTCGTCGACGAGCAAGACATCGGGAGCCCACAAATCATCGTTGCCAGTGAGGTCGATTGAGGAACCGGAGGGAATGGCAGAACCTTGCAGCGTCCAAGGGCCGGATAGCGAAGAGGCGCTGTAGATGCCAATCTTGCTACCGGTGCTGAAGCGAAAGTAAGTACCGTCACTTCGACGAGCGACGGCTGGATCGTGTGTCCAGCATTCGCCAGAACAGGCGCCAGGGTCGGCATAGGCTGCGACGGTGCTGACGAGTGCCGCGGAGGCTGCGATCAAAGATGACAGAAACATGGTGCCGGCACCGTCAAAAAGAATGTAAGTATTCTAGAAGAAGAAGAAATGAATGAAACGAGTTTAGTCACGGACCGGGCTGAGTAACTGAAACCCGGTGCCAATGCCGGGAGTGTGCTTGAACTTAAGTATGGGCAATCATTGAATCGCGAGATGGGATTATACATTCACCTTTCGACTCGAGGCATGCTTAGGTATGGTCATGGGTATACGCAAAGCTCCGAGACCTGCGTATATCCATCACCAATGGGCCGGTCCCAAGACCACGGGCCACTCTTGGCAGTTGGATCAAACATGTGGCGCTGCCGCCAAAAGATCAAAATCGACATGGGCCTGAGGAAAATGGGGTTTGTTTCGCGACTTGTGATTGGTGGGGTCTGATCCATTTGTCCCGAAACAGAAACGGAGATAATTTATTTGGTACTGTTCGCGGGGCCCTCGGAGTGTTTCAGGCCAGGTGCTGCTGAAAGAGTTCAGCAAAGAATATCCTTAATTTACCTTCGTATTCGCCGTATCCGGTATTCGGGAGCACCCGCTATTACTTTGCTTAGGGCAGTATTCCGTACATGGACGACGGAAAATCTCCGAGTGCCAAGTCTCCGTCTCGGCGGCGTGTGGTGGCACGGCCCAGTAGCCTCCGAGCTTCTTGGCGCCTCAGCAATCCATGCATTCATAAATGGGACCTATGTAAATCTTTTCACAATCAAGAGTCCAAAGCTTGATTGATATACTATAAACTTTGCAAGCGATATTGAAGAGTATGATCTGGTACTATTCTGGGCGTGACGCATGAGAATCAACAATCTCCAAAAGAAACAAAGTGCTGCTCTGTCGCACGTCATCACCCAGACAGACCTATTCCTTACTTGATACCTCCAAAGCCCGAGCCATGTCGAGCCGCTGCTTTTGTTCAAAGCTCAGAACTTTTCGGATGGATATTTACCAATTTCCCTTCCCCTTTATCTTGTCTTCCATCTCGAGATTGACAGCGTGGTTGTGAAATGCGATGGCAGCATCATGTATGCAGACTACTCCTATCCAGGCCAATTTTAAATGGCACGCGAAATCCTCAATCCCACTTGCATTTATGGCCTGACTTGTCCGTCGCATCCAACAGGAATTGCCTCTTGGCCTAGAGATATTATTGTATCGACCTCCGCCACTCTAGCAAGCTATTCGTGTAGCGCCAGAGTTAACAGCCAGTTCATCGTGATCTCATAGCCTGGAGCCATAAGTGGGTAAATTCTCCCACGTGGCTAGTGTAAATGGTCTTTGGTCTACAACTTTCAATTTCCTTCTTTTTTTATGGTCCTGTGCGTAGATACCTCGCCGCTCATCAAATTATATCTGGGACGTCTGCTAGTGACACTACATCTCCTTTGCTCGCTGCGTCCGAACCAAGAGTCATCCACAAGAGTTCTCCTTGAGTGCTGTATGCAAAGATATATATATCTCCAGTACCATCCGTCATTGCCTTTGGTGGGCCTGCAAGTCCATCTTCCTTGAGAACATTAAAGCCGTCCGCAGGGGACCATTCCTGGTCGACGCTGCTGTATCGTTTGTGCAACATGGCACCATCCGTGCCCCACGCGAATACATCAATGGTCGTGTCGGAAATGCTGATGGCGTGTGGTTGCCCCTGAATCTTTACGGTCCCGCTGATACGTTGCCAAGCTGACCAGATACCGCCACTCGAGTACGCACGGTGCCATAATCCACCATTGCCACCGCGTACAAGAACGTCCAACGTTCCTAGAGTCCTAGATATGGCGGTCGGCGGTGTTGTACCGAACCCTCCCAAGTCTTCGTAGTCAGACCATGTATCCGTTTCCGAGTCCTTGGAAATGTGCAAGAGGTGGTTATTTGCCCTTGAGACGACAAAAACGTCTAAGCGTGTATCATTTCCAGCCCAAGCAACCACCGCGGGAGTGGCCCACGGTTGCACGTCACTCTTTTGAATTTGTATAGGGTTGGACCACTCATCAGAAGGGTGCCACTGATAATAGTATACTGATAGGCCACTGTCATCTCCCTGGGATAGCAGAAAAGTCTTCTTGGTTTCCAGATCCGGATTGTAAATTACGTCTGTAGGCGAACTTATAAATGATAGTCCAGTGAACAAGTCCCAAGTATTCGGGTCACCTGTCCAGTTATCATCACTATCGTGAGATTTCCGATATTCGGCACGGCCTGATACGCCACTGATATATAATTCGGTCAAATTAGTAGGTTTACCATCAGCTGAATCAGTGGAATACCGATGGCCAACAGCGATAGAAGGCGTTAGGGTGAAGTCAATGCCTCCACCGATTACCTGCATATCTCGACCAGCTGGGAGGAAGTCGGTGGACGCGGTAGCATTAGAGTAACGAGATTTTCGGTAAACCGAGCTTGTTTTGTTTTTTGTGAGTGCGAATATCTCGAGCGAAAGCGACAACCAAAATACGGAAGCTAATCAAGCCTATGGCTCCTATGATTAAAATATATATAAAAGCCATTATATATTCCAGCGCGCTAAGTAGGCAGTATATCAAGATTTCTTGGTCATAATCAAGGTGACGGGCAGCTGCTCTGATTTTACAGGAGATTAAAAAGTCATTTTAGGAGATTCAAGCACGTCTGTAAGAGTACGCACACCCCATAACATCGTCCATCAATGGCTTTTCCAGGTCGGCGAACCGTCAGCAACATATCATGCCAGGTGCAACTGCGGCAGCTTACCTACATTACTTTGGCGCCATGCACCCACTGTGTTATTGCTTGCTGTCCGTTAGGGGTAGGCCACTGTGCCATTGTCCCAGGCCGCCGGGGTTGGTCGGAGGCATTTCATTGGTGATAAGTGATGTTAAATCCGTCCATATCCGGGCCTGCATACATACACCACCAGACCACATCGGTATAGTGCTTACAATCTGTATGATGCTGCAGTTGCAAGAAGCATCCCTGACTGCACATCACGCCGGTAATCGTTATGCTGGTCCCCCTAAAAGCATTTGACCGACTTTTAGTATGAGCGAAATCAGAAGTATAGGCCATTGCTGACTACGGAATATTCCTGCACAAGAAGGATTATCTGCATGTGGATCGATCCATGCAACGCACTTTTCGGCCACAAGAGGGAGCGTCATGTTGGCCATGGGGTTTTTCCCCACCCACATTCCATTAGAATATAGAGGATAATGACAGACGAACAATTGCTGCTGCCGCCGCCACTACATTGGTCTCAACGTCTAGCCAGCCAGCACTTCACAAGTGAGTTTACTGTCACTGAAAGTGGAGAAAGAGTTTATTAAAGCTGCATCTTCCTATTAAGCCCCAGCCACCTGCCCTTTGGTAATCCCTACGCTGCCACAAAATAATCAACCAATCATGTTTACTCTTCACTTAAAGAGTCGAGATCGATTTCTTCAACACGTCTTCTGACTGCAAGTCTTCCGTTAGGCTCTGATATCAAAGCCATTCCCGCGGCGATGACTTTGGGATCATGACCGTCCGGCAGCTTCCAGTCATACTTGAGCAAAAGATGGCATAAAGCAATTTTGACTTCATTTGCAGCAAAGAAGCGACCTGGACACGCGTGCTGGCCGTGACCGAACCCAATGTGCTTTTCGCTCGTGCTGACAAGATGGGAATAATTTTCCTCTCCGGGGGTCTGCCGCATACGCATGAACCGATAGCCATCGAACTCCAAAGGGTCATCGTAATATGCCGAGTCCTGCATGTGCGCGCTTGAAACGATGATCTTTTCGCCTTTCCGAATCGTCCATCCATTTGTCAACTTGATATCAGTCGTGCAAAGACGCCGAAATGGGGCTATCAAGACTGTGTCAGAGAGGGGCACCTATCCGGATTGGGCGAATATTGTAGCTTACCTAACACGATTGGTTTGAGACGCTGCGACTCTTTGATCACACTGTCCATGAGCTTCAGCTCCTGGAGCGACTGCTTGGTAAAACTCGAAGATGCGAGTACGCGCTGTATTTCTTCGCGAAGAGGGTCGAATAACTCAGGGTGTCGTGCAATGTTGAACATGGTGACTTGCAAAAGGTCACTTGTTGTGTGAATAGCAACCAGAGATAACGTGATCTAGGAGGTCGCAGGGTCGTAGCCCTTGCTATATTCCTTCTCAAACCATTCAAGAGAGTCGTTAAAGACTGAGGGCGTCTCTCCGCGTGCCTCTGCTTCACGTTTTTGAATCTGGCGTTGCTCTAACAGGGGGCGAAGGACGCTGCGCGCAACATTGAGCTGTCGACGTGTCTCCCGGCAGTCACTGAGGAACCAATGGACAATTGGGCGAAGGGGACGAGACCACTGACGCAGAGTATCACCGCTTGAAAAGGCCATGGCAGTGTACTTGGACGAAGCTTCTATCCAATCCTTGTTTCGGCACAAGTCTTCGCCCATGAAGACACGTGAAGATAAGCGAGATATGAGGCTCAGGATATCTCGGGCCGGGTTGATCTCATGCCAAGCTTCGATAAAGCGTCAATTTACTTTCAACACGAATGATTAAAAAAAAAAATGCTCACCTGGAGAATCAGTCAAAGACTCCCGGAGTGCAAATGTCGCCTCTTTGGAGAGTGCTCTCGTCAGTTTAGCTAGAAGCTTTTAGTAATTGCACCACGAACTTTAGGGATTACTGACTTAGAGCTTTGGTAAGATATTTGGTGATGACAAAGGGCGTCTTATTATCGACGCCAAATGGTTCGAAACCAGGCACATATGCATGGCCATCCTGTTCACCATATTAGACACTGAAGATAGTTAAGTATACGAGGCCAGGTTACTTACATCTTGTGCGGGCGTCAAAAAGTCAAGGTTGGGGTGACTTTTGAGTTCCGGAAGCAATTCCGGTGGCAATACCAGAACATTACCAAAATCGGTATATGCTCGGTACGGTTCGTGGGGGTAGAGCGCTCTACCTGCCTTCATGATCTCAATGCTGTCGGCAATGAACTCTTGTCGCACTCTTGAAGAAGTTGCTTCAAAACGCCTCTTGGGATTTAGAATAGGCACTTCGGACTTTGCCTTGGCCAACCAGAGCGCGACGAATGGTAATAGGGTGGCAATGACATATGCCACAATCCGCTGTAGCGGATAGACTTCAAAGTATTCCTGATACATGGTGCTAATGCTCAAAGACATGATGGATTATGGTGAACTGATCAAACAATATGCAATTAACGTACGCTAGTCTTTTATATAGAAAAGATTGAACTAGAAAACTATCTATATATCCTACGTTCGGGTGCCATTCGCCGTCCGACAGCCCGATTGAACACGCAAGCTGACGCATTTGTGTCGCTTCAAGGAGGATACCAAGCAATGATCAACGGTGTTGTTCCACCTTCTTACTTTGGCCCGCCTTGGAAAACGAAATGTTGTTACTGTAGACACGAATGTGCTATGACAGCGTGTCCATGACATTGAATCGGGCGCGAGATCCGAGAGTTTCTCCACATCGCACCCGTATCCGGGTCCGTGAAGAGGTTATGTTGGTCACCGAACATTAACTTTTTGTTAGCAGCAAAGCAAGGGACTCCGGTATTGCAGCGGCCCGGTGCCTGAAAGACACAACTAAGCACACCGTACATTGATTAATGAAGTGCGATGCTGCCTTGTGGGCATAAGCATTTACACTGAAGACACTACTGTGAAGAACAAATACCGACCAAACGTCCTTTGAAATGACATTGAGGCTGCGCTGTAAGTTCTTCAGCAGCATTAACAATAGGCTCGTCGTTGCTGGTGATAGCATTTGGTTGTTCGAGGCACATTCGCGCCACGAGGACAAGGAACCATGGCTATATCAAGTAATCAAGATATATTCACAACGGTCCGAGCAGAGAAGACTTCTCATTTGCATAGTGATGCAAAACTCGCAAACATTTTTAATCAGTGAGGCGACGACTATGTGTGTAGAGTTATTTGCGGTCAAAGTAGAATTTTATGCTAGACTTATTTCAAAGTTGATTTGTAGACCGTATTCGTATTCGCCGGCTAAGGGCATCAAATACGCATCACTGCAAAGTGGAGAGAAATGGATCGCGGGACAAGCGGGTTTCGCATCAGCATTAACATGCACGTATACCCCTTTATTACCTATGTAGGGTTTGCGGTAGTTCGGACCATAGTCGGGTTCCGGGTAAGTCCCGCTGGCGGGAGAGTATAGTGTTATAGGCCAAGCTGGATTTGGCAATTTTTACACTGGTATGTATATAAAACAATCTACAAAAAAACAATTTCCAGAAACTTATTATATGAAAGATTGTTTTTTATGACATTTTAAATGTGATGGACAACGATTCATTCGTATTTTATATTTTAGATAAGAAAGAAAAAAGAGGCCGATGCGAGAGGGTGGTTTCGTGACGGTGGTAAACACGCATTACAATACGCCATCTAGGCCAACGTTGCCCAAACCCTGCATCAGACCAATTGCAAACAGCATTAGTTAATGATGCACCCTTCGCTCTGTGGCTACTATCGTCATGAACATGCGACCACAATCGCTTTGCTTGGCCAGGATCACGCCAACAAAGATGTCCACGATTTGAAGTACGCTTCCCCAACGATGGCTCAGTATATGGTGCATTTGCCTAACGCTAAAACTGGTGTCTCTGGGCTCGATTTGTTTAGCGATCGAAATACCGGATTTCCTCGAAGGCAGGTCTCGCCTAATCAGAATGATGTATATATTTACCCGGGAGTTTTCTCATGGTTTCGATTTACTCGTATCGGGCTCCAAGTTGAGGGAGAGGATTGTTGCAGATAGATTGGAAGCCTTGTCGATTTTCAGTATATAGCAGTGCGATCTCCTCGCAGGGTCTATTGCTTTAGAGCCTATAAGAATGAAATATACAGAGAAAACAAAAGACTGGGGCACACAACTGATCCAACGTCCACGATAAGGATCCGCCCTAGGTCCCCAAACCTTACGCTGAGAAGATGTAATGATATATTTAAACTGGTTCTGATTTACATTGAGACACGCATATTCTCCGACTAGATTCAGGTCTAGTTCTATTTTTATTATGACTAGGATCTTGTCTTGGCTTGTGTAACGCGATATGCACACTTAACGCACAAATGCACGATTCGGCTTTTGCCCAGCTCTAAACCCGCCCCTTCCCCATTTGGGAATTGCAAACTTCATATGATGACATAGATTAGTCACTGCATTGTAACTACGTACCTAGGGATACGACATGTTTTTTCATATATTTTAAGCTGGCACTTTGACAATATCGCTTCCTATCTTGATCACATCTAGACTTTTCAAATTCGAGCCTATTTACCAAAGTTCCCCCTTAATCACGCGAAAGATTCAGCTACATTACATTAGAGTCGACACGATGCGTTTGGTTACGCAATTCTTTCCTCCGAAGACAACCCTCACAGACAAATCGCTGCCCAATTTAAAGGGAAAGGTCGGTCTACTCTGACCCCGGTGTAAGGAATTTGGGATTTAACCAGAGATTTCCTTTATAGGTTTACATCGTGACCGGCGCAAACACTGGACTTGGAAAGGAAGTCGCTCGGAGTCTGTATGTGAACAATGCCAATGTGTACATTTTTGCACGCTCCGAAGACAAAGCAAACAAGGCAATCCAAGATATCAAAGATGCCCACCCAAGCTCTTTGGGGGCTCTTACCTTCATCTTTCTAGATCTTAATGACCTGGCAACCATAAGCCATCGGCAAGAAAATTTCTCGCCCAGGAAGACAGGCTAGATGCTCTATCAACAATGCCGGCGTTATGGCGTCAATGGACAGCAAGTCTCCCAAGACAGTTCAGGGCCACGAGCAGCATCTAGGCATCAACTGCCTGGGAACTTTTCTTTTGACGAGGCTGCTGACTCCTACCCTCGTTGCTACCGCCAAGACTGCGCCCGCCAATTCTGTCCGCGTTATTTGGGTTTCCTCCCTAGCCGCCGAGATGTATTCCGAGAAGCACAAGGCATTCGAGATGGAAAACCTAGACTACCACGTGGACAAGCCGATACTTTACAAGTATGGAGTCAGCAAGTCTGGCGCTGGGCATACGGCGTCGAGTTCGCCAAGCGATACAAGGCCGACGGTGTCGTCAGCCTCCCGCTGAACCCCGGAAATCTCAGATCTGATCTCTTCAGATCCCAAGGCCACGCATTCAAGCTAATGAACTCGCTCATCCTCTACCCCGTGCCCAACGGAGCAGCTACGCAGCTGTTTGCTGCATTCTCGCCAGAGATTACGCTTGAACAATCTGGAACCTGGGGTATGTGCTCTCAACTCTTTCAAGATGGCCCATGACATTGGTAGAAATCCACGTAGCTAATGTACATATTTCGCAGTCATTCCGTTCGGTCGACTTGCAACAATTCGCAAAGACTTGCTTGATGCAACCAAGACGGAAGAGGAGGGCGGCAATGGAGGCACACACAAGTTCTGGGAATGGAGCGAGGAGCAGGTCAGATAGTACGCGTGAGTGCCGACTTGCTGGCAACAGTCTCCAGTTTTCTACCATTGCCAATACCGCAAAGTGGCATGATATACACTGTAGTTTCTTCCTCTTCTTTGTTTATCTAGTTGTCTCGCATTAATGGTATGAGTGGACGGATGTAAGGATTGGGCTTCACTATTCAGGTTTCTCGTACCAAATTCATTTTTTCGGCACGTGCCATATCAATTCGACAAAAGTCTTTGTGCTTTTGGATTAGACTATAGCATTCAATTTTCATTGCGCGCGAAATATCTATAGGCAGATATAAGAGTCATTCTGTTTTGCAATCAGTGCCATTGAATCAAAAGGTTGCATTGAAGACCTTTTCCCAATTAGGGGCAAGGAAAAACGGAAGAGCAAAAAGAGATTAGTTTTATTATTCCAATAGGAAGCAGCTTCAAATATCTGCCCAAAGTATCACCCATCTTACAATGCAGGCGACATGACGCCATCCCCCGCCCATATTATTATATACAAAGACTTTTAAAACAACGATGAAGCACGACCAATACGAAAGCCAGAGAAGAACAGGAGATTCTTCGCGTAATGTGGTGCGTTACCAACTGACATACGGCCGCCGGCTTTGAATTGGCCTCGAGTATAAATGAGAATAAACAGACTACCGTCTCAAACGCCCATTGGAGACGGCAGTGCGAAATTGATGGTCAGGACTTTCGCCATTGACGCTATTGTCGCTGTGATCGCCGCGCTCGAGGCTGTCGTGGTGACCGTTGACACTGGTCTGCTCAATCTCAATCTCGCGGGTAATGTGTATGATGCGGTCCGTGGAACCCTGGTCACTGTCGCCGAGCTCCTTGTCCTGGAAGTGGTGGTCGTGGGCGCCAACCTTTGTGCCGTCCAGAGTGTTCTCCAGCTTGTACCGCGCCCGGCGGCCACCGCCAATGGTGACGAGGTTGACGTCGGTGGTGCGCTGGCTCGACTTTGACTTGGCCGAGGACGCGAGACTGGGAAAGAGGCGGCGCAGCATGGGCAGGGACCCGGCAATGATGCCCAGGTCGCACTCGAGCACCGTCAGTAGCACAATCTTGCCAATCTCGTAGAAGCGGTTCGTAGGCGTTGTGTAGGCCCAGGTGTAGGTGATGCGAATGGTCGTGGCTATCGATGCAAACACGCCCAGAGACAAGATGAACATGGTGATGAGCTTGACCCGGGGCGCCAGTTGCACGTGGCGCAGTAGCAGAATCGGCGTCAAGGCGGTTGCCATGTCGGTAAAGATGTTGGTGGCCGAGACAAAGTATGACACGTTGAGAATCACACTCTGGCCCGAGGTGCAGTCGCCCGGCTCGCCCCAGGCCGCGGCTACGGGCTTGCACTGAAAGATGGCCACAGGCCACGAGATCTGCCAAGTGATCCAGGCGAGGGCGAACAGTCCCCAGAGGATATACTTGTACCTCTTCTTATTGGCGAGACGCATCATGGTCATGATGATGCTGGACTTGATGAGGGCTCCGTCCAGCACGTAGAGGAACTGCCAGATGATGGTCCAGAGTCCCATCTTGTACTGCATCCCCACCGTGATAATATCGTCGTGGGAACCGATCCCGCTGACCGAGAGCACAATAACTGAGGCATTATGAGCTACGTTAATAATCTGAGCGCAGCGGCGGGTACGTTAGTCAAATATCTTTGCCGCGTGGAAAAAAGAAGAGCTGCAAGCGGAAACACAACAGAAACAAAAAAACAGATTACGCACCCAGCCGGCAAGCATCAACCAGTCATCCACGAAATAGGAACTGGACATCTTCCGTACCCAGAATCGCAGACAAACGACAAATGTTGACAGAATGGTCATGATAATGGTCACCACCATCAACCCAAGGGCCAGGCCCTCGGGATGTATGGGCTCATACTCGGTGGTCATCAGGTCTTTTGCCATGGCTGCGAGAAGAAGAAAATGTAACCAAAAGATGGAGAAAAACAGTGGTCGGACCTTGGAGCCGCTTGAGATCTCCAGTCACCGAAGTTAATAAAGAGGGTACGTCGCACCAGAATGTGGGAGAATCAAGTGAGTGGCGAGGGTTAGAACAACAACAGCTAGAACTGGATCAGAGATTTCCACCCATATGAAGGGTTGTTTTTACATAGCTACACAAGGGGTCGGAGAAAGTCTGCGTCTCAGCTCCACTGGAAAGGGTGAATTTCCCAGGAGTTTGGGAGGCCAGGGAGAGAGGGGTGGTGAGGGATACTGGCCGGCTAGTCTTACGGCGTAGAACAACCTCGGAATCGTTATGCAAAGGTACAGGGTTGGAAATTTACATTGTAAGTCGCAGCAGCAAAGAACTATCCTGCACATGTAGTATGGAAGAATTGTGTCTGGTCACGTTTGTATCATGTAGGGGCGATCTACCAATAAAAGTCCTGTCCTTTTGATCAAGGTCCTCCATGTGTTGAGCGCGATCGACAGGTGAGGATGGCTGCGCACCTGAACTGAGGCTTTTCTCCAGTGACAATATATTAATGTGTTCAGGGGTGAAGCTTTTCCCATGGTGCCTGAATCAGTATGGTGACTGTGACGAGCATGGTATGTAGTCATGATCCCTCGAGATCATGCGTCACAGAATGACCCGATGGTCTGGTCTTGGCGTAGTACTCCGGCCCCCCGGATCTCGGAATACGTTGACATCCTTGACAAAGGGCGCCGGCCACCCAGTGGGGTGAGGAGTTGTGTTGATAAGTGTTCATTGTCGGACGCACCTGAAATTAGATGACAACAAGGGTCATTCTATATCGTACGTCTACTTACCATGACAGGACAGCACATGTCCCATGTCCCATGGATCCCCAGTGCCGGAATCAGCTCCCGTCGGTTAAGCGAGAGTATCATGGACAATCTTTTTCCGATTATGCCAAATTGGGAGTCTGGACTATCTTCAGATTGGCTCCACGCAGACTGAGAAGTTTCCAATACATGGGTTTGGTCTCATCTAGCTGGTAGGTAGTATGCACAGCTACGGCGCAAGCACGGAATATGTGGGCTCTGCGTCTCAAGCACTAGTTGTATAAAGACTGCTGGTTCTGTATAATTAGATTATCTCCTATTTGGTGTAAGTAATAGTGTGCTCCGCACTCATGGAAGTATTGATTATAGTCAATCTCACGATCGAACAAACATTACTCTGGAGGTATCCATTCGAACAATATTTGCTCCATACATGGTCTGAAGATCGTACCGCGTATCACACCCGGTGATAAATTTGAGCGGAAGACCCCGCCTCATGTCCTTTTATGCAGTTTGTCTACGCCGCAGAACTGGACCCCTCCAACCACATGCGGGATACGGATCCCTCCCGCGGGAAAACAAATGCCTGTGCCACATTGATGCATACGTCTTGTTGGAAAGCTAGCGCATACCACGTAAGCTGCCAGCAAACCGTTTTTCAGACCAGGCCAGGGACAGACTGTGCACACTGCATGTTGATTTCAGGGACGTCTTTGCCTAGTACACTTTGTAGCAAATATTGCAGCCCGACCACGACATTAATGCAGTGGGTCCGCGATAGGACCCTTGACTCCATAATCTGTATTCGTATCTCGACCCTCAAGGGCGCTTTTCCATGATACAAGAAGAGCCTCGGGCCTGCTGCCAAGCCAGAATTCAAAGTCTCGAATACTTGCAGTCTATTAGATTGCGTTGTTCCTGATATTAAGAAAAGGCGAAATATCCCCGCGACAGAAGTAATTCGTTTGTGGAAGAACAAAACCACGACAAGGAGAGCGAAATAAAGAGACAAGAGAAAGACAATAGCAAATCATCGTCATGGCAGCACCCAAAATGATGGAGACGCTTCCAGCCCTTCCCGCCGACATAACGACCGAATGGCTGAGCTCCAAGTTGGGGCACAAGGTCAAATCCATCGAGAACACAAGCAACATCTGGGGCACGGCCAGCAAGCTGTTTTACACCATCACCTATGAAGATGATGGAGACAGCGCCGAAAGACCGACCCATATCTGCATCAAGGGCGTCTTCGACCCAAAGATGATAGAGGCTCAGCCGTGGACCGTCAGCCTGGCACAGCGAGAGTCCGAGTTTTTCTCTGACATTGCGCCCCAGGTGAAGAATATGATCTTCCCGACCGGGTGGTGGGCTGGCAAGAGTGAAAAGCAGGGCATTGCTATCATGAACGATCTGACCAAAGAAGACTGCTCCTTTGCTGCTGAAGTGGCCTCGTACCCCGTTGAGAAAGTCATGAACGGAGTCGCGCAGCTGGCCGGCCTTCATGCGCAGTATTGGGGCCAGAGTCAGGAGAATCTTCCCTGTAAGAAACCCCGAAGCAAGCTCCGTCTACTATGGACCAGTTCCCCGTATATCTCACTACGTACCCCCGTAGTTATCCCCACCTCTGCAATCTGACAGCTAACGTTCGCGCCGCGCCGCGCCGCAACCTTAATAGGGATCTGGAACAACTACGACCCGGCCATGAAATTCATGTGCACTCCGTGGCACTCCGTAGTCCGAGAGCCCGGCAGACCCCAGCTGCCAGAATATCTGATGGACGGGCAGCGTTGCAACGAGGCGCTGGACCGCTACTACGCCGAGCGCAACCCGCGCTTCCGTACGCTACTGCACGGCGACACGCACATTGGTAACATTTATTTTACCGCCGACGGACAGATTGGGTTCCTGGATTGGTCGGCTTTCCACTTTGGCTCGTGCTTCCATGATATTGTGTATTTCATGACGGCCATGCTCAGTATCGAGGACCGCCGCGCCCACGAGATGGAGATCCTCGACCACTACCTTGAGACGCTGCATCGCCTAGGCGGGCCAAAGTTTGACCGCCACAACGACCCCGAGGTTATGATTGAGTACCGTCGCTCTTTCATGACCAACGTCATCTGGCTGATCTGCCCCGATGGTTTGCAATCCAAGGAGCGCGTGGCCGCTCTGTGCGAGCGCACTGTGGCAACGTACAATGACCACAAGGTCATTGATGTCATTCTCAGCCAGCCCAAGCCCGCAGCCGCCGGTGCCGCTACTGCCTGAGCCAATGTCTGAATGGTAGTTACCATAGTGGGAGACTGTGAGGACTCATAAGCCCCTGTAGTCCTTATATAAGCGCTACAAGCCTTGTATGGCAAACATTACTTGTGAGGGCAACAATGCTTACAAGCTCCCTAAAAGCCCACTATATGCCACCACTACAAGAGATATACCACTTTAAATCGTTCTGTTTTCGCTTCTCAGAAATTCGTCAATCCGTCGTAGTATAACTGTGAACCCGTGACTCCCGTCGTAGTTTTTTCTTTAAATCGCACGTTCAATGTAAGTGGTTGTCAAAAAGAAAAGAAGAAAAATCATCTGTTTTTGACCTTTTGCCAGCTTGACTTAATGGATGGCCCTAGTGGACGTTATAGTGGATGGTCCTAGTGGACGTTATAGTGGATGGTCTTAGTGGACGTTATAGTGGGCTTACAGTGGACGTTATGGTGGGGATCCACAAGCATTGTTCCCCCCACAAGTATTATTGATTTCACAAATAATATTTGCTATACTATGTAGAAGGCTTAGGCTCTTAGGAAACCGTGGTATGCATACTCTACAAGCCTTATAAGCCACCACAAACCCCCGCAGCGGTAGTTATCAAATACAGATATTCTCTTGGCAATGAAGTGGCCGTACCATGTCGAATGAGCTAGAGAAACAAGAAAGAGAACAGAGTCTTAATGTCCCATTTTCCATGATTTAGCGGTCTGGCTCTGGACCGCGGTTTGTAAATGTCTAGCAGGGTTAGAACCCTGCACCTGGAAACTAATGCCGCATACACATGATATGATTCAAGTGGCGAACAAGCAATGGAAGCTAATTCCCTATTACATCAGCTATTATCAACTGATTTTTACAACCCCTTTATAATCCTGGTCCTTGACCTGCATTTTTGGTTCTTTATGTAGCTCATATAGTGGGTTTGACTATCCACAGTTGGGTCCAGGTCTATATGCCGTAAACTCTATACCGTTATCTTGCAGAATTTAGTATCACAATTATCGCCTAACAAAATCTAACGGCTTCCACCTTGCTTCAAAATCTGCAGCCAACAAAATTTATCCCACTTGCAGTTCACATCATGTGACTGAGTCTGTGGCTAGATATGGAAAAGTCAGGGGGAGGCCAAACCATGGTAGGTAATGGTTATGGTCCCAAATTTCCATTTCCGCAAGACGGCGGTTTTCCGTGAACGTATCAGCTGTCAATATACATTCATGTTCAAGTAATACCCTCTCTCGATATACTCCATGTCTCAACCCGGCCGGGATGTCGTCAACATGGATCGACAGACAAGGGAAGGTGCAAAGATGTTGCCAAGTAATTCTCAAGTGGATTTGGTTCTTAGTTCTTGGTTATCTTTACAATCTCCCCGGTGAGTCAGCTGACTGTTGATTTATATCCTGGGCCAGCCGAACAAGACAACTGTTCCTTGGTTTAAAACACTATCACGAGCATCTCTCTCCCTCTCCCTCCCTCCCTCTCCCTCTCCCTCTCTCTTTCTTATTCAGCTTAAGAATTACCACCACTATGGCGCCAATAATCTCCGAGGTATGATTTCTGTCTTTACACCATATATGAACTACACTCGTCTCCTGCTTGCTTTTGCTAACAAGTATAAAATTGACGCAGGCCGATCTTGCATCTATCCGGGAAACTCTGTCACTTTTTGTGAGCGGAGTGACGGGTGGGAGCAAGATAGATGAGGATGCCCTTACGGTAACAAACTTCGAAGAGCTGCGGGCTAGGGTCGTGTCGGAGCTGGAGTCGACGAGTCTGCGCGACCACATGGATTTCCTCAACTCCAAGAATCAGCTCAACCTTGCGTGCCATGTCGCGGCCGACTTTGCCTATGGCCGGGGGCTCGACTACCAGGTGTTATACGCCATGGTGACCATCTTCTTCTTTCACGTTGAGGACGTGCTGGAGCACAATACCGATGTGCTGCAGAACTTTCTGCTCCGGCTGGCAAGGGGCGAGTGCCTGGGCGACCCCGTGCTCAACTGGTTCGCACGGGAGCTTGGGCCGCTTCTCCGGAAGCACTTTGAGCCGCTCGTCGCCAACATGATCACCGTGGCCTGCTTCGATTTCCTCAACGGGTTCGGAATCGAAACGATAATGCGGGACGTGCCGGTGTCACCGCAGGCGCCGCAGTTTCCCGAATGGCTACGTTTCAAGACGGGGCTGTCGCCCATGTATGCGCCGCTGACACTGGCGCGGCACTCGGACGTGTCACTGGTCAATAAGACGGACGGCAGTCTTGTCAAGTATGTCCAGGCGATTCCAGACGTTATTATCTTCACCAACGTTGTCAACGATGTCATCTCCTTTTACAAGGAGCTGGCCGCGGGCGAAAAGGGCAACTATATTGATCAGCGCGCCGATAGGGAAGGCGTCAGTGTCGTTACTGCCCTGCGTATCAATGCTGAGGAGGGCATCGCCGCGTATCGCCGCGTGCTCGTTATCCTCGCCAACGAGCCCGAGTACCGCGCCAACTTTGAGGCCTACGCCCGCGGTATCACTCACTTTCACACGTCCTCGCGGCGATATCGTCTACGGGACCTATTTGGGGACCTCGAATAAATTAATGGACCGCTGATTATTTGCCTTTCAATTAGTTAGGCTGGTGTATATTACATAAGAGAACAGTTTTAACGAGATACTTGACGCAAACATATATATCCGAAAAGTCATAATAAATCATATATACACAGATGCCATTGCTCAGAACTTATCACGGCATGTCAAAGTCATTGGAATCAAAATTTACTTTCTATACATCATGGTGTTCCCCATACACAAGTATACCAACACACCTCTTAGCTCACCTCATATTAATCATTAATGGCGGGGACCTACAATACAACCTCGATTCTGGTTCCGTTTTCATCCTCTCGTCTACACCGGTCCAGGACCACGGACTTGGCATGCTGTGCCACACCGTGCCCCGGCTGTCACTCGGAAGGTCTTTTAATCCTCGCTAGTTCATCTCTACGGAGTCCTGCCGGGCCTCCCTGGCCCCTGTTGATATCCAAAAGTGTGTAGTGTCCAACCCACATAGGAAAGTTCGAATGACTAGTGTTCAGGCCACTGAGTCCTCCGTAGAAGGGCCATGATATGATGTCCATAGTACTCCGCAGTCACGGTATGAAAATACCGGGGTTTCCCATCAAAGCCGCCATCCGGCTAGGCCCAAGATGGTATCTTTGTGGATATGAACATAGGGGCACGTGAGACTTTGATTCGTCCGCCATACACTGGATTCACTGCAAACTTACATAATCTGGCGAAAGACCGCCAATGCCATATCCACAAAGATACCATCTTGGGCCTAGCCGGATGGCGGCTTTGATGGGAAAAACCGGTACTCATTCATGGAACGAGTATGTAAGGCAACCCCTTGTGAACACTGGGCAGGCAGAAAGAGACAAGGGGGTCTGCGTCAAAGAGGCAGGGTTGGCTGTTGGCTCTACGCAATACCATAGTGCTACTGCACCGACTAGCCCATCAAACCAGTCGGGAAAAGAGAAACGAGTGGGGGCACAGTGGGTGCGAACCTCTTGCGGGAAGAAGATTCGTTAGAATCTGGCCCGAGTCAGGCGAAACGCAAGCACCCGGGACCCCTGATCGCTTAACCGACCATCGTGGCCCGGGGTGCTCATCCTTTAGTGCGCGTCCACCCTTGTCATAACGTCGCCTCATTTACCGCTGCAGACCAGTCGAGAGGGAATATCAAGCTTGTCAAGTTCAATCAAAGGAGCCGGGTCGGACCAGCAGCATCAAGTACGAGTGGGACGGGTACCGGGAGTAGCCATCGTCTGCCCCGGGGAGCTGGAAGGCGCGAATCTAGTACTAGATGAGGGGTAAAAACAATAACGTTGGCAGCTGTAGCTAGACCTTCTCTCTCTCTGCAGCATCAATATCACCACTCCTCTTCGTTTTTGGAATTGTTTTCCGTACTAGGCCGTGCCCAGTGAGTATCTGGTGTCCCCGGTGGAGGCTTGTTGTTCGAGCTTCACGGTCTCAGTTTTTTTCAAATCGCGTTGTTCGCGTCGCGTATGTTCGCGTGTCGTCGTTGTACGACATTCTATTTGTGCCTCTTGAGTCGTTCTCTAAGCACCCCCCGGAGCGTAGTCTCCTCCATACCAAATGTCGGCGTAGTACGACTATTGTGTCTCTTCGAGTCGTTCTCAGAGCACACCCCGAGCGTAGTCTCACCACCACCAAAATCACTGTCGGCGTACGACAAATTACGAATTTTGCGAGAGTCTCGCTACCCCCAAGAAAATCACCCGTACCAGTATCATACACGATGGAAGCAAAAGGTCGAGGCGACCTGTATTAGGAGGGGAGAAGCTGGAAGGCGCGAATCTAGTACTAGATGAGGGGTAAAAACAATAACGTTGGCAGCTGTAGCTAGACCTTCTCTCTCTCTGCAGCATCAATATCACCACTCCTCTTCGTTTTTGGAATTGTTTTCCGTACTAGGCCGTGCCCAGTGAGTATCTCGGGGGGGCAAGGAGGGGGCGGGGAGTTAGAAGGTCCGGTCATTTACGGTTCGGTCATTTACGGAGCGTCATTTACGGAGCGCAAGACCGTTGGGCGAAACGTAAAAACTTGAGCGGCGGGGGAAAAGAGTGGGACGGGTGCATTTTACGGGACGGGGGGAAAAAAACTTGTGCTTCGCATAAATAAGCTGGCGGTCACCAGTCTTCTCTAGGTCAGAGAGGCAGGCCGAGATGCCAAATTCTCTGGCTCCTAGTACAGATATAGAAAACAATTTATAGGCAGTACTAGCCATTAGCTTGGCACTGCTCTTTTTAAAGTGGCCGGCCAGTGCCGGATCGTTTACAATAAAAGCCAGGATAATATAATGGGTGCTCTTACAAGACCTTGGGTGTGCACACAATGCAAGCCCTAGTATGGGGAATATAGTATTACCATAGTGTCATACGGCATTTGTTAGTCTCTTTGCTGTGAAGCATGCTTGCAATCCGTTAGAAAACGACCCGAAAGAAGGTAAGTACCACATAGTGTATGCCATAACACCTTTCAATAATACCCTTATCAAAATTCTCCATCGATGAAATGCGGCTGGCTGGCCAGTATATACTTTGTACTTTAGTTCATGTCTAATTGTTTTC